GCTCAGGGCTTTTGGGCAATACATTACGGTCAGATGAGCATATTTTGATACCTTAATTATTTGTGACACTGGCAGGACACACATTGGTGTGGGGTCCTGGGGTCGGAGCCCCCAGAAATTCAGGGGTTCCGGGGGCTCTGCCCTCTGGATTCCTCCCAGGGCCCTAAGGCGGGCATCTGGATGCTCATCAGACGGTAATTTGATGCCTAAAACCTCTGAGCTTCTGGGGTCTCCACCCTCAGGACCCCACACCAATTTGTGTCTTGCCAGTGTCACAAATAATTAAGGTATCAAAATATGCTCATCTGACCGTAATGTATTGCCCAAAAGCCCTGAGCTTCCGGGGGCTCCGCCCCCTGGACCCAACACCAATTCGTGACCTGTCAATGTCACAAAAAGGGTATCAAAATATGCTCATCCGACCGTATTTGCTCAAAACCCCTGAGCTTCCGGGGACTCCGCCCCTTAGACCCCACGCCAATTCGTGACCTGTCCGTGTCTTAAAATTTGCTCATCTGGGATCTGACCTTGATTAAATGCATAAAACCCATGAGCATCCCGCCTTAGGGCCCTAGGAGGAATCCAGGGGGCAAAGCCCCCGGATGTTCAGGGGTTTTATGCATTTAATCAAGGTCAGATCCCAGATGAGCAAATTTTAAGAGACGGACAGGTCACGAATTGGCGTGGGGTCTAAGGGGCGGAGTCCCCGGAAGCTCAGGGGTTTTGAGCAATAAAATACTGTCAGATGAGCATATTTTGATACCCTTTTTGTGACATTGACAGGTCACGAATTGGTGTTGGGTCCAGGGGGCGGAGCCCCCGGAAGCTCAGGGCTTTTGGGCAATACATTACGGTCAGATGAGCATATTTTGATACCTTAATTATTTGTGACACTGGCAAGACACAAATTGGTGTGGGGTCCTGGGGGTGGAGACCCCGGAAGCTCAGGGGTTTTAGGCATTTAATCAAGGTCAGATGAGCAAAGTTCGACACCTTATTATTTTGTGGCAAAGGCAGGTCATTATTCTTTTTTTGCCATTTTCCATAAACGCATAAAAAAGGATAATTTACTCAAAATTGAGGAAAAATCCCGGAAAATAATGTCATTTCAGCAATAATTAGAAATAAACCACGTTTGAATTATATTGGGGGGGGGGCATTTGTCACCCCCTCCCAATCAGTACGCCAGTGGAGCCTCCCGATCTACCCCAAGGGCCTTTTGCCCCCCCCCCCCCCGAGCTACAACTTGTTGGCGGGAAAATTGCAACTGATATCCCCTTCTTTTCTTTTCTTCTCCCTCTTTTTTCCTTCCCTTTATCTCCTCTTTCCCTTCCTTCTCTCTTATTTTTTGATGGGGGGGGGGGGGGGGGGAGGTAACAGTTGGGAGGCAAGGCCCTTTCGGCCCCCGATCTTCTTCTTTCCCACCTTTTCTTTTCTTCTTCCTCTTCTTTCTTTCCCTTTCTCTCCTCTTTCCCTTCTTTCCTTCCTCTCTCTCTCTCTCTTTTTGCGGGGGGGGGGGGGGGGCAAGGTTCCCTCGGCCCCCTTGGAATCGCGCCTGGGGGGAGGAGTTGAGTAAAAAGCAAAATGAAATTGATCTCCCTAACCACCCCCCCCCCCCCCCCGCTTATTCGGTCGGCCGGCTTAGTCGCCGATTAATATCTTTTTTATCACGAGAGAAAGAGAAGAAAAAAGTGCTCACTTCCCCCACGGCTAAGTCGACACTAATATTTTTTCTGATGGTATTGTAATGATATGGATATTCTCGTGTTTACGTTTTCCTCAAAGGTTCATTGACGTACATGTACAAGGCAAATTCCTGGTAGATTTCGCTAGAACTATGTTTACAAACATACATGGTGAATTCCTTGTGTGCTATTTTTAACACCTGTTCCGAGACGTTGCGCTCTTAATTTTGGCTCTACTTTTTCGGCTTGGCCGATTGGATTAGGTGTCGCTGGGCGTGTCGCCACAGTTGACTTAAATTTAATTAGGCAAATTTGGGAAATAGATTTGTATTACAATTGGAAGGGTTTTTCCTTGTTGCCGGGTCTGTTCACACTATCGAAATAGTATGAGAGAGGAAGTGAGGATTACAGGTGTGTCATAGCCAGAAGCATGTGGGCTCGCTAGTGTGGACGGACATAGCAACATTTATCCCTTTTTATATTCATTGAATTAATTTCCAGGGTTGTTGGGTCTCCGGGTGATTTGCATCTCTTGTTTGAAAGATTAGAATGTAAGAGACACAGGTGGGTGCGTGAAAGAAGTATGTGAGGAATAGAGATGCGGATCATCCGGAGCGCCTTATATCCGAGGGGGTAAATTCGCCAAGAAATATAGGACCTTTTAATACGGAAACTAATTATGGGTGGATTGATATTTCGCAAAGCGTCTGTGTGACACGCCTCAACTTTTGGGAGGACGAGGCGTGTCAGTTCGGGGGGATAAAAACCGAGTTGCGTCTCTGGAGCGGGATCTCTTTTCCGTTACGATACCGACATGAGTTGTTAATTTGCTTTAGTTGGGTTGCCCAGCCCCAAAACATGAACTTCGTGATTTTATTAATTCTACGTTTATTTTAATAAATCTTCAACTCCAATCAAGAATTTGTTTTAGTGACTTTGATTTATCTTCGTTTCCTACACTTCAAGAACTAAAGTTATACTTTAACATTTTCTGAGTCGGTACTAGGCGGGGCGGCTTTGGCCACCGGGCCGTCTCGCCGTGGTTCGCTTCAGTATAGCAGATCATCAGGGCCGTGTAGAGTGGCCCGCTCTCTCCTTTCCAAAAGTACCATGAAATCAGAAAGTTGATCATCTTCCCCGCCACTGGGTCACCCCCCCCCTAGCTCTAATTGGCAAAAAGCTATAGTTCGAAACCATTAAGCAGTGGCGTACCTATGGGGGGGGGCAGGGGGGCAGAGTGCCCCCCCCCCTGACGGGCTCCAGGGGAAAAAAAAGAAAAAGGGGAAAGAAAAGAAAAGAAAAGAAAGGAAAAGGAAAGAAAAAGAAAAAAGGAAAAGGGAAGAAAAAAGGAAAGAAAGAGAAAAAAGGAAAAAAAGAATTGAAAAAAGGAAGAAGAGAAAAGGAAGAAAAGGGAAAAGAAAAGAAAAGGAATACAAATGGAGAATTAAAAAAAAAAGACCATGGCCGTACGCACCAGGGGGGGGGGCAGTTGACCCCAGATATTTTTGAAAACGTACAGTTTTTTTCCTGAAAATGTAGTGTAGGCCTATACCAAATCCTTCAATTCTACTTTTGAAAATGCAAAAGTACCATCATGACCAGTTCGGTCGCTCGAACTCCCTTCACTCCTTTTGCTTGTGAGATTCTTCGAAAACTTTTAACGCATCTTTCCCCCTCCCCTACCAGAAAAATATTCCGCATACGGCCCTGAAAAATTAAAACAAATGAAAATAGGAAAATATAAGTGATATAACAAATTTGAAACTCTTCGCTGGCGCGAACTGCTTGCTAGCCTATTTTGTATTAAATGTTTTCACTTGCTCGTCCCCCTGAAAAAAGAAAAGGATTAGTATTGCCTAGAATACAATTGTGCCTGCCCCTACGGACCCCGACCTGCAACGATGGCAACAATAACACACAATATATGTACCAAATGTTACTAAAAGAGACTAATTCATTTTTCTCGCTCGCTACACTCGCTCGCGATTAAAATGAATAGACATTGCTTTGGAAACAATTGTGACCACCCTTGACCTGCAACAATATCATTAAAAATGGAAGAGTTTTTTCGCCCTCTCGCCAAAAAGGAATTGAATCGCGTTAAACGCGATTGCGTCCATCCTGACCTGCACCAATAAAACAAGTTTATTTATTAATTTCTATTAAAAGAGAATTTATTTTTTTTGCTTGCTCGCTATGCTCGCTCGCCAAAATGGAATTGACACCACTAACGTGCCCGCCCCAACCTGCAACAACCAGTTAATAATTAACAGAAGAAAAAAAGAAGTTTTGGTGTGCTCGTGCTCCCCAAAACGGAATTAACATCACCTTAAACATAATTGTGTAAGCCCTGCCCTGCAACAAAAAAATCTGAAATTTATGAACCAATTATCATTACAAAAAATTTGCTCGCTCGCTACGCTCGCTCGCCAAAATAGAAATAACACCGCTTTTAATAATCACGTCCCTGACATGGAACAATGAACCCAAGTTTTATGTACCATATTTTCCCTATAAAAGAGAAGTGATTTTTTTTGCTCGCTCGCTACGCTCGCTCGCCAAAATAGAAATAACACCGCTTTTAATAATCACGTCCCTGACATGGAACAATGAACCCAAGTTTTATGTACCATATTTTCCCTATAAAAGAAAAGTGATTTTTTTTTCTCGCTCGCTACGCTCGCTAGCTCGTGGAATTATGTGCCCACTACTAACCTGCTACAATATCATTAAAAAGAGAAATATAGGGGGTTGCCTGCCCGCCAAAATGGGATTGGCATTGCCTTAAACACGATTGTGCCCGCCCCCTACCTGCAACAATGAAACAAATTTTATATAGCAATTCATTGAGAGAAAGGTGTATTTTTGCTCGCTAGCTAAAATGGGTATAAAATCACCCTAAACACAATCATGTTCCCGCGCCCTGCATGGGACAATTGAACCAAGTTTAAGTGGCAATTATTAAAAAAGAAGTTATTTTTTTTCTTGCTCGCTACACTCGTTTGCAAAAAAATGAAATTAACGTCGCTAACAAGTGAATGTTCCCACCCCCAACTTGCAACAATACCAGTTTATATACCAAATGTTACTTAAAGATTTTTTTTTGCTCGCTCGCTCACCAGAAGTGAAAATTAGCATCGCCTTTTTTGTTTGTTTCGGTCGCTTGCCCCCCATGACGGAGTACCCCAGGTACGCCACTGCCATTAAGGCGATGCGCTAATAGTGCCCTTTGGTAATTAAGGCATTAATCCTCATTACCAGGTCCCTCGGACTCTCGGAGAGGACCTAATGCCGTCGGCCGTCTGTTTGCTTACTTACAAGTATTTATGCTTTCTAATTAGCAGTCAAGTAATAACCAACTCCAACACCACCACCAGTTCGTGTACAAATCGGAACTCTTAGCTATAGCAGCCACGCCCATTCGGCGTTGGTGTTGAGAGCGTGCGCGCGTACAGTGGAATTAACCGAGCTAGCTCGAAAACATGTCGGAGATTTCATCGCATATATTCGCACTGGACTAGACTGCATGTAACTTTATGTTTATCATCTCGATTCTGGACTCGATTCAGCATATGTGGCTCTACCATTATTATGAGAACAGGACAGCCTCAGGACCTAGATGTGAGAGGACAATTTTTTAAATTTCTGTTGGCGCTGGCTGTTGCCAATGCCCCTTTTTTTTGACAGATATATTTAGAATTTAACATGTACCGATATACGTTCTATTGTTCACTAGATGCATAGACTGTCGACACAAAGCTAGGTCGCAATTCGCATTATCATTGCGACCAAACCCATTCAGGGCCGGCCCACTCGGTTATTTTATCGATGTTTATTTGCAATATTAGTCGAATAGCACTAACCATCATGGAATTTTGTCCTTTCTGTATTGTCTGACTAACAATTCTTAGAAGATTTATGAAATATTGCTTGTTAAATTACTTCTTCAAAAATTAATTAGGCCAATAAATACCCCACTGCGTGCTGCCACTTGTTTATACTATGCTTGCGCCCTCTATATAGCAAGCAATGCGCAACTGGTGCCCATGTTTTACAGTTGGTCGCCTATGATCCTCTTTTCTTATGTTAATTGAGAGCTGATTTGATGAGATAACCACCTGTCAGTGACTTTGCAGGGGGGTATAACCCCCCCCCCCCCCAGGCGCATAACCCCCCCCCCCCCCCCCAGGCGCGCCGGAAGCAGTTTCATAGTTTGGGATTGGGGGGGGGGGGGGGGCAAATGTTTCAGGGGGCTCACCTTTCCGGGGCAGTGGCGTATAATGAGAAAAAACGTTTGGAAGCCCCGGCTGGGGGTCAAGGGGCTGAGCCCCCGGAAGCTCAGGTTTTTTAGGCATTAAATCACGGTCAGATAAGCATATTAGTCCCTCGCATAACATCCTTCAAAATGTACAAGTAAATATTGTAGAAAAGTGAAGTGTGAAAAAAGTATATTTGTTTTCATACTATAGTTTTTCCAAGGAATATAATTTTGTAATACATCAAAACTTGTGGGGGGGTACTCACTTTCGTCACCTTCACCCCTCTCATTCACTATGCTCACTCACTCGGGCTTGGGGCAGTCCCCCCTCCCCCTCCCGATAAAATTTGAACGTGGTTTATTTCTAATTCGATACCAGTGACTAATTTACAAATGTTGCTGAAATGGCATGGTTTTCCCTGAGCTTCCGGGGGCTCTGTCCCCTGTACCCCACCAAGGGCCCTAAGGTGGGCCCCTGGTTGCTCAGCTGACAATAAATAAATGCCTAAAACACCTGAGCTTCCAGGAGCTCCTCCCCTGGACCACACCAGGGCCCTAAGCGGGCCACTGGATGCTCATCTGACCATATTCAAAAGCCTAAAACCCTGAGCTTCCGGGGCTTCGCCCCTGGATGCTCACCTGATAGTAATTTAATGCCTAAAACCGCTGAGCTTCTGGGGCCCTGCACCCTGGACCCCACTCCGATTAGTGACCTGCATGCAAATGTCACAAATAAGGTATCAAAATATGCTCATCTGACCCTTATTAAATGCCTTAAACTCTGAGTTTCATGGGGCTCCGCCCCTTGACCCCCGCCAGGGCTTTGCCCCTGGACCCCACGTCAATTTACACCTCACTTGCTTTGCTCTATCTGATCGCAAATACTGTAGCCCCCCCCCCCCCACCCCACTCCCACTTTGAAAAACGTTCCATGTAACATGTAAGACCGGTGATGATGCAGACTTTTTTCTTCCCCCCCCCCCCCCCCCAAAAAAAAAAGTTTTTGCTTATTACGTCACTCCTCCCTATTCCCTCGCATTTCATCACCCCCGGTCATGAAAAGAAATCGCCGCCCCTGAAAAAAAACGTCCATTGATAAATATAGGTGGCATGCGGAATGTTTAGGAAATTGAATTCCTGTTAACTTTCCTTTTCTTTGAATGGAATTTTATATGTGATTTAATTCAGGTTTTTATTATTGTTATGTTCTTTTGGGTTGAAATATAAACGATTACTTTACTGCTTTTTTCTCTTCTTTTTTTGGAAAGGGGGGGGGGGGAAATGCATTTTGCACCCCCCCCCCCACTTCCTGTGCCTATGCTCCCCCCCCCCCCTAGCTGAACAAACAAGTGGGTTTAGTGCTGACAGGCTTTAAAAACTTTAATGCGGTAAAATGCAGTGATGTTGCAGAGGTATGCAGTTTTTACTTCTGTTTAAACTCTAGCTGTTGTGCATCCATGGACAAATGAACCTGAAGAAAAATGAGACGGATTCAGATCCCATGTTTTTGTGCTGGCAAATCTCAAGTTGTCAAATACATGTATTACTGATCCCCCTCCTAAATTAGAAAATAAAATATTCTAAATTGGCCTCACTATTATTATTCCATAAAATTATGACACTCTTTACTTAGCTCTCTATTTCCTTCTATCTATGGCAGGGAACCTTCAACCTATGATATACCGGTAGCTGACTCTGAGATGTGCGAGTCAGCAACCATGGAATCTGGATGTAGCAGTGAGGAAACCTTGTCGGTACTGAGATCGTGTGACTTGGCAACTGCGATTTTACGGGGGACGGTGAGTGAAGAGATGCTAGAGCAATGTGCTCAAGAGGGTCGTATTGATGTCCGAAACAAGGAAGGACAAACACCTCTGATGCTGGCATGTTTGACAGGTCTTGAGGATGTTGTCAAGTTCTTGTTAGCAAATGGTGCCAACCCCAACTCCAATAATTTAATGAAGGGTAATACCCCTTTGCATTTTGCATGCATGATAGAAGAAACAGAAGAAGAGGAGTACATGCACTTATCTAGAAGACGCTATATGCCAAAAAAATGGATTGCCACCAAGGTATCTATTGTGAAGCTTCTTCTGAAGTATGGAGCATCTGTTCAGAAGAACCTAGATGGATGGACTCCAGCATGTGTAGCTGCATGTTACATGTTTGAGGACATTGTTGACTTCTTCTTGTTGATTGATGATGGTAGTCCTTTGGAGGACAAGATCACAGTTTCTCAAATACTTGGAGTTTCACAAGCTACTCTTGATGAACCGGCTCTCATAGCATTTCACTATTTCCGCAGAGCCATAGAGTTACAACAAGAAGCAGGAGTTATCACAGGCCAAGCTGGAACTTCTGAACTTGCATTATGTTTCTCGAAGCTCTCTTTGACAGAATTTCACACATTGGAGGAAATCAAGTCTGATGAATTGTCTGAAAATGCTTTAAAGGCCCATGCATTCTTGGTTGGTGAGAGACTATTTCCCTTAAGTCTCAAGCAGAGATACCTCTACCCGGCCCTTACAGAATTTGCAAGTCTTTTAATGTTCCAAGAAGACATGGTAGAAGGAGGCTTTCAAATATTCTCCTGTACCCTTGGTTTTGAAAGAAGTGGAGAATTGCAGCTAGGAACAGTACTAGGTCACATAGCCAGTAATTATGAAGACCACTGTGTGTATCATGATGGCAAAAAAGCACCACAACCTCTTGTTCGTCAACGTGCACAAGATCTGCTGTGTGCCTATGATTCAGTAGTTAATGGTGTAAATGTACATATTGATAGTATGTCGGGGATGTGTCATTCGCTTATAGATAGCTTTGGTGACATACTTTTTGCTGAAGTTTTTTCTGGCTTTGGTTTTGATGACTTGAAATCCACCTTGGAAGATGTAGAGAAGTCAATGAGGATCATTCAAGGTAGGGCGTTTGGGGAAAGGCAAGATGAGTATCTCAAGATGCCTTCTGTAGCACACAAAATCATGAAACTTCTGCTGGAACTCTTAGACAGGGGAAGATGTATAATAGATAGAAGCCACCTTCTGAAGGTAAAATTTTTGTTACTCAGGGTTCTACTCTGGGACAATGTTTCTTACCAGGATGTGTTACCCGACGGTGCTTCATACGAGGATGAGTCCGGTGGCAACACGCTGCTGCACTTCGTTGCGTACTTTACATATTCAGTAGAATATATGGAATGTATTCAGGATCTTGCGCAGGATCTTGCCCTGGTCCTTTTACGTCACGGATGTCCACTAGATGCAGTGAATGCAGTAGGCTTTACCGCCACAGACGTTTTGAGGGATGGTAGACATGAGGACCAGAATATCAATCTCATTCAGACAATGGTGAGTCCACCAACCACAGTATTACGTCTGGAGGAAGCAGCTGCCAGAGTAGTCCTGCGACACAAGATCAACTACCAAGACGTCCTTCCTCTGACGCTGCGTGAGCTGGTGGATGGTGGAACTGCGGAATTAGAGTTAGAATTATTAAAATTATTACAAACAAATGAAGAGAGCAGTGAAGACAATGAGTAATTTATACTTACAATTAAGTCATCAAAGGTTTTTTGCAACGATGCACTGAAGGCAAAAGGAGACAGAAACCTAGATTGACTGATGGAATTAAAAACTTAACAGATCACTCGTCTCAGCTCATCGCATCGCTTTAGACTGAACACTCTGGAGAACCATCATTAACTGGCCTGGTCACGAAAGGTCTTGTAATATGGATTTCATGTCACGAGAAATTAGATGAGTAATTTTGACAGATTTTGTTAGTTACTCTCAGATCAAGTTCTGCATTTTGAACCATTTGTGCCACCATGCAAACTCCTTTACATTTTGATACTTTATGTTTTTATGTGCCTTCTATTACAAATTGGTTGCTTTTTACTTTGCTTCCGATAAGCCATTGCTACAACTTGTTCAGTCATTGACTCAGGGTTCAATGAAAATTCTGTGTAACAATTGTCGTAATGACACCATAATATGTACAGTCCTGTGTAGGTGCGGTTTTAAAAGAATGTATTTGAACTTTTTATGCCTCCGCCACCGAAGGTGGTGCCGGAGGCATCATGTTTTCGGGTTGTCCGTCCGTACGTCCGTCCCGTTTGACCGTTATCACAATATCTCAAGAACCATTTAAGATTTAAACTTAAGACTCGGGAATAGTATTTATCACCATAGGAAGACGATCTGATTAGATTTTGGAGTACGTAGGTCAAAGGTCACAGGTCACAGAGGTCAACTTATGAAATTCCTTGTATTGAGTTTGTTAGCGCGATATCTCAAGAACCATTTGAGATTTAAACTTCAAACTTAAGGATAGTATGTATCACCATAGGAAGACGATCTGATTAGATTTTGGAGCACGTATGTCAAAGGTCAAGGGTCACGGAGGTCAACTTATGAAATTCCATACATTGAGATTGTTATCATGATATCTCAAGAACCACTGGAGATTTAAACTTCAAACTTAGTGATAGTGTGTATCACTATAGGAAAACAATCTGATTGCATTTTGGAGCACGTAGGTCAAAGGTCAAGGGTCATAGAGGTCAACTTATGAAATTCCATACATTGAGATTGTTATCATGATATCTCAAGAACCACTGGAGATTTAAACTTCAAACTTAGTGATAGTGTGTATCACTATAGGAAAACAATCTGATTGCATTTTGGAGCACGTAGGTCAAAGGTCAAGGGTCATAGAGGTCAACTTATGAAATTCCATACATTGAGATTGTTATGATATCTCAAGAACCACTGGAGATGTAAAAACTTCAAACTTAAGGATAGTATGTATCACCATAGGAAGACGATGTGATTAGATTTTGGAGCACGTAGGTCAAAGGTCAAGGGTCACAGAGGTCAGCTTATGAAATTCCATACATTGAGATTGTTATCATAATATCTCAAGAACCACTGGAGATTTAAACTTCAAACTTAATGATAGTGTGTATCACCATAGGAAGACAATCTGATTAGATTTTGGAGCACGTAGGTCAAAGGTCAAGGGTCACAGAGGTCAACTTATGAAATTCCATACATTGAGATCGTTATCGCGATATCTCAAGAACCACTGGAGAATTTTCACTTCAAACTTAATGATAGTATCACCATATCATAATATCTCAAGAACCACTGGAGATTTAAACTTCAAACTTAATGATAGTGTGTATCACCATAGGAAGACAATCTGATTAGATTTTGGAGCACGTAGGTCAAAGGTCAAGGGTCACAGAGGTCAACTTATGAAATTCCATACATTGAGATTGTTATCATGATATCTCAAGAACCACTGGAGATTTAAACTCCAAACTTGTTTAAATTGCTCTATGGCGGAGGCATCATTTTCGACTGCGCGCAGTCAAAATTCCATCTATTTTTTTTAAAATTTTTTTGGGGGGGGTGTCCTTCATGGCCTTGAGGCACGTGCAGATTCAGGATTTTGTAAAAGAGGGCACAAAGAGGTAACATATTTTTGTTCCTTTTTACCACAAAATGTGCCATCTTGCATTCATTTTCTATGTTTGCCTCACTCAAATTAATTTATAATCGATTAAAAACTGGAAGGAGTCCCTCCCCCCCCCCCTTCTATAACCACTACAGGTCCTGTGAAGAGAGCACTTATCCCAACAAGAAGGAGGGGAAAAAGTAAAGGATAAACAAAGTCTTGGAAGGGAAAACTATTTTGTTTGTCAAAATTGGAAGTTTGGAACACTACAATTTTATCTTCAAACATAATTGCAGACTGGCCAATGTACGTTTTACTTTGCCAAACCTGAACTTGACAGCCTCATGAATGCAGTGTTTTTTCTTGTTTTGATTGAAACTGGTTGAATCTGAGTATTATTTTGTTTACATATTTTGTAATATTCTTGTTTTGGAATGTTGCATTAAATTCATTCATGTTCACCTTTCACTCTCAAATTGTGTTAACTATTGCTCATTGTGCCTTTGATATTTGAAAAGATCATCATCATAGTGAAATTTGTAAAATTATATCACATTTGAATATATGCTTGTCCATATTCTTATTTAGACTGGTAACGTCCATGATTATATCTTGTAGACCTTTTGAATCGTGGCCTTCGACACGATCAATCACGAAATTTTACTTTACAAACTATCTCACTATGGTGTACGTGGAAAGGCCTTGGAGTGGTTCAGGAGTTACCTCTCTAACAAAAAGCAATATGTACACTTAAACGATCATGCATCTGAATTATGCAATATTAGTTGTGGTGTCCCACAAGGTAGTCTGCTAGGCCCGCTACTCTTTATTCTTTATATAAATGACTTTTGTAAATCGTCTAACTCCCTGTCGTTTATTTTATTTGCAGATGATACTAATTTATTTTTTTCACACAAAAATCCAAACGTCCTGGTTGATAAAATCAATGCCGAGTTATTAAATATATTGCAATGGATACAAGCAAATATATTGTCACTTAATCTCCAGAAAACAAACTACATGCTATTTAGTAACTCTTTGGATTCATTACCCTCTGACATTATTTTTGACAATACCCCTTTGAAACATGTCCCTCTTACCAAATTCTTGGGTATAACAGTCGATGATAAACTTTCTTGGGAACCACACATTGATGATATTTGTAAAATCATTTCGCGCAATATTGGTGTTATTAATAGACTAAAATTGTACTTACCACAATCATCATTATTTATGCTGTATTCTTCATTGATCTTGCCATATTTGAATTACGGTCTTCTAGTTTGGGGCAATACACATCATACATTGTTGGAAAGAGTTCTATTGCTACAAAAGAGAGTTATTCGTATTATCTGTAATGCCCCCATACGCTCCCATACTGATCCTCTGTTTTTTGAAAATAACATCTTAAAAATTAAGGATTTGTACTTATTTCAGCTTGGTCAATTTATGTTTAATTACAATAATGGTATACTGCCCTCCGTGTTTAATGATATGTTTCTTAAAAACCATGCTGTTCATAGATATCCCATTCGACAATCCGATGAGTTTCACTTACCTCTTTTGAGAACATGTTCTGCACAGAACACGTTCATTTTTGAAGGCCCTAAATTTTGGAATACTCTGCATAACGATTTGAAAACTTCCCCTTCACTAATTGCTTTAAAAAAAAGTTAAAATTTTCCTTATTACAATCTTATAATATTTAGAAATTTATTGTGATAGAACATCTCCTTCCCAATTTTGTTTTCTTTCCCTCTTTTCTGCAGCCCATCTAAAAAAAAAAAACAACTTGCCATCATGTTCTTGCTCTTTTTGTTTCAGCTATCTCAAGGATTTTGTGCGCTCCCTATTTCGTGCTCGATCTCTACAACTTTCCTTTTCTCTCCTCTCCTTCCCTCCAAACGCAGCCCACATTTTTTCCCCCTTTTTTTTTCTTCTTCTTTTTTCTGTTCTTTCTTCGTCATGTAATTATTTTGTTACGTCTTCTTGTTTACAGTCATTACGTGTTTTAATAAATGTTCTCTGTTGGCCACTATTCTTCTTTCATTGATTATGTATTCCATATTTTGTTCACACTCATTATTATCTGAGGGGTCCACAATTTACAAGCTTTGCTTTTCAGTGGACCTCTCCATTTCCTCAAAATATAAATGCAGTTAAATTTTAAAATTCATTTGTTTTCTTACTAAAATGTATAAATTATTATTAAGATTTGTTTATTACAAATGTAACTATGTTTTGTATACATTTTACATTGTATTCGCTATTATGTATTATATTTTGTTGGAAATGAAAAAATAAAAATGAAATGAATGAAATAAAATAATTAGTTACAACAAGAGATCTTACTAATTTTAGTGAGACAGAGATGTATTGCAAAAAAGTTATCGGGTGAGAGGAGCAGAGAGAGTCAAAGTCTGAACAATGGAGAGAGAGAAAGGGGGCTAGGGGGTGGCAAACTGAGAGCAAGTGGAGGAAGAAATATTCACAATACAAATGTAATTATTAAATGAACGAAAGCAAGAAGAGAATGAAAGGTACATCATTTGTGAGGAAGTGAGGGGATAAGAGCACATTTTTTTTAGGGGGGGGGGCTCCCAAAAATTTGAAAATCGCGCTGGTCGCAAATTCGCTCAGTGGGGGGGGGGGGGGCGGGGGTGTTGCAAACTTTTTTTTTTTTGGCCTGGGGCTGCACGTCCCTTCTTCCCTCCTTTTTCAGTACATTTTTGGCGGATTTGGGGCTAATTTTAACAATTTTTTTTTGGCCGGGGGGGGGGGGGGGGGGGCACGTGCCCCCTGTGCCCCCCTGGATCCGCCTCTGATACCCTATTGCATGCACTGCCACTATTACTAGTTATACTACTTGCGCCCTCTATAGCAAGCAATGTGTAATTGGTGCCCATGTTGTACAGTTGGTCGCCCATGATCCTCTTTTCTTATGTTAATTGGGAGCTGATTTGATGAGATAACCACCTGTCAGTGACCTTGCAGGGAGGTTTAACCCCCCCCCCCCCCCCAGGCGCGCCGGAGGCAGTTTGGGATTGGGGGGCTCACCTTCCCGGGGCAGTGGCGTAATGAGCAAAAACGTTTGGAAACCCCAGCTGGGGGTCAAGGGGCTGAGCCCCTGGAAGCTCAGGGTTTTTAGGCATTAAATCACGGTCAGATATATAAGCATATTTACATACCTTATTTGTGACACTGTTAGGTCACTAATTGGCGGAGAGTCCAGGGGACCATTGATGTGGTCCAGGGGGCAGAGCCCCCGGAAGCTCAGGGATTTAGGTATTTAATTACAGTCAGATGAGTATCCAGGGGCCGCCTAGGGCCCTTGTGGTGGGGTCAAGGGAGCAGAGCCCCCGGAATCTCAGGGGTTTTAGGTACTTAATTACGGTCAGATAAGTATCCAGGGGCCTGCTTTAGGGCTCTTGGTGGGGTTCCAGGGGGTAGAACCCCCTGAAGCTCTGGGATTTTAGGTATTTAATTACGGTCAGATGAGCATATTTTTATACCTTTTTTGTGAAATTGGCAGGTCACTTATTTTTTTTCTCTGTCTCTTTTTTTTCTTTCTCTCTGTAACGTACGTTTTCAAAGAGTGAGGGGGGGGGGGGGGGGCTTGAGCTCCCGAGCCCAGCCGTTTCTGCAGGCCTTGACATGAAGGCTTCTAAATAAGCATATTTTTCGGCCGACTGTAAATTTGGGAATTTCTAATTCCAACCAACGCATAAAAATGTACTTACACAAAAAAATTGAGAAAAAATACCGGAAAATCATGTCATTTCAGCAACATTTGTAAATCACTGTTATCGAATAAGAAATACCCCCCCCCCATCCCCCATCCCCCGTCAGTACGCCGGCTTTCAGGGGCTCATGTCTTCTCACCCCTATAACAAAAAACACACGCTTTCCCATCCTCTCACAATATATTTCCACGAGATGCGCGTATCGCTATTATAAAAACCTCCATTGATAAATATAGGTGGCATGCGGAATGTTTAGGAAATTGAATTCCTGTTAACTTTCCTTTTCTTTGAATGGAATTTTATATGTGATTTAATTCAGGTTTTTATTATTGTTATGTTCTTCTGGGTTGAAAATATAAACCATTACTTTACTGCTTTTTTCTCTTTACCCTCCTCAACCCCCACCCCTCCCCACTTCCGGCGCCTATGCCCCCCCCCCCCCCTAGCCGAACAAACCAGTGGCTTTAGTACAGACAGGCTTTAAAAACTTTGATGCGGGACTGCACTACTTGACTAGTAGTAGTTGTAGCCTATACTGGCGACCTCCATTTGTGATTCAAGGGGGGGGGGGGGGTTGGGTGTTCAAACACCCCATCCACCCCTCCCCCCCCCCTGCCCGGCCCCCACTCAGGGTATGCATATGCATGTTCCCTCCTTTTGAAAACACCCCCCTAAGTCCGGTGTGTAAAGTCAATACGGGCCAAATTTTTGTGTACTACGAGTACGAGCCGGACTTTGGTGCTTGAAAAGTACACCTTTACCAGACATTTTGGGAACATGCATGGTATCCCTCCGTTCACGCTTATTCGGTCGGCCGGCTTAGTCGCCGATTAATATCTTATCACGAGAAAGAAAGAAAAAGTTCTCACTACTCCACGGCTGAGTCGACGCTAAATATTTTCTCATGAATTCGCCCCCCCCCCTCCCTCGCCGCCCGCCCCCCCCCCCCCTCCCCCCGGGCCCGCCCTCTGCCACTGCCCTTTGGTAAGGCATTAATCCTCATTACCAGGTCCGTCGGAGAGGACCTAAAGCCGTCGATCGGCCGTCTGGTTGCTTACTTACAAGCATTTATGCTTTCTTATAGCAGTCAGGTAAAATAACCACCAACATGCACCAACCACCACCAGTTCGTGTACAAATCGAAACTCTTAGCTAGCGACCACGCCCATTCGTTCGGTATTGGTGTTTAGTGCATGTTGAGAGCGACGTACGTGCGCGGGCGCGTGCGCGCGTGAAAAGGCTGCTTAACCAAGGCCAATTGCTATTGCTAGCTCGAAAACATGTTGGAGATTTCATCGCATATATTCGCACTGGACTAGACTGCATGTAACTTTATGTTTATCATCTCGATTCTGGACTCGATTCAACATATAGGGCTCTACCATTATTATGAGAACAGGACAGCCTCAGGACCTAGATGTGAGAGGACAATTTTTTAAATTTCTGTTGGCGCTGGCTGTTGCCGATGTCCCTTTTTTGTTGACAGATATATTTAGAATTTAACATGTACCGATATACGTTCTATTGTTCACTAGATGCATAGACTGTCGACACAAAGCTAGGTCGCATTATCATTGCGACCAAACCAAACTCGGTTATTTTATCGATGTTTATTTGCAATATATTATTAGTCGGATATGATATAGCCATCATGGATATTTGTCCTTTCTATATTGTCTGACGTAACAATTCTTAGAAGATTTATGAAATATTGCTTGTTAAATTACTGGTTTAGGCCAATAAATACCCAGGGGCGGATCCAGAAATGTCTTCCTGTGGGGGGAGGGGGGGGGGGGGGGGGGTCAGTGGCGGATCCAGGGGGGGGGGCCCGGGCGGCGAATTTTTTTTCCGTACTCGAGAGGGCAAATACCCCATGTGCGCATGCGCGTGGACTTGTGATTTCTCTGCTACTTCCCATACGAAATGTACATGTATTCGCATGTACTGTGCACGATTCGCGTTCTACGAGTAAACGATGGCATAGTAGTCTTCAAACACAGACTCTGATTTGCCAGTTTGACAAAACAATTACGCATATATCGTGCGTAGCAATAGTACTAGTATTCAAGTCTGAGTAGTTGTATGATTCAGACATTTTAGTGCTTACAGAAATGCATCCCAAATTGAATAGCATGGTATAGTAGTCTGCAAGCACAGACGCTAATCGGACAGTTTGACAACATAGTGTCTTGAGTAGTGCTTTATATTCAAATATGTGTAGTTTTATGATTCAGACCCTACTGGTGCGTGTATTGGAAAGGCATCTCAACTTGCAGAGTGGCATAGTAGTCTGCAAGCACAGACGCTAATCTGACAGTTTGACAAAATAGTGTTATTCAAGTCTGAGTAGTTTTATGATTCAGACCCTACTGGTGCGTGAGAGAGAGAGAGAGAAAGAGAGAGAGATATGGAGAGAGAGAGAGAGAGAGAGAAAGAGTGTGAGAGAGCAGTGGCACAATACATAGGCCTACCATGGGGTCTGGAATCATTAAACTACACAAACTTGCATAAAATCACTACTCATCAATACACAATATATTATTATGTCCTTGCAGACTACTATACTACACTCTACACATTGAGATGCATTTCTAACGCACGCACCAGTAGGGTCTGAATCATACATCTACGCAGACTTGAATAAAGTACTTCTCAGCACACTACTAGTATGTTGTCAAACTGTCAAATTAGCGTCTGTGCTTGCAGACTACTATACCATTCTATACAAGTTGCAATGTATTTCCATATGCACTACTGGGTCTGAATCATACAACTACACAGACTTGAATAAGCACATCGCGACACATACGCATATTGATTTGTCAAACTGGCAAATCAGAGTCTGTGTTTGAAGACTACTATGCCATCGTTTACTCGTAGAACGCGAATCGTGCACAGTACATGCGAATACATGTACATTTCGTATGGGAAGTAGCAGAGAAATCATAAGTCCACGCGCATGCGCACATGGGATTTTTGCTCTCTCGAGTACGGAAAAAAAATTCGCGCCCGGGCGCCCCCCCCCCTTGAGAGACAAAAATCATGTAAATTCACGTGATTTTTACCTTTTTAGGGGGTTGGCCCCCCCCCTAGTGCTCAAGGGGGGGGGGGGGGTGCAAATTGAAAATTTTTCAAGGACCAAAAAAAAAAAATTTGCCCACTACCCCCCCCCCCCCCCCCCCCCCCCCCCCCCCCCCCCACTGAGCGACTTTTCGACTGGCACGATTTTCAAATTTTCGGGAGCAAAAAAAAAAAAAAAAGTTGGGCCCCCTCCCCTAAGAAATCCTGGATCCGCGGTTGGGGGGGGGGGGGGCACACAGTGGGTAAGAGGACATCTATATATTTTTTTTTTGTCCCCCCCCCCAAAAAAATCGCAAGGACTCAGTCGCTGAAAAAACAGGGGGAGGGGGAGGGGGGGGATAAGAGCACATTTTTTTTAGGGGGGGGGGGGGCTCCCAAAATTTGAAAATCGCGCTGGTCGCAAATTCGCTCAGTGGGGGGGGGGGGGGGGGGCGGGGAGTGGTGCACACTTTTTTTTTTTTTTGCCTGGGGCTGCACGTCCCTTCTTCCCTCCTTTTTCAGTACATTTTTGGCGGATTTGGGGCTAATTTTAACAAATTTTTTTTTGGGGGGGGGGGGGGGGGGGGGGGGGGGGGGGGGGGGGCACGTGCCCCCTGTGCCCCCCTGGATCCGCCTCTGATACCCTATTGCATGCACTGCCACTATTACTAGTTGTACTACTTGCGCCCTCTATATAGCAAGCAATGTGTAATTGGTGCCCATGTTGTACAGGGGGCTCACCTTCCCGGGGCAGTGGCGTAATGAGCAAAAACGTTTGGAAACCCCAGCTGGGGTCAAATACATGTATTACTGATCCCCCTCCTAAATTGGAAAATAAAATATTCTAATTGGCCTCACTATTATTATTCCATTTTAATTATGACACTCTTTACTTAGCTCTCTATTTCTTTCTATCTACGGCAGGGAACCTTCAACCTATGATGTAGCTGACTCTGAGATGTGCGAGTCAGCAACCATGGAATCTGGATGTAGCAGTGAGGAAACCTTGTCGGTACTGAGATCGTGTGACTTGACAACTGCGATTTCGCGGGGGAAGGCGAGTGAAGAGATGCTAGAGCGATGTGCTCAAGAGGGTCGTATTGATGTCCGAAACAAGGAAGGACAAACACCGCTGATGCTCGCATGTTTGACAGGTCTTGAGGATGTTGTCAAGTTCTTGTTGGCAAATGGTGCCAACCCCAACTCCAATAGTTTAATGAAGGGTAATACCCCTTTGCATTTTGCATGCATGGTAGAAGACACAGTAGAAGAGGAGTACTTATCTGGAAGATGCTATCAACCCAAAAAATGGACGACCATCAAGGTATCTATTGTGAAGCTTCTTCTGAAGTATGGAGCATCTGTTCAGAAGAACCTAGATGGATGGACTCCAGCATGTGTAGCTGCATTTAACATGTTTAAGGACATTGTTGACTTCTTCTTGTTGATTGATGATGGTAGTCCTTTGGAGGACAAAATCACTGCTTCTCAAATACTTGGAGTTTCACAAGCTACTCTTGATGAACCGGCTCTCAAAGATGCATTTAACTCTTTCCGCAGAGCCTTAGACTTACAAGAAGATGCAGGAGTTATCACAGGCCAAGCTGAAACTTCTGAACTTGCATTGTGTTTCTCGAAGCTCTCTTTGACAGAATTTCACACATCGGAGGAAATCTGGTCGGTTCGATCGTCTGAAAGTGCTTTTAAGGCCCATGCATTCTTAGTTGGTGAGAGATTATTTCCCCCAAGTCTCAAGCAGAAATACCTCTACCCATCCCTTACACACTTTGCAAGTCTTTTAATGTTCCAAGAAGACATGGTAGAAGCAGGCTTTCAAATATTCTCCTATACCCTTGGTTTGGAAAGATGTGGAGAATTGAAGCTAGGAACAGTACTAGATCACATAGCTGATAAATATCAAGATCACTGTGTGTATGATGGCAAAAAAGCACCACAACCTCTTGTTCGTCAACGTGCACGAGATCTGCTGTGTGCCTATGATTCAGTAGTTAATAATGTAAATGTACATATTGATAGTATGTCGGGGATGTGTCATTCGCTTATAGATAGCTTTGGTGACATACTTTTTGCTGAAGTTTTTTCTGGGTTTGGTTTTGATGACTTGAAATCCACCTTGGAAGATGTAGAGAAGTTACTGAGGGTCATTCAAGGTAGGGCATTTAGGGAAAGGCAAGATGAGTATCCCAAGATGCCTTCTGTAGCACACAAAATCATGAAACTTCTGCTGGAACTCTTAGACAGCGGAAGAGATTTAATAGATAGAAGCCACCTTCTGAAGGTAAAATTTGTGTTGCTCAGGGTTCTAATGTCCGACAATGCTTCTTACCAGGATGTGTCCTGCGAAGAAACTCCTTTCCAGGACGAGTCCGGTGGCAACACGCTGCTGCACTTTGTAGCGTACTTTACATATTCAGTAGAATATATGGAATGTATTCAGGATCTTGCCCAGGATCTTGCCCTGGTCCTTTTACGTCACGGATGTCCTCTAGATGCAGTGAATGCAGGAGGCGATACCGCCAGAGACCTTTTGCAGCATGGTGGACTTGAGGACCAGAATATCCATCTCATTCAGACATTGGTGAGTCCACCAACCACAGTATTACGTCTGGAGGAAGCAGCTGCCAGAGTAGTCCTGCGACACAAGATCAACTACCAAGACGTCCTTCCTCTGACGCTGCGTGAGCTGGTGGATGGTGGAACTGCGGAATTAGAGTTAGAATTATTAAAATTATTACAAACAAATGAAGACAGCAGTGAAGACAGCAGTGAAGACAACAGTGAAGACAGTAGTGAAGACAGTGAGTAATTTATACTTACAATTAAGTCAAAGGTTTTTTGCAAGGATGCACTGAAGGCAAAAGGAGACAGAAGCCTAGATTGAATGATGGAATTAGAAACTTAACAGATCACTTGTCTCAGCTCAACGTATCGCTTTAGACTGAACACTCTTGAGAACCATCGTCAACAGGCCTGGTCATGAAAGGTCCTGTAATATAGATTTCATATCACGAGAAATTAGAGGGGTAAATTTGACAGATTTTGTTAGTTACTCTCAGATCAAGTTCTGCATTTTAAACCATTTGTGCCACTATGCAAACTCCTTTACGTTTTGATACTTTATGTTTTTATGTGCCTTCTATTACAAATTGGTTGTTTTTTACTTTGCTACCTGATAAGCCATTGCTGCAACTTGTTCAGTCATTGACTCAGGGTTCAATGAAAATTCCATAATTGGATGTACAGTCCCGTGTACGTGCGGTCCTAAACGAATGTATTTGAACTTTTTTTGGGGGGGGGGGGAGGGGGAGGGGGGGGGGGGGGGCTTGTGTCCTTTTGGGCCTTTAGGCACGTGCAGATTCAGGTTTTTGTAAAAGAGGGCACAAAGAGGTGACATTTGTGTTCCTTTTTACCACAAAATCCTTAGATCGGGGCAAAATCTGCCATCTTGCATGCATTTTTTATGTGTGCCTCATTCAAATTAATGTATAATCAGTTAAGAAATTAGGGGAGTCGCTCCCCCCCCCCCCCCTCCCTCTATAACCACTACAGGTCCTGTGAAGAGAGAACTTATCCCAACAAGAAGGAGGGGCAAAAGTAAAGGATAAACAAAGTCTAGGAAGGGAAAACTATTTTATGTGTCAAAATTTGAACACTTCAATTTCGTCGTCAGACTGGCCAATGTACTTTTCACTTTGCCAAACCTGAACTTGATAGCCTTATTAATGCAGTGTTTTTTCTTGTTTTGATTGAAACTGGTTGAATTCTTGAATCTATGTATTTTTACATTTTTTGTAATATTATTGTTTAGGAATGTTGCATTAAATTCATTAATTTTCAGTCACCTTTTACTCTCAAATTATGTTAACTATTGCTCACTGTGCCTACATACCTAGGTGCCCCTCAGGGGTGTGTCCTATCTCCGGTTTTGTTTTCACTGTATACAAGTGATTGTGTAAGCTCTACTTCTTGTTGTGTAGCATACTAAAATATGCTGATGACACCGTAATTACTCTTTTGTCTAATCAGGCGAATGATTACTTCTCACAAGTAGACGAATTCATTCGCTGGTGTGATGATCATTACTTAACATTAAACACAACCAAAACCAAAGAAATGGTAATCGACTTCCGTCGAAAAGGTACAGACCACGAGAAAGTAATCATTCATAAAGAGACGATTATATCTTGGAACTGTCTTAAATGACAAATTATCATAGAGGGATAGCACACAATCCGTAAGAAAGCTAACAAGCATTGTTTTTTCTGCGTAAGTTGAAAAGTTTCCATATAGATGCAAAATCCTGACCCTGTTCTACAATTCAATAATAAAGAGTGTCCTGCTTTTCAATTATTAAATATTATATGTTCATTTGGCAATCTCTCAAAACAGGACAAGAAGAAATTGGAAAGGCCACGTAAAATAGCACAGCGCATAATTGGGATAGAACTATCTTCTGTTGAGTCTCGTTGTACTGAGCAAATTGTTGAAAAGGTCTGTGCAATCATGAAAGACAATACGAATCCACTTCATTTCTTTTATTCATTTAATTGCTCGGGTATCCGACTTCGCCCCACCCCAACCCGCCTTTCACGATTCAGATATTCATTTGTACCCGACTCTGTTCATAAATTCAACTCACAGGTTAAGTGTTAAACTTCTGCGTTGGAAATGAATTAATACTGAAACTATTATGATTTGAAATACCAATGACCAAAGCCAGGCGCGTACACAGGGGGCGGGGGGGGGGGGGGGGGGGGGGGGGGCGGGGGTTAACCCCCCCCCCTTTGGTTATTTTTTTGTGTGTAAACCCCCCCCCCCTAAATTTCTCTAAAACCCCCCTCCCTTTTGGATTTTTTTTTTTTTTTTAATTTTTTTTTTATTTCAGCGGTCGGCTGAGTCGTTGCGATTTTTTTGGGACCCCCCCCCCCAAAAAAAAAAAAATTACCTCTTACCCCCCCCCCCCCCGCTTATTCAGCGGCTGGCTGAGTCGTTGCGAAATTTTCGGCCCGATTTATAAATGTTAAACCCCCCCCCCCCCCCCCCCTTGAAAAAATCCTGCGTACGCGCCTGACCAAAGCTTAATTTTGAAACTCATGATTTGAAGTACCAATGACCATTTCTGTCGCTTCATTATCTTTTGCATGTATTTGTTCCTTATTTCATCTATTTCTATAAACGTGATGTATTTATTTCTTGTAATTATGTATTTTATTGAATATTACTGTAACGCCAGTGGAAACCAAATTTCTATGTAACTTGTTTGCAAAGACCAAATCAAATATCTTGTATCTTGTATATTTGAAAAGATTATAATCATCATAGTGAAATTATGTAAAATTATATATCACATTTTCCATATAGATGCAACAATCCTGACCCTGTTCTACAATTCAATAATAAAGAGTGTCCTGCTTTTCAATATTATATGTTCATTTGGCAATCTCTCGAAACAGGACAAGAAGAAATTGGAAAGGCCACGTAAAATAGCACAGCGCATAATTGGGGTAGAATTATCTTCTGTCGAGTCTTGTTGTACTGAGCAAATTGTTGATAAGGTCTGTGCAATCATGAAAGACAATACCAATCCACTTCATTTCTTGTATTCATATTGCTCTGGTATCCGACTTCGCCCCACCCCAACCCGCCTTTCACGATTCAGATATTCATTTGTACCCGACTCTGTTCATAAATTCAACTCACAGGTTAAACGTTAAACTTCTGCGTTGAAATTAATTAATACTGAAACTATTATGATTTGAAATACCAATGACCAAAGCTTAATTTTGAAACTCATGATTTGAAGTACCAATGACCATTTTTGTCGCTTCATTATCTTTTGCATGTATTTGTTCCTTATTTCATTTATTTCTATAAACGTGATGTATTAATTTCTTGTAATTATGTATTTTCTTGAATATTACTGTAACGCCAGTGGAAACCAAATTTTATGTAACTTGTTTGCAAAGACCTAATGAAATATCTTGTATCTTGTATATTTGAAAAGATCATAATCATCATAGTGAAATATGTAGAATTATAAATTTGTTTACTTGTCCGTGTTCTTATTTAGACTGGTAATGTCCATGATATTAACTTATAGACCTTTTGAATAATTAATTACAGCATGATGAGATATTATTAATTTCAGTGAGACATATATGTATTGCAAAACAGTTATCGAGTGAGAGGAGCAGAGAGGGTCACAGTCTGAACAATGGAGAGAGAGAGAGAAAGGGAGGGGTGGCAAACTGAGAGCAAATGGAGGAACTTTAACAATGCAAATGTAATTATTAAACGAAAGAAAGCAAGAAGAGAATGAAGGGTACATCCATGGGTGTCGATCCTTACGTAATACCTATTCATCAGGGGGGGGGGGGGGGGGATGAATGAATATGAATAGATCCCCCCCCTGATGAATAGGTATCAGTGACAGATCGACACCCATGGGTACATCATTTGTGAGGAAGTGTGTAAACTAAACGGAACACATTGTGTACTGTTACAAAACCAACGGGGAAATGGTTGTTAAAGGTAATACAAAGTTTTGGGAAAATTCGAAAATTGGGTGGATAGTGATTCTTTACAATTTTGATATAGTTGGATGCCCCTGTGGATGTATTATGAGCTCTAGAAATGTTAGCCCCTAAAACACTTCTGCTTTCGAGAAAAATTGAATATAAAAATTTACCGGTGCTCCCGGTTAATTTTGATAAATTTCAAATATAGCGCATACTGCCGTACAAGGGTAGCCGCGACCATGAAAATCTCAGAATATGTAGTTGTGATATATAATTTTCAAACGGGAATAGCTAATCGGTCGATTTTAGTCAAGAAACATTGTTTCATAGCTTAATTAATATATTGACCTTGAGAGGGAGCTATTTACAATTTCATAACTTTAGACTCGATTTCAACCGCGACAACGATCACTGAATATGTAAGATCGCATAAGCTTCCAATATGTTCATTTGAACCAAATTCATGAACCCGGCCGGCCATACCAAAACTTTGTATTACCTTTATAAGGGAAGTAAAATAGATGCTGTAAGAGAGATCGACGAGAAGGATACAGACCGACATAAACAGTCTGATAAAATCGTTAACAAAAAAGGAAGGGCTGGGGGATGGTTCATATCACTTTTTAAATGCCTAAGCACACCAAAAGTTACTGACATATAGTGACATCTGTTCTTGCACCCTCTGCAGCAACCCACCCGAAATAAGGATGGCCAGTATATATTAATACTTTTCCACAAGAAGAACTGCTCCATGCCATGCAAGAGAAATGGATATGAGTACAGGGAGGTCATTGCGCATGTACTTTAGTTGAAGAAAATATATATATATATATATTATGTCCTCTTACCCCCCGTCCCCCCCCCCCCCCCGGAAGAAATTCATGGACCCGCCCCTGCACATTGGTGAAATTTAAGTTCGGTGTTCAGTGTTGGTGGTGTTGGTGGTGTTGGTGTGTTGCTGAACCGGTACCGAGTTCCAAAACTGGTTGGAGATTGCATGCATCCGCACTGGACTATAGACTGCAAGCTGCATGTGACTTTATGTGTATCATCTCGATTCTATACATAGGGCTCTACTAGATCTATGTGTTTGAGGGTAAAATAACACCGAGTGACAGTCTGATGTAGAGAACAGGACAGCCTCAGGACCTAGATGTGAGAGGACAATTTTGTTCATTTCTGTTCCCGATGTCACTGTTTTTGATGACAGATTTATTTAGAATTTCACATGTACCGATATACGTTCTATTGTTCACTAGATTTATAGACTGCCGATGTTAAGCGAGGTCGCATTATCATTGCGACCAAACCCAGGCCCCATGCAGTCGGTTATTTTATCGATGTTCATTTGCAATATTTGCTAAATATAGCACTATACCATCATGGATATTTGTCCTCTCTGTATTGTCTGACGTAACATTTCTTAGAAGATTCATGAAATATTTGCTTGTGAATGTAGATCTAGACCTAGACCTAGATCTACTTCTTCAAAAATTGTTCTTGTTGCTCGAGAGGGGGGGGGGGGGGGGGGGGGGGGGGGGGGTGGATGTAGAGGAAAAAATGAGTGTTAACTCTCCCCCCCCCCCCCCCCCTCACTGAGCCAAATAAAAATTAGAAGATTTATGAAATATTGCTTGTAAAAGGACTTCTTCAAATTAATGGTCGGTTTAATGCCCCACTGCCCTCCATATAGCAAGCAATGCCTAATCAGTACGTGCCTGTTGGTCCCCATGATCCTCTTTTCTTGTGTTAATTGAGCTGATTTGATGAGATAACCACCTGTCAGTGATCTTGCAGGGAGGTATAACCCCCCTCCCCCCCTCCCCGGACAAACTAGTGCAGAGGGGCTTTAAAAACTTTAAGCGGGACTGCACTACTTGACTTGTACAAGTTGTAGATTACTTGCGCCCTCCATTGGTGGTATCGAGGCGGGAGGCAGGAATTTTTGGGTGTTCAATCACCCCCTCCCCGGCCCCCCCCCCCCCCCCCCTCTTGCCAAACAGGGGGATGATTTACAATTTTAAAGGTACTATGTCCCTTTTGCAGCCAACCTCAAATTCTGTAGAACTTTGCAGGAATTATGAATATGTCATGTCTATGTCCTATCTGTGAAATTTAAACGTTAGCAGTGTCCTCATATTCAAATTATGCAAGGAAACCTGTTTACTTGCTAGACTTCACTGTCAGACACTATTGAGTGACTGACTGGCTTTTTTTCTTCTTGGTAATAACATACATGAAAAGAGTTGTAAAGGGTACATGAGCATTTGTCTACATCAATAACCAACTTCTTGTGATGTCCAAGATTAAACTGATTGAATCTTTACGCAGCATAAAACGTATGACCATTTGGTACAATTGTCTGAAAATCAAGACTATTACTTTTGGGCTCTATAGCCCTTAAGTCGATTTGACAACTAATAGTCGTTATTTTGCCACTTGAAGACATTTTCAAGCCCCACCTTTTTTAGGGAAGTTCTAAATTAGTATTATCTTTCAAATGCAGTTGGAATTTAACTTTTTCATTTTTTTGGCCTGCAAATGGGACATAGTACCTTTAAAGGCGGCTGTTTATCAATGTTTATCAATACCCCCTCCCCCCCCCCCCCCCCCCCCCCCCACCCGGCCTAAAAACTAAAAAGTATTTAATAAATGTTGTTGTTGCTCAGGGGGAGGGGGGGGGGGGGGTTGGATGTTGAGGGAGGAAAAAAAGGAGTGTTCACTCCCACCCCCCCCCCCCCACCCCCATTGAGCCAAACAAAAATAAGAGCTTACATGTTCTTCTAATGGCTTTGTCAATTGTCATGAACAATTATTGAAAAGAAGCAGGATGATCAACCAGATTTCTAAATTTAAAGTAGGGAGCTTGGGGTGGGGCTTGACTGCTAGCTGGTCTCTAGTAGTATACCCAGATGTTGTGTGTCTGGACAGGTTGTGTATCTGGACAGTTGATTTAAAAGAAGTGTATGCACAATTGTTCATGAATCTTAATAAGATTTATGTTAGGCAATATTGCTTCTTGATGTTTACATTTCGTTACATCCAAAGGCAAAAGTGGTTGTTTTATTTTTGTTAAGCGTCCAGACACAAGCCCCCATCATAATTACCATGTCATAGGGGCTAGATCTGCCTGTGTTGGCTCGAGTTTCCGTTGAAGGACATCATGCAAGGCCAAGGCTGAGTAAAATTAATTTCTAAGAGTTTCATTTCGCATGTTGATTTTTGGAAATTGAAGGGGGGAAGGTTTCATGCCATTTGTCATTTACAAGATATTGTCTGATACTCTGATTTTACCAATAAATTTAGATATTAGGGACATTTTGTATCCCTGGGAAGATTGAACAGGATTTGAGACAAATGTTGAAAATACATGTACAGCGGTCCTGTAAAATGCAGTGATGTTACAGAAGAATGTGGTTTTTACTTCTGTTTTTAACCTCGGGCTGTTGTGCATCCATGGACAAATAAAACTGAAGAAAAATTAGACGGATTCAGACCCCATGTTTTTGTGCTGGAAAATCTCAAGTTGTCAAATACCGGTACATGTATTCCTGATTCCCTCCTAAAGTAGAAAATAAATATTCTAAATTGGCCTCACTATTATTATTTTATATACATGTATATGCCACTCTTTACTTAGCTCCCTATTTCTTTCTATCTTTGGCAGGGAACCTGTTATGATGTAGCTGGTGAACCATGTAGTTTCTGAGATGTCCGAGTCAGCAACCATGGCATCTGGATGTAGCAGTGAGGAAACCTTGTCGGTACTGAGATCGTGTGACTTGACAACTGCGATTTCGCGGGGGACGGTGAGTGAAGAGATGCTAGAGCAATGTGCTCAAGAGGGTCGTATCGATGTCCGAAACAAGGAAGGACAAACACCTTTGATGCTCGCATGTTTGACAGGTCTTAAGGATGTTGTCAAGTTCTTGTTGGCAAATGGTGCCAACCCCAACTCCAATAGTTTAATGAAGGGTAATACCCCTTTGCATTTTGCATGCATGGTAGAAAAACACAGTAGAAGAGGAGTACTTATCTAAAAGATACTATAAACCCCAAGAATGGAGGGCCATCAAGGTATCTATTGTGAAGCTTCTTCTGAAGTATGGAGCATCTGTTCAGAAGAACCTAGATGGATGGACTCCAGCATGTGTAGCTGCATTTTACATATTTAAGGACATTGTTGACTTCTTCATGTTGATGGGTGATGGTAGTCCTTTGGAGGTCAAGTTCACAGCTTCTCAAATACTTGGAGTTTCACAAGCTACTCTTAGATCTGATTCTGAATCAGCTCTCTGCAAAGATGCATTTCACTCTTTCCGCAGAGCCATAGAGCTACAACAAGATGCAGGAGTTATCACAGGTCAAGCTGAAACTTCTGAACTTGCATTGTGTTTCTCGAAGCTCTCTTTGACAGAATTTCACACATTGGAGGAAATCAAGTCAGTTGAATCGTCTCAAATTGCTTTACAGGCCCATGCATTCTTGGTTGGTGAGAGACTATTTCCCCCGACTTTCAAGCAGAGATACCTCTACCCTTCCCTTACAGACTTTGCAAGTCTTTTAATGTTCCATACTGACATGGTAGAAGGAGGCTTTCAAATATTCTCCTATACCCTTGGTTTGGAACGATGTGGATCATTAAAGCTAGGAACAGTACTAGGTCACATAGCTGCTAAATATCCAGTCCACTCTGTGTATAATATAAGAGGACCACAACCTCTTGTTCGTCAACGTGCAAGAGAGCTGCTGTGTGCCTATGATTCAGTAGTTAATAATGTACATATTGATAGTCTGTTGGGGTTGTGTCATTCGTTTAGTTACAGCTTTGGTTCCATACTTTATGCTGAACCTTTAGATTACTCAAGTTTTGATGACTTGAAATCCACCTTGGAAGATGTGGAGAAGTTACTGAGGTCCATTCGAGGTAGGATGTTTAGGGAAAGGCAAGATGAGTATCCCAAGATGCCTTCTGTAGCACACGAAATCATGCGTCTTCTGATGGACACGTTACGTCTAAATTCTTACGTCTGTGGAGACCACCTTCTGATGCTAAAGTTTGTGTTCCTCAGGGTTCTACTCTGGGACAATGCTTCTTACCAGGATGAGTGCAATGGCGCCACGGTGCTGCACATACTAGCATACTCTGCAATTCAGGGAGGACATGTGGAAGGTATTCAGGATCTTGCCCCGGATCTTGCCCTGGCCTTTTTACGTCACGGATGTCCACTAGATGCAGTGGATAAACAAGGCTATACCGCCACAGACCTTTTGCGGCATGAAGGACGTGAGGACCAGAATATCAATCTCATTCAGACATTGGTGAGTCCACCAACCACAGTATTGCGTCTGGAGGAAGCAGCTGCCAGAGTAGTCCTCCGACACAAGATCAACTACCAAGACGTCCTTCCTCTGCGGCTGCGTGAGCTGGTGGATGGTGGAACTGCGGAATTAGAGTTAAAATTATTAGAATTTATGAGAGCAAATGACGTCAGCAGTGAAGAAGGTAGTGAAGAGAGTAGTGAAGACAGTGAGTAATTTATACTTACAATTAAGTCAAAGGTTTTTGCAAGGATGCACTGAAGGTAAAAGGAGACAGAAGCCTAAATTGACTGATGGAATTAGAAAGTTAACAGATCACTCGTCTCAGCTCGTCGTATCGCTTTAGACTGAACAATCTGGAGAGTCACGAAAGGGCTTGTAATATAGATTTCATGTTATGAGAAATTATATAAGTAAATGTGACAGATTTTGTTAGTTACTCTCAGATCAAGTTCTGCATTTTAAACCATTTGTGCCACTATGCAAACTCCTTTACGTTTTGATACTTTATGTATTTATGTGCCTTCTATTACAAATTGTTTGCTTTTTACTTTGCTACCTGATAAGCCATTGCTACAATTTGTTCAGACATTGACTCGGGGTTCAATGAAGATTCTGTGTAACCATTGTCATAATGAAACCATAATCGGATTGACAGTCCTGTGTAGGTGCGGTTCTAAAAGAATGTATTTGAACTCTTTTATTTTGGGGGGGGGGGGTGTCCTTCTGGGCCTTGAGGCACGTGCAGAGTTAGGATTTTGTAAAAGAGAGCAAAAAGAGGTCACATATTTGTGTTCCTTTTTACCACAAAATCCTCTAACATAGATCCGGGGGGAGGGACAAAATCTGCAATCTTGGCATGATGATATGTAAAATGATATACAGAAGCAACTTTGACATGTTGCAAACCTTCAAACTTGCTCCCGACCTCGATATTACAAAAAAATATGCGAAATTGTATCAACGATTTTACTGTGTGTGTTAAAGATTTCACTTCGCGCGCCATAGTGTTCGAAAGCATGAGGGCTGCTCATCCTCGTTCGCTATTATTTTTGCACTGCATTGCACATGTGCAGAATCCATAATGTCAAGCAAGGATTAGGCGTCATCATCGGGTTCCGACAATGAAAACAACATTGTAATATTCCTTTAAACGGTAATTCGAATAACTATTTTTTGGAATCTAATCATTTAATTGTATAGTGTGGATATAATATACATGTGATGTGATTCTTAGCATTATTTATAATGGATAAACTTATGATAAATTTGTGTATATTAGACCTTCTAAAAACTGACTGGAATATGCTAAAGTTGAAAAAGAAGTTGTTTTTATTTAATATCTGCTGCTATACTTAGTTTTTCATGAACATATGAACTTTCATTTTTAGGTAGTTCTGATTACATAAATGTATCATCGAGCATTTGGAAAACCTTTTGAACACTGTATCCTGTGTCATTATGATGCCATGCTAGTTTATAATCGGCAGCAGAATTCTAAGAGACTGGATATACCATGCAAAAAATTGCAAACATTGTCTCAGCCATGCTCTTGTACATGTACTTCCACTTTACAAACAAGTGAAGCATTTCGGAACTTACTCATGTGAATAATATGCTTATCATTCAAATGACTTAAGATAATGTAAGAAGTTGTTGTTTCAAAGAACTCAATATGTGTTTGTAAACTGTGTATCATCGCAGCATTTTATAACCATCATACTTCGATGGTAGGTTTGATATTTCTGAAATTAAAGTACATGTATTGGAATGGAGATTTTTAAAATCATGCTCAATCAATCATAAGACAAGCATTTTGTTTTATTTTGTTTTTTTCTGCTACATAGAATGCTCAGTTTTATCATGTAAAGAATTTTCATATTGGAGTCATAAAAACACATTATGATTACAGAAATGCAATGTACCTGTTTACAGTTGATAGATTATCATGAAGTACAGTAATTACAATTCAACGGAAAGTTGAACGAACCAAAATCTTGTGTAAAAAATATGTTCATTTCATTCTTCAATGTCATTTAGGAAGAAATCCCCAGATTGCAATGGTGAAATGTATGTCTGTGGCTTAGTTGAATGATGAAAACCGAAGTTGTATTTAGATAATAGATATGAGTGTGAATGTTAGGATTGTTGGTTAACCGTGGCGTAGTTTGGGTCCAGATGTTGATGGGAATACAATGTAGATAAACTTTGTGAGAATAAGGCCATGAAGTGAGGGGAGGGTTTCATATTATGTGCATTCTATATGTTGTCTTCCCTCTTCTGTTTTCTATCTTTTATTATAACTTTCACTCTTAATTTATTCTCGTGTTTTTGCTTTTCAATGTGGATAAGCCGGAAAGGGAGGGGTATTTGCATGAGCCTTTCAACTTTTACTGGTATGGCTACGCCACGGTTGATTGATTATTGAACTGAAGTTACATATATATTGGAATGTATGTATTTTGTGTATGGTTGTATGGTTGTTACGGTTTCTGCGAATAAATGAGCTAACCCATGGTGTGAATGTTGCAAGATGATTTGGAAGATGAAGTTGTTATCGTTGTAACCAGAGGCATGCGGGGGAATAGGGGATATTCCTCTTCCCTCATGTTAAAAAAACGTAAAAAAAAGAAAAAAGATAATAGGACCAACTCGCACATGGAGCATTTTTTGGCCTTGTTAATTTGCATTTCATTCCCAAGTAAGATCAATGCCCCTGCCTTATACATGAGAGCCAGTTCCCCCTCGATTGCAGGAAATATGCAATGCATCTGGTTGCGATGTACATATTGAACTGAATTGCTGAGGGTAAATAAGACAAATTGCTGCTGCCGGTTGACACTATTTTAAAGGTAAAGACTAGTATTGGAAACCCCGCAATTTCAAAAAATGAAATGGAAGCTCTCATTACCAATCATGTGAAAGAATATGTTTTGACTAATACATGATGATAAAAAATTTGCCGGGAACCGCCTACTAATTCATATATTTGGTAAATTTGTTTCTCTCATGGTCTGTGAGAGATATAGGGTAGTCCCATATACATCTTTCTGTGTATAGTGCTTGTAACTTTACGAAGAATGGGCCAAATTTCTTATCATTTTGATGATTCCAGAACCTTGCAGATGCTAGATGCTAGATGATCAACCTTTTCTGATCGATTCCACAACGTTTCTTTCACAATGCAATCGCATGACCATAACTGGTCTTTACCTTTAAATGTTATTTCTATGCAAACAACCGGATCATATAAGAGAACATGCCAATAAAATGACAGCGTTGGAACATAAATAACAACAACCACCTATGGGAGCTGTTGCAAACAAAAAAATCTACTATCTTTGATTTTTTTTTTCTTCTCCATCTCGGGAATAATTTTTTAAAAACACTGCCAAAAGTCACCGACGCAAATGACGGCAACTCCTAGCCTGTACCCTCTGCAGCACCCATACCCGGGAAGTCTGAAAAATAGTATACTCAACCTTTACTGATGAAGAAGCGGGACTAGAGAAGGAGAGGAGAGGAGAGGGATGGAGGAGCTAGGAGAATGGCCATTTATTGTCCCTTTCAGGAAATTATTTTTTCACTGGTTTTACAGTCATTGTACATATATAATACAAAAAATAATAGCAAATGTAGGCTACGACCCCGCCCCCCCCCCCCCCCACTCAGTGTTATTTAGGGTACATATGCTTGTTCCCTCTGTTTGAAAGCACCCCCTATCTGAGGACTGCCAACATTTCCGAACCCCCCTTTCACGGGCTTTTCGCGGGTTTTTCCTGCCTTGGAGACCCCCCTAAATCATGAAAAATGTACAATGTACCCCCTAAATTCGGAATAATTTCTCAGGAGTCCAAAGAGAAAAAATGAAAAAACACCCCCTTTTTAAAGAAATCTCCAGGTGAAAAGTTAATACGGTGACACGACATTTGCTCCTGCGACAATTGCTCCGGGCTTTATTTCTTCTAAGATGTAGGGTTAGGGTTAGGGTTTCAATAGGGTTTTATGTTAGGTTTAGGGTTAGGTTTAGGGTAGGGTATAGTGTTGAATCCAGGGTTGAAGTTGGCCATTCGATTAGTGTATGAAATTTACAGCGGAGCAATTGCCGCCGGAGCAAATGTCATGGAATCGTTAATACACCCCTTTTTTACAATTCTCGGGCCGGACTTTGTCGCACGAAAAGTACCCCTTTACCGGACATTTTGGTAACACGCATGGGGTCCGTTCTCGGAGTGGGGGGGGGGGGGGGGGGGGGGGGCTACGACCCCTAGGCTACATCGTCACAAACATAATAACATTCTGAAAATGATTGTTACATATTGGAAACGGAAATATATATACATTGATTGCAATATAATCATAAACTGTATCTAGGCCTATAAAGTTAAAATTCGAACCTGTCTGTTTATTTGTAGGTAATGTAGGTAGGTTTAGTATTATAAGCCCTATAACAAAAATTAACTTCAGAACAAATAAAGTTGGTTTGAGTTGGGCCTACAGGACCTCCGGGCTGATGAACCTTAATTAGAAGAAGGAAAGAGTAAGAGAAGAAAGAAGGAGAGGAATAGTTTTATTGATAGAAAGTTGCTGGGAAATGACACGCATATGCGTCGATTGTACCCACTAGTTGGGGGGGGGGGGGGGGGGCTGGGGCCCTATAGCTGGGGCTTCCGACGATCCCCGCAGTGGAAGAGCGGCTCGCCGAGCATGGAACTTCATAGCCAAGTGGAATGTTACACATCCCATTGTTACACTCACGAACGCGTTTGAATAAATTAAATGAGTTTCCACCCCTTTATTTCACTTCCCCAGAGTCCCGCTAGCTAATGAATATTCATAAGTTATGAATTACGTCATGAACTTATTCACACGTGCACAGGCCATTTCATTTGGCTGTTTGTAGTTGAATTATTACTTATATCAACGATAAATCGTGATTGACATTCTTTATCAGAAGTTGGAACGGTCTGTCTAAGGTCAAGATGCCTAAAGTAAGAGTGGAGAAGAAATCACGCGTTCATGATCAAGTGTACAAGCAAGGTATGTGACTCATTTTCGAATTATAACTAAAGTTAAGCTTACCCCTAACTCCGGGAAGCTCCAACACCGGCGCGCAGCGTCGGAGCTTCGGGTGGTTTGTTGGGTGGCTACTTGCCCAGCCGATTGGGTGATTTGATCGTTAAATCTTCAAAAAGGGTACTTACAATTTTTACATCATAGGGTGCACGACTTCTCAGGGCTCGACTCCAATCACTAAAATGTATCATTTGAAGAAGTCTTCGATGGTAAAAAAAGGTTAATTCAACATACTACACCAACGATTTTTCCATCTCGCAGCGTCGATTCAAAATGGCGATGAGCAGGTACGCATGCGCGGCAGTGGCGCAAAATATATGAATATTCATGCTATCGAGCGCCGATCGCTCGAAATTGCTGAATATGCACGACTCGAACAAACAGAGTGGTGAATGTAAACAACCGCACGTGTTGAACTGTCATATCACGAGCACGCGCGATGGAGATTTTTAAGGCAATATCGGATGTCGTCTCCGAAATCCTACCATTTCATCTCAAAAAAGAACAAAACGATCTACTAAGCCATGCCTTGAAGGGGAAAAACACCCTGGGGATACTCCCAACAGGATTTGGGAAAAGTGAGTGTTTTGGTATCCACCATCTCGTCAAAAAGAAGGTACTATTAATATCTTTTATCTTTTAGTTGTATCCATCTTGCCCATGGACATAGAGTGTATCAGTGATTATTTTACAGTGGTGTACATAGGACTTTTCCTGAAAGGGGAAAAAGTATTAGGGGGGGGGGACACATATTAGGGGGGACTTTCAAATTTAGGGGCACTCATAATTTTTTTCTGGAGATGCTGTGGCCTAATATCTAGGCCTACATAAAATTAAACAGTTTTCACTTTTATGCTGGAGGGAATAATGCCAATTAAAAAGTCATCTTTGCCTCTGATCTTTCTGAAAAATAAGATCTTTTTTTTAAGTATATAGTCTAGGCCTACCCCAAAATAACTAAATAATTAAATACCTAATTAAATTTGATTGCCACTAGTTAGCAGGAAAACAAATATCGATCTGGATCCCAATTCAAGACCAACTCGAAAAAAAATTACACACACACACACATTTCCAGAAATCATTTTGATTATAGTGGAGACCTGAAGAGGAGAACAGGCAAAGGTCACTTTCATTTCAATGTAAATTAGAAATACAATTAAGGTTAAAATCTTTCAAAATATTGCACAAATTAAGCAATATGCCCAAACATTATCCCCCAACATTATCCCCCATCGTGCCTGAAATCAAAAGGTGCTACTCCCCCACCACTTTTTCAAGTTGTGTCCCCTTTCACTTGTGAAAATGACCCCCTTATTCCATAAGTGCCCTGGCCTAGCTTAAGCTTATCACTTGATTTCGACACCTCTTTTTTTCACCCTCTTTTTTCTTTTTAAATAGTGCCTCATTTCGAGCTAGGAATATTTGAGCATGATTTTGTTGGTGGGATATCCTGGGAGAGATTAAACCAAATTTGTCGGAGGATTGCCCCCACCCTCGTAGATACACCCCTGGGGGCGATCAAGCTAGAACTATATCTATATAGTATATCCAAGATTTTGTATTTAGTTCTACTTTAACAAGAACATTTTATTAAATTGGCCCATTATATTTTTGTTCGTGTGGAGAAGGGGGGTCCTGGACGCGCTCATCCTGGACATAGTAACATTATTTTATGCTAATTCATCTCATTTATTTATTAACCAAATAATTCAATAGTTGGAGCCTGCACGTGCAAGCCTGCCTATGACCCTTGTTATGGCCCCACTACGGAGCTTGATGCTCAACCAGGTGGAAAGATGGAGGAGGGTTGGGATTCGTGCGGTGGCGTTAACATCAAAGAGAGAGATGTCAAAAGAAGACTTACAAGGTATGGTTCATGAAAATCTTTGAGGTAACACTTGCATTTTGTAATCAATGTACGTGCATGTACTGTGTTCAATAATCAAATGAATAAACCACATGAACAGAGATAATCACATAATTCCAATCATTTTATTATGACATACAATGAACATTCTATCATGATTATTCCTATGATAGGATTTCCCCGTTTATTTTTTGTTATAGGTCGGTCAAATTTACTAAATTACAATTCTATGAATAATAACCTTGGCAGAATAGTTTATCTGAATGTCTTTTGTGTGTGTGTGTGTGTGTCATTGACAATTTTGCAGGCCTTTCTGCAAAATTGAAATTGGTACTGTGTATACATTTGATACTTTATGTCACTCCTTCTGATCTTAGGTTTACAAACAGGAGATTTCGACCTGGTGTTTTCCTCACCTGAAGTCATCACATCTGCAGCATGGTGGCCATGGCTGCAAAAGAATAAAGGCAGGATCTCCCTGTTGGCATTGGACGAAATGCATTGCCTTTCAAAGTGGTAAACACTTATTTATCATCTCAACGTTATATTTTTTATAAAGCAGGGATACCACTGAAAATCACCTAGAATGGGCTATTTTGTACATTTAAAAGGACTTTTCTATGGCCTGTTATAAGGTGCCAGGACCTGAATTCAGGATTTTGCCTCATATGTGTTGGCCCTGAATAAAGGCTATCAGATTAAAATGTTCATATCATTTGAAGTTTCATGCAATCCTCTTTAATGATTTTCTTAAAATAATAATCTGAATACTTAAGTAGATTCTCACTTTCAGAAAAACTCAGTGCGCACATTTTGAAAAGTATTTGGTTTGACAATGGTCATTGCAGCTGAAATTCTGGAGGACCTCTTTGAACCTAGAGACATAAATGGCTCTAAAGGTTATAGAAAATAACAGACGTGATTCACTGCAGTAATATGGCATTTTGTGTTATTAATTAGTTACCAATGTATACAGATCCTGTGGATTTACAGCATATGGTGAATATCATCATAAGTAGTCAATCCTGTTGCATATTTTTCAGCACTTTTATTTATAGTTCTTTCCTTTTAATTTTACTAGGGGCAAGACTTTTCGTCCAGAATATCTACAGGTGGTCAGCCTCAGAAGTATTGTATCATGCCCCATTATGCTTCTGACAGCTACAGCCACAACCAGCATCATCAAAGAAGTGCTTCATCTATTACATCTAAAGGAGACAGACATTGAAACAGTGGCACATATCCCAGATAGGTAAAATCATTTTATAAACTAGATGGGGTCTCGACTATGCGTAGTCAAAATGTATGACTCCGCCATTGCCAGATCAGAAATATATTGCAAATTCATGAAGAAAGTTACAAAACTTTGGAGAATTAATCAAAATAATATTAGTATATGGTATGAGCTACAAATAATATGGTAACTTAAATTAGTATCTCAATTGACTGAGGAGAACATTTGCTTCAAAAATCATGACATCATTGCTACTCTTGTGTGCATACATAGGCTGTTTTTCTCCCCAAAACCTTTCAAGATATTATGAACATATAATATGTGTGTGACCTTAGACCTTTGACCTTGTAACCCCGAAATCTAATCAGATCATTGTCACTCCCAGGGGCGTACGCAGGATTTTTTCAAGGGGGGGGGGGTTTTAAAATCTGGCCCAAAATATTTTGCTCCCGAAAATTTGAAAATCGCGTCGGCCAAAAAGTCGCTCAGTGGGGGGGGGGTAAGCGGACACTTTTTTTTTTTTTTTTTTGGTAGTTCAAAAAAAAAAATCGCAACGACTCAGCCAACCGAAAAGTCGCTCAGTGGTGGGGGGGTAAGCGGACACTTTTTTTTTGTTTTTGGTATCGAAATTTGAAAATTTGACATTTTGCTCCATTGGGGGGGGGGGGGGGGGTAAGGTCATCTTTTTGAGGTCGGTCATGGGAATTTTTTTATTTTATTTTATTTATTTATTTTTAATTTAAAAAAAAAAATAAAAAAAAAAAATCCCAAAGGGGGGGGGGGGGGGGGGGGGGTTTTAGGAAAATTTAGGGGGGGTTTACACACAAAAAATTACCAAAGGGGGGGGGTTTAACCCCAAACCCCCCCCCCCTGCGTACGCGCCTGGTCACTCCCATATGCATACATGAGCCACTTTGAAGTTGATCCGTCAAACGGTTCTCAAGTTATAGCAAGAACAAATACAGGACAGACAGATGACCCAAGACTCAATTAAGAAATAAAAAGTATCATCACATAGGCTTCATATGAATTAATTGGGTTTTTTTTAATACCAACAGACCAAATATCCACCTATCCCTGGAAAGGACAACATCCACAGATTTCAAAGAGTATCTGAAGGACTATCTTGAAATCTTAAAGAGGGAAAAGGACAAGGCCCCAAAGGCTATCATCTACACACAGTGAGTAAATGTTCTTATTTCAAGCAAAGTAACAAAATAATTTAGTACATGTAAAACTACTAAATAAGAGAGAAGTAATAGTAGCACTGTCCAATGTTGTACTTTGATTCCACCTCAACAGAAAATTTAATCCAGATGATACATCTTTACTTCTTGCATAAAAGTGATTATACATATATTTATTGGTATATCAATCACAAATTATTGATGAAAGTTTTAGAGTCAACATTTTTCTACAGACAAAATAATCTCCATCTGTATACATGCTTGATATATTTCTTTGATTTTCTTTAATTCTTGAAATAACGGTGTTAACGCTGCTTTTATCTTACAAACACATGAAATATTTAAGATTACACCAGTTTCATTTCTTAATATTCTCCTCCATTCCTTTCACACATTGGTTTGTGTATTATCTTGTCCCCTTCAAGATAATTAAATAAACATTGATTCCTCTTTTACTTAATACAGGAGCGTTACAAAAGTAGCAGAGATATGGGGATGGATGCAGACGGAGCTTGGTAATCATCCAGCAGCAGGCCGCCTATGTGAAATGTACCATGCCAGCACCGACCATAAGAGCCAGAGCAGGATCACTCTGACACTCCCTCAGGCAGGAAGCAGGCTACGCTGTGTTGTGGCCACCGTAGCCTTTGGCTTAGGTATTGATTTGCCTGACGTAGAGTATGTCTTTCATTGGGGGGTACCGTCAGATGTGATGGCATACTGGCAAGAGGTTGGGAGGTGTGCCAGGGATGGAAGGGCAGGGAAGGCCAAGATGTATATAACTCCATCCTCTCTATTTTTATCCAGAGTGGATGAAAAGTTCGTAAAGATGATTACCGCAGTAGAATCAGGGCAGCTATGCCTTAGAAGAGGTGTGCTTGATAACCTCTTTGTCCCAGGAATGAGTAAAGATTCATTAAAATCTTGTTCTGCCAATGCAGACTCGTGTTGTTTCGTTTGCGATAAAAATAAAGAATAAGCCATCAACACCTAGATGGATCTTCAACTGCCTAATGCATTCACTAGCTATTTTTGCATATATAATGAGCCCTGTGTCCTTTGACCTCATGACCCCAAAATCTAATCAGTTCATCGGCTCTGCAAGATACCAAAATGACCTAAGTTTTGCGGGAATCCATCAATTTGTTCTTCAGATAACGCGATCACAAGCTATTTTTGCATACATAATGAGCCCTGGGATAAAGAGGTTATCAAGCACTCAAAATCTATTCAGTTCATTGACTCTGCAAGATACATACATGACCCAATTATGGCGGTAATCCATCAATCTGTTCTTGAGATGACACGTTCACAGACTATTTTTGCATACATAATAAGCCCTGTGACCTTTGACATGATGACCCCAAAATCTAATCAGTTCATTGGCTCTGCAAGATAAAACATAACCTAAGTTTAGCATGAATCCATCAATTGGTTCTTGAGATAACGCGATTACAAGAACGGGACGTACAGACGGACAAACCGAAAACATAAAAATGTTCATGTACTTCAAAATGTGCAATATGTGTAACGTTAAGCTGACTTTTTACTGACCTATTATATGTTGAAGATATTTGAAAGCATTCTTTAGCAAATAGTTTAGTTTATTTGCCTCTTCTAGTAATTATTACTTCACTTTACATCTTGGCCTTCCTCAAACTTTCATTTTTTGCAGGGCTCCGATACATAATATTTTGTTGAAACCATTTATGTCAAATATCTTAATGGTAATATACCTCTGTCCATTTAAACCTTGCTGATGCATTTGTGTAAACCCAAATTTTAATTGGAATTGTCATTACAAGACATGTTCTTCCACATGTCCAAATTGTTAGAGAGTTGCTTCAGTTTCTTTCCAAGTTTTTTAGGGTCATGTACTTTGCCGTCATGTACAAATCCTTGAAAGGCTGAATGTTCCCTGCCTGGGAGGTAGTCGAAGAGTGCATCCTGCTCATATTCTTCAACAAAACGGACAATATCATCTTCATATACATTCCGTCTTTGCTTCTGATACTTCGCTCCCATATCAACAACGTTCGCATTAGTGAGCATGGCATCCAACGAACTCCCAAATGGGCCACTCATCTCTGCACACCTTTTCACCTGCTCTTCAGTAAATCTACCTCTGGAAGTCAGCAACATTTCTGCAGTTGATTTATTATGAAAAAACAACAACATTGTTTTGAGTAGTCATCTATAATTAACTGGATAAAAGAAGTTAAATGTGAATAAAGAAAGATATATTTTGTGTTATTTTCACCTGCAATGTGAAAAAATAAAATAATAAAGGTAAAGTCAAAGGCAAATAATTTTTTTTCTGTTTTGAATAATTGAGAATAGTCGAAACTTAGCTAAATTTGGGCTAAAGGCTTTCAACATAACCCATTCTGCCACTTGGTCTAATACGTGTTGGTCTAATTCCCAGATTGTGCAGAAATCAAATATTTTATTCTGATTTGTTAAAAATGTTAATTTAGTTGTCCCTAACCCAATCATTATGAACATTGTTTCATGTGAAAGAATATACCTCTTATCATAAGAGTATTTGGTGAGATCTTGCTGGAGAAAATAACCGCACTGTATATCAAAATAGAATCACCTTACCTTTGTAATCCATGTTCACATGCTCATTTGTCTGATCAAGGCCGATATTCCCACCAGGCTCCCCTGTTGCGTTTGCTACTCGATTCCACATGTAGCTGATCTGAAGCTGAGGGTCTGCAAAACCTCCTACACCTACATGAGATGATAAGGGCATCAGAATTGGATGCAATGCATGCACATAAGTTAAAGTGCACTCCATTAACTCGGGGAGGGTTATCACTTGCAATTTCCCTTATATCCTTATCAGTCAGAATGCAATTAAAAAAATATTTTTCACTAAGGGGATAAATGTTATCAAGATAGCTTACTCTGTATATAGGCCTGTAGTACAGGTTTTATGCTTGGTTACTATTTTTAAACATAGATTGAGTCTGCAATCGCTTTTGGACACGAGTTGTCTTTTAAAATACTAGCTGTTGTCTTAAAGCACCAGTAAATGTATCTGGATTTTAAACTTAACGTTGTCATGGTTTTATAACACTGAGAGTTTGCCCCAATAAGTTAGCCATTTTGGTACATGCAAAATATATATGTACATACATGCAAGTAAGTAGTGGCCATTGATGAAGTACTTTGGATGGTTTTTCTCATGGAAATGAAGCATGTCTGCTTTCCAATCATCGATCATGGCAGGTCCATTTCCCTCGCGAACAGCTTCACGTCTTACAAGATGGCAAAGACCATCGTACATGAGAGCCTTGGTATGGTTGAGTACAGGATCATCATTCTCTGCCCCTAGTGCACAAGTGTCTCCACAATACCATGGTTCTATGAATGAGAAAAGAGATAAATAAGGTATTATATCACTTAACCTTTACTATTTAGGTATTATTTCTAGGATTACATGATGAAGTCATCTCAGAATGTGATATTAGTATTGAAAAGAAGCAGTTCAACCAACCTTGAAGAGTTTCATCTTGTTTGATTCCCAGGCAGCTTCTGTGGTACCACTCATATCTCTTGCATTTGTCTGCTAGATGACATTGGATCATTTCATTCTCCCCACATGGGCCATGCTTCCTGTGGCAGATGCAGTAGATGTAGTAATCACTTTGTTCACATTCTGGGCTGCAGAACCAGTCCGTGTCAGGATCAGGAGCTTGTGTAAGTCCAACACAGTCAAGATGGAACCATGAATGCTTGCATGTTCTGCTGCAGCACATTACCATGTTATCATTGCTTTCTGAAAAGATAATAAATACAAAAGGGTTCAAAATTTCCAGTGTCTCTGTCAGTCTTCCCTTTTAACTACATGTACTTGTATTTTCATAAATTAATGTGGTAGACAAAATGTAAATAAATGATATTTTACCTATATCAACTTTGTTTTAACGAGTTTTCAATGATTTCTAACATCTGAATATCTGTTGCCAGGCTTATCACTTCATTATACCGTATAATGAGGCACTTACACGCTATATCTCCATTTTATTTAAAAAGTATATCAATCACTACATGGAAATGAAAAGATCATACAGATCATTTTAAGTCAGTTTATTTTAACAATGATTTATACTATACCCTGAATAATTTGTACCGTTTCATTGGGACGTACCTTCAATTCGCCCCCAAAGTTTAAATCTCTTCACAGAAATATCAGACACAATAAACAAACAGTTTACCTGAATGGCAAACACAGTACTGAAGGGCTGTCTCTGATAGGTCATTGGCAGCCTCAGAGAATGCTTCTGCAGCAACATGGACATCTGCTTGGTCAGGACTAGTCCAACAGAAGTCCACGACTTGCTGTGACAGTTGGTCAATCCAACTTATTTGTTCATTAAGCTTTCTGTCGTCAGTTGGAAGACCTTCTGGGATGTCATCCAGCTTCTTCATACCACATAATTTCATAGCGCAAAGCAGAACATGACCTTCTGTTGAGAACTGAATACATGTAATAGACATGAGTAGGTATTATATGCCAAAGGGCCTAAATTAATCATATATCTTTTTTCAGTTTTTACATGTGTAAATCGAAATTCATCATGTGCATCAACCATGCTTTTTATCGACAAAAACAAATTTTAGGAAGTTGAAGATAATTTTTTTTTTTACTTTAACGAGGCAGTATATACCTCACACTTTAAAAAAATGGAGTATCTTGAGAACGGCAATCGGCCTTTGCACAAGGGGGTCGTAAAAACGGCACATAACCGTCTGGCCAATACATTGAGTGCAACCCCCCCCCCCCCCCCCCCCCGGGCCCTAATTGAGTACCAATCATTTATCAAATTAAAATTGACATTATATTTCCATACCCATTTTTCTGGAACCGGACCCTTACTGAACTAATATGGAATTTTACCTGGTACAGCTCCCATACATGTTGGAAAGATTTCATGACATCACTCTGGAAGGAACGATGGTTGAAATTGTTCTTTAGCTGGGCTATGGTTCCTCTGTCTACCAGGCTCGCACCATTGAAAAACTTTTTGTTGGAGTCCTATTGCAATTGGATGTGAATAGGGAAGCTGAATATTTAGAAATAAATGGAACAAAAGCCATCTTCCAATACATATCTACTGTAAAAAAGGACTATGTATGGTGAGGAGATGAGAAAGTAAGAAGGTAATAGTTTACAGACCCATTGCTCCTTGGTCCACACAAACATACCACAAATAATGCACTAATGCATAATGGTCTTTCCACTCTCGGCCTGCACTCTCCTCACAAATTATGAGGGAAAGTGGGGGGGGGGGGGGGGGGGGGGGTAGGGCATGGACAGTACTAGGCTTACATTTGCTTAGGGGCAAAAGGAGAAAATGTGCATGGTAATGTGTACATTGGCTTTTGAGAAAAAGGAAAAAGGAGAGGCAAAAAGTCATGCTACATAATTTGTGCAACAATCATGAAAAGAAAATTATCAAAAAAGTGAGGGAGAGAAAAGGAAACTAAAAGGGGTCGTTTGTTCATCTGGCCCCCAACCCAACGGCCCCTGAAGCAGATCTTTGGCACTTACCTGCAAGTGAAGCATTTCTTTATGGAATTCTTGAGGACATGCATGTAATCCTTCCAAACGATCGTCCCACTCCTCTCCATTGCTCCTTGCTCTTTGAGCATTCAAGATCCTCTCTATTGTCAAGCCATCACCATTGAGAAGACATGGCACAGGTTTTCCTTCCACCACAGGGACATACTGCTGCAGATTCTCCATCACTCGGATCATCCCTTGAGTTGTGCCGGGATCTGCATCTACAACACCTAGTGTCACCTGTTAACATAAACATATAAGACCATAAAATGTGACCTTGTAAAGCAAAGAAAGTTCACTTAAAAGAAATATCATAACATGTATGGAAATGGGGAAAAAAATTAATACCGACATTAAAATAATAGTTCAGTGATCTAAAAGAGAAAATAAGTGACACTATTGTACGTAACATGTAGAAGGAAGTAGCCTTTACAGAGAGACTAGAGAGAAAGAAAAATAAAGCCGGCAAACAAGGAGTGGAAAGTCAAAGTGACATAATTGAAATATATATATATTTTTTACAAATGGGGAAAGAAGGACAAAGATAATGAGTGTAAAGTACAAGTTTTGACTATCACTCGTCAACTTACACATTCAGATTTTGCCTGCATATCTTTGGTGTGCTTGTGGAGGATCCTTTGGGGCACTTTGTCTTTGAGATGCTGAAGTTGAGGAATGTATTCCAGAAGTATCTTGCGAACAATGAATGTGGCCCTCTCTCGCTGCCTTTCCAGGACTTCCGGGGATGGGAGGAAGGTGTACGGGTCAAGCTTTGATGCAGGTACTTGGTTCTTTGTATCGCCTGTTGTAACCCTGTCCTTGACAGCGAAACTCATAGTTTGAAGCATGAATGTGTTTGCGTGCCCACTCCTCTGGTGCTTCCCGTGCTTACTTACTTGTATGTTATCACAACAAAAACTATAAACAGACCTAATTGGACGGACTTTGAAGCTCAGCTTCCTTCGTGGTTCGCTCCTCCTTTCCTGAAAATGTAATCATATCAATCATTCACTTTTATCTTTCTCTATTCGTCAGGTCTCATTTTATTTAAAGTGTCATATTTTTTTCCTCAAATAAAAACTGAGTAAGGTACATTAATGGAAGTAATTTCATGTAAAAAACAGGAGAGGTTAAAAATGTTAATATCATAATAAAGTGAATAACTCGGATTAATTTTTTTTATGTTTTATCAAGTAAAAAATCAATTACAATAACATTTACTTCATTAACTAGATTTTTAAAAATGGAAAAGTGAATCTCCGTAGTCGTGAAGAGACTGTGAGCAGCTAGCACCCTTGACAACGGAGGAGAGAAAGTTAAATATCATTGCTTTCAACAATGATAGTGCAAAAACAAAAGAAAATGGAAAAGGACATCTTACCTCCGTTGTGTGTTTCCACTCCCACAGTTGCTTGTCATGGGATTTACTGATTACGTCCACTTTGTTTCTGGATGCTTGGACGCCTTGGGTGATACCCATGTGGTTTAGTGTGAGAAAGACCTTATGACTGACTCTCTGTCTCCATAACTCTATTCCAACACAACCTTGCACAAATGAGTATTTCTTTCTTGACCTTTGGTAGAGAATGGTGGAAAGCAATCGTCCCACTCTTTGGCATCTGAGAGAGGCTGCTTCATCATGGTCTAAATTCCTGGAAATACAGGGAAAAAATGAAAAACATACCAAACAATTAATAAAACGACAGGAGTTTTGATATGGGGTAATCCATATATATCTTTATTAATTTACTTTATTATTCTTCGCACACACAGATTTCTTTATGGGAGTGTCTTCAATAATTATTTTTGAGAGTGTCTTCAAGTTACTTAAAGTATATCATGAAATCATTCGTTCTGAACATGCAATGCTGGAATTTATATAATTAATCAGAATCAACATCGGCCTGCATTTAATTGACGATTGTATTTGAATTTTTTAATTAATTAAAAAAACAAAAAACATAAACAAAAAACAAGCAAACAATTATTTGATTGGATGGATCAGACTTTGAATTTCCTAATTGTATTTTAATATGCCTGAAAACTTAAGAAATAGAAATACCTTGTTTTACTTCCTTTCCCTTTGTAGCAATGATTAATTGTCGCCTTCAACGAAAGTGTCATAGCCTCTATACAGCGGACAGTTGCGGGAACAGCCTCTTTTGCATCTTTACATGCTTGGGCCCATGAGAATGACTCAATTGCCTCTGCAGATACCTCCTGTGAAAATGAAGGTATTCTCTTGGCCTTGCTCAACTATATATGCATGAGGAACAAAAATTATAGAACCGACAGTGTGAAATTTAATGTGAGGCACCATTGAATCAGTGGTACTTATTCCAACATCATATGGTTATAGAAGGAGACAGGCGCGTATGCAGGGGGGGGGGGGGTGGCAGGGGTGGAACCCCCCCCCCCTCCCCTCAACTTTTTTTTCTGAGTGTGATTTAGAGGAAAACCCCCACCCCATCATTTTTTTTTGGTGCAAAAGGATGACCCCAACAAATTGACCTTACCCCTCCCCCCCCCCCTCCCCCCTTAAATGATCAAAATATCGGTCGGCCATGCAAATTTTGAAATATCCCCTCCCAGCTAATTCAGCGGCTGGCTGGCTGAGTCGCCGCGAAAGTTTTAGCGCGATTTTAAAATGTTAACCCCCCCCCCTTGCAAAAATACTGCGTACGCCACTGCAAGGAGATGATTCAAAGACGATGGGATCATTATTACGAAAATTTAATGAAGCCAATGCAAATCCTCAAACTGGGTTAACTTCGACGGCAACCTCGTAGATGTGCTTTTTAAAACTTTATATTTTTATTATTTCTAAATATAATAACATACAAAAGGATATCCATACAATAGAAGTATATAGAAATATAGTATGAATAATAAAATATAAGCATATAACAATACAAATAGAGAAAACCAAAACAAATTTAAAGCGAAATTAGATTGAGAGGAAATCAGCAAAATATAATATAGCTTGTAAGAATTCTGATTTCTTGAATTAAACAATTGCCTAAAGGTAAAATGACAAAGGCTAAATAATTTATGGTTACAAATACTTTTGGCTATTTACGAATAACAAACCACCTGTGCATTTAGAGCAATCACGAACTCAAGGTTCATGAAGCAAAATTAAAAATTAAAAGTAGCTCAACATCATTTGTCTTATTCTATAATGAATAAGAGTTCAGCAAGACCTGTTTGATCTTATCCGCTCAAATTTTAATTTTAATCTCATCTATTTTTTAAAGCTATTTGCTCTTCCATTTTATATTTAAAAAACAAGGGGAAACGTTCTTACCTCGCTCTTTAGAATTTCACAAGTAGCCTCCACCATGGCTGATTTGGCATCTTCTGATGATTTGTGAAGAGCACGGAATGCTGTTAAGTATTGTTTTTTGTCAATGTATTTCTTTATCTTTTCCTGGGGGCTAACTCCAGGGAGTGATGGAGTTATAGGGTCTCCTGACGTTTCAGGTTCATCCTCTTCAACATGGTGCTCATCTTCATCCTGAGGTTCTCTGACCAGCTTTCTGCTTGTCTCTGGGGTAGAAAAGGCAGCCACTCGCTTGGCAGCCGGTGATGTTGCAGGCGAACGATACGTCCGTTTAGTCCTGTTCGTCTTTAAGGGGGCACTTTTGTTTCTCACAGTGTGTTTTACTAACTTATACCTGCATTCCTCGCAAATGTAGCTGTACAGGATGCCTTCTCTGTGAAAAACTTTACTTATAGTTCTAGGACTCGTTATTCTAATAAGCTGTTTTCTTCTAAAACCTTTTCTATTTTTAACAAAGTACACTGAACAAACTGCGCATTGCCGCTCTGTTACAGACAGACCGGCAAGCTGACTGCTGTAGTTGCTCGCCATGCTGTGCGCTCTCCATGCCAAGTCCCATCTGCGAGCTGCATGAGCTCAAAACGAAAGAGAATCCCCGGTTTTCCCAGGTCCCTCGGCTCTTCTCAACCTCATGCATATTCAGCGATTTCGAGCGATCGGCGCTCGATAGCATGAATATTCATGAATATTCATATATTTTGCGCCACTGCCGCGCATGCGTACCTGCTCATCGCCATTTTGAATCGACGCTGCGAGATGGAAAAATCGTTGGTGTAGTATGTTGAATTAACCTTTTTTTACCATCGAAGACTTCTTCAAATGATACATTTTAGTGATTGGAGTCGAGCCCTGAGAAGTCGTGCACCCTATGATGTAAAAATTGTAAGTACCCTTTTTGAAGATTTAACGATCAAATCACCCAATCGGCTGGGCAAGTAGCCACCCAACAAACCACCCGAAGCTCCGACGCTGCGCGCCGGTGTTGGAGCTTCCCGGAGTTAGCTTACCCCATGCCCATGCATTGAAAATTGTGTTGTGTTTCTCTACAACTCTTGTCTTGGCTTAATTTGATCTAGTCACTAGGGTCTATAGCCTTAAATGTACTACCGTATGTCCCTTTTGCAGCCAACATCAAATTCTGTAGAAATTTCCAGGAATTATGAATATGTCATGTAGACTCTATGTCCTATCTGTGAAATTTAAATGTTAGCAGTGTCCTAATATAATTCAAATTGTGGCGCTTGTTCAGAAACGTATCCAAAATTTGACCTGTACAGGCTGTAGTGTAAGTACTCCGGCGTGGAGATACCCTACTAAAACATACCCAAAGTGAAGTAAATATTCAATAAATGTCCAAATAAAGATCATGAGTTAAAAGTCGTTATGTTTATTACCTGTTTCGTGTCAATTTTCTTGTTATTTTTCGGATAAACGTTGATATTTTATTATTGGTATACACCTTTTCGCAGGTTTCATGGTAAACCGCGCGGCTGCACAATACAAGTACATACAGATTGTGGGTTGTGGGCGGGTGTGCACCTGTGTGAAGTTATCTACCGTAATGAGGATCTGAGACATGTTTTTCAAGAGAAATGACATTGCATCTATTGATTTTTTTATATGACTTTACATTTGATATTCGAAATGATGTAATTTATTGGATTTTCTAAATGGATTATGCTTTTATCGCAAGACTTTTCGCTTTTAGAGTAGGAGCCATCGATAACGCGCACGCGTGATTGGTATCGTCCTTCTAAACCGACTGTCGGTGTTGGAGGTCGGTTCAGCAGCCTTTCCACGTTCTCAACACCAACACCAACACCGAACACCGTACTTGAAATCACTCAGTTAGTGTTAATCTTCTCTGGAAAGTTGCCTGACTTTTGCGCTCATTCGGGAATCGAACAATGGGGTATCCCCGCTCGCACAAAGAAACTTTTTACACGTAAACCAATGGGGATCTCAGCAAAATTTAACTATGCCCGTTGCCCTGGGTAACGGGCATATAGTTTGTTTCTTTGCGGGCATGGCTAAAATCATGACTCCAATTTAGACCAATCAGATTACTAGATTTACATACCTGCCAACCACCCCGATTTAGGTGGAGTTCCTCCGCATTTTTCATACCAACTCCGAATTCAGAGTGCATGCCTCAAAACTCCAATTTTTTTAAATTTTAAAATATTTTTAAAACAAACGACTGTTGCATAAGACTAAAGCATAACACAGCACTGATAACCAGATCACGCCGACATCCAAGTTCGCGCTCATCGTATAGCCCACGTGTATTTATAGTACATGTGCAGTTGATACATAAACACTGTATACATTGGCGTGTTTTCTTCAATGCTTGTGCGATGACTGCGATCGTGGAAGCTTGTTATTTACTGGACTTCCTCGGATTTATTTTGGATTACTACTACTATATTCTTCTTCTTCGTTGATTTCTCCATTTTTGAAGGACAAAATGGGTAAGACTCGTGCTGTTCATAATCAGAAGTATAAGAAAGAATACGGGAAACAATTTCCAGTTGCAGAATCAGCACTCGGACTTCAACACGCATTTTGCATTGTGTGTTCGGCCGACTTCAGTATCAACCATGGGGGAATGAATGACATTCAGAAACACATGAACTCGAAGAAACATAAGCTTTCATCGAAATTAAGGACAAGGCTCGTCCAATTTCAACCTTCTTTTCTTCTTCTGGAGATCTCGATGTCATCAGAGCAGAAACTTTGTTTACTGAATTCATCATAGAACACAACTTGCCCTTTTCTGTGGCTGATCATTGCACCAAGCTGTTTCGTAAAATGTTACCTGACTCCAATGTTGCAAAAAAATACTCATGTGGACGGACGAAAAGTTGTACATCAGCTGGATTGGTTGGTTCCAGTAGCCAGTAATTCTGAATCTTTCTACCTTTGCAAAATAGGGCTCCTAACTGAGGTGGGTAGTGAAACATGTAGTTTTGTGAGTGTTCACATTTTGATATTTCAAAAATTGTTTATGTGTGGGGCGAAAAGGTTGAAGGAAAAGGCCCATTTGCACTAAAATGGAGAGAAAAAAAAATAGACCCTAAAGTCCTGTGTACCCCCCCCCCCCCAATCTGCGGGCTACTACCCCAATCCTTCGGTGGTTCGCGACCTCGTAGTCCATCCCGAAAAATTTACTCCTAATTTCTCTTGTCTCAAGTTGGCAGGTATGGATTTATTCAACATACTAAAGAGAGGTATATAATATAGTATTAATGACTGCTTTGAGAGAAATAGTTGTTTTTATACGCTCAAGGGAAGGTTAGAATTGTGCTATTACCCGAGGCGTGCCGAGGGGAATAGCCCAATTGTAACCTTCCCGAGAGCGTATAAAAACAACTATTTCTCGAATATTAAAGCAGTCATTAATACTTTTATATGCCGAAAAAAAAAGAAAAAAAAAAAGAAAAAAAAAATGTTGTCGAAGATAGGATTCGAACTCTTGCGTACAAAAGGTGATGTTATTAAAGTCAGCGCATTAATCCGCTCGGCCAGCGTGCTCTGTCACCATGCACAGAAGTTTTTTTTAATATATACATTAAAATGAATTGAAAACGGCTTCACGTGGTCGATGCTTCGCCGCTGCTCCATTAAACGGGCCCTTCTTTTACTTTTGCAATGCATATTGGCATGAACTTAGATCAAGATCTATCGGCAAATGTTGTTTTTTTGTTTTTGGAAGTTTATTTTCGTCTTCATGTCAACAATGCAAGATAAAATTGTCGGTAAGATCGCTCGAGATTCAATTGTATTGAAATTACCGACCAATTCTTCGCACACGTACGGTATCCTCGATCGCTCAGACCATTTTTTAACATGTAAACCTATGGGGTAACCATGGAGACTGACCTATTTTCCCAATAACCATGGTTATTGGGATTTTGAACTGTTTTTTAACCATGGTTACCGGGAATTTTCGGGAACAGTTAAAGTTTATGAATGCAATTTCGACCAATCAGATTGCTGGATTACTTAAGTGAGGTATATAATATGAAATATGATATTGTTGGCACCAATTCCTCTGCTTGATGAGGGAGGTAAACAAAACATAAGACTAATCCAGTAATCCTAAAATTAAAAGTATATATCATTTATATAGTTTGTAAACACCCCTTCGACTTCCTGCATCTGTCTCTTGGAGTTCTTCTTCTTCTTCAGTTGCAGTACAGCCTACAGGCCACGTCAATAGTATTTTTGTACTGACTCTTACTGTTGAGGTGCAGTGCAGATTCCAGCATTCTAGTCATTTTGACCAGTACCGGAATATGACCAAATTCAAGAAGCTTGTACATAAGATGTATTACTAATATTGATTTATTTGCTGTTATATTGCTCAGGAATCCTGTTCAATACTGGGATAGGACAGCACATCCTCAAGAACCCTCTTGTCATTGAAAGCATCATCAGCAAGGTATTAGCTTTTATTTGTTTCCTTTAAAATGTGAATAGGATTTATTAATGTTAAAGAGAAGAAGGATAGATAGTCAGATAGTTTCTGAATCTGTTTTCTTTTTAAGTAACATAGTTGGATTCATTAAGAAGATTTTATTTTCAATGAAAACCTTTTCACTTGCCGAAGGCAGTTTCAATCAAATATATTTTTGTATATTCTTGGACAAAGAAAAGCTTTACTCACTTCCGAAAGATACTCTTCCTTCCAACCTCCACTTTCTCGCCTTTCCATTTCACTTCTATTTCTATCCACTTTCCTTAGTCCTTCTAGGACTTTACACATGGTGTACCGTAAACCTCTTCCGCGATTGTTCATACCACCATGCAAACCTTCAAACATCATCCAAAGAAAAGCTTGTTCTTATTTTTGAAAATCTAGACAGCAGGGCATTGTTTCATGAAACCGCCATGACTACAAGTTCACAGACATCCCATTAAAACATGTGCTAGGTTTGTATGTGTTTCAATGGGTTTTCAGTAAACTTGAACATATGACAGTTTTGTGAAACACTGCCCAGGTTCTTGAATTGAGAAGTAAGATGTCGCGGACCAATTGCTGTAGCAAGATGAAGAATTAACATAGTTGTATTGTCAGGGTCATAGCAACATTGAGATATTACAGAGACTTAAAGATAAACTTGAGTTCTGGTAAAAAAATAAAATGAATTCTCACAGAATCTAACGAAACTTACACTGAATGTGCAAGATTACAAATAAGTATCATGTGCCAAACAATTTAGGAAGAAAATGTATACTGGCTGAGTAATGAGCATAGAAAGATAAGGAAATCAGGGTAGTACTAGCCCCGACACCATGTGTGTTGTCCCATAAACATCTATCTGTGTAAGTGATTGTTACTTTACCAAGACTCTGCCAAATTTATGATGATTTTGATGACTCTAGAACCTTGCATTACACACCATTACTTCCATGCTATATGATTAACTTTTTTGATCCATTCCACACCTTTTCTTTCATAATGCAATCGCATTACCAGTACTCAAGTTTATCTTTAATAGACCAAGAGTTCATGCTTACAAGCACAGATGTAACCGATCTCAAATGTTGCCTTTAGGCTGCCTTGAGAAGCACCGACACAGTCCTAGAAGTTGGACCTGGTACTGGAAACATGACTGTTAAGATGCTGGATAAAGCCAAGAAGGTTAGTATCCTTATATTTTTTAATGATAATCAATAATAAATGTTTTTGTATAGCACATCACACATAGGTATAATTGCATTTCTCTATGCAAATAGGAATACAGAAGGAGTGAAAACGGTGCATTGGGTTCATAATTGTGAGATCTTACAAAGTGCTAAATAGATATGTTTTCAAATTGCTTTGTTTCTGTATTTCTAAGATATCATAGTCATTGTCAATTTGTTATCGCCATCATCACCATCATAGTTATCATCTTTAATTACTATCATCATCACCTTCTCACATCTTCATGTCTAGTATGATACTGGATATCTTCAACAACATCGATATCTTACTCATTGTATTAAAAATCATCAGGATCATAGTATTGGCTATTGCTTTACTATTTTGTATTAATTCAGTTTTCTACATCTCTCATATAGGTAGTTGCTTGTGAGCTGGATCCTCGTCTTGTTGCTGAGTTACAGAAGAGGGTGCAAGGAACGTAAGTGGCATTGGAGTGTTCTGAAATCTCCCCTTTCTTTTTCCGTTTGCTATTGTGTCATATTCGGGAGTAGACCAAGTACAACATCTCCCAAGTTGTTGATTAATTAATAATCAAATATGCAGCAACCTTGAGGCTTGAAGTAAATACCGTGTAATATGGTATCTACTGAACCTATCAGAAATTACTTCAAATGTTTCATATCAAATTCATTCCGAAATTCAGGTTGGAGACATTTCGTAGTTGACAATGGAGAAAAAGTTTTTGATAATTCTTGCAATGTTAAAACAAAATATTTTATTTTATGTTTGTTGTCTTTTTGCCCAGACCGTTTGCTCCCAAGTTGCAGGTGATAGTTGGTGACGTCCTGAAGACTGATCTGCCTTTCTTTGACGTGTGTGTTGCCAATTTGCCGTACCAGATCTCGTCTCCATTCGTCTTCAAGCTTCTGCTTCACAGACCGTTCTTCAGGTGGGTTTTCTGAAAGTTGAGATCTTATGTGCATATTGTCTGTGCGTTTTGGCAATTAAACACATTCTTTACTTGACAAAATTGATATAATCTACATTTTTTCGGGAAAAAGAGCGAGACAAATGTTTCAATTATTTGTTTGGCTTAAATATTAGAAATTCAGAACTATGTTATTTTGAAAGAAAAATTAAGTCAGCATATATGACTAACTATATTCAAATGATAGCAAGTATATCACCTGATTTTTATGGGATGTTAGTGCCAATAGACCAGTTTACCGATATATTCAAATTTATGGATGTTTCTTTCCTGGGGACCTAGTGGCAATACTCAGAATCCAGTCAGCATATTTTACTTTTTGCTAGTCAGGCAAGCTTTCAGCTTCTCAAGAACAACCTTTGTTTAAAGAGTATGCATGAAATTTGAATATATACTTAGTAAACCGGTCTATTGCCAAAACACTGAAATGTTGTTATTAATGCTTGTGTATGAAATTCTTAAAGGTATTACAAAGTTTTGGGAAATTTTGAAAAATGGGTGGATAGTGATTCTTTACAATTTTGATATATTTGGATGCCCCTGTGGATGTATCAAAAGCACTAGAAATTTTAGCCCCTAAAACGCTTCTGCTTTCGAGAAAAATTGAATATAAAGATTTACCGGTGCTCCCGGTAAATTTTGGAAAAATTTGAAATAGCTCCTACGACCGTACAATGGTAGCTGCGACCATGAAAATCTCAGAATATGTAGTTGTGGTATATAATTTCCGAACGGGAATAGCTAATCGGTCGATTTTAGTCAAGAAACATTGTTTTACAGCTTAATTGATATCTTGTCCTAAAGAGGGAGCTATACAACATAAAGGGTTTATTATTTATAATTTCATAACTTTAGAGTCGATTTCGACCGCGACAACGATCAGTGAATATTTTAGGATTGCATATGCTTCCAATATGTTCATTTGAACCAAATTCACGACCCCATACCAAAACTTTGTATTACCTTTAATATACCGGTACATGTACTTGTATTGAGATTTTGATATTTTCGAGCTTAGTACTCATCATATGACTAATCAATAAATTGTTGAATCAATTTGCCAAATTAATCCTTTGACAGTACAAGATGCTCACTTTTTGGCTGAAAAAATAGAAATTTAGCACATTATTTAGGTGTCCTATACTAAATAATGTAACTTGAATGCCTTATTTCTATTTATTTTATCCCAAAAAGAAGATTCATTCAATATGACCATTGACTTGTGCTTTTTCTAGATGATTCATAATAACACAAAATAAAGATGATTTAGATCTTGAAAAGGTTAGATGATGTTGTCAAACTTGTCTTCTGTTTAAAATGTCTATATGAAATGACCCTTTTGCAGGTGTGCAGTGCTGATGTTCCAGCAGGAGTTTGCACAGAGGTTAGTTGCCAAGCCTGGGGACAAGCTCTACTGCAGGTTGTCCATCAACACACAGCTACTGGCCAGAGTAGACCATCTTATGAAGGTAGGCAACAACAACAACAACAACAACAAGAACACCAACAACAAAAACAACGAAAACACCAACAGCAAAAACAACAACATACAAAAACTAACAATAGTATTCAAATATTAGGTTATTGTATAGAGGTAAATTGTATTCCGGTTTAGGAAGCAGTATTGGTGATTTCATTTCATTCCATTTCATTTCTTTATTGTGTCCACATAGGATAATTGTTTATATTTACATTAACAATCTTGCTTCAACATATGAACATAGGAACAAAATTAAATATGACAATCATAGTGCCCTGTTTTAGTATGCATTTAATATAATATACATGATCATGATGAATATACTTTTGATACTCTCTCTTCTTCTTCTTCTTCTTCTTCTTCTTCTTCTTCTTCTTCTTCTTTTTCTTCTTCTTCTTCCTATTCTCTCTCTCTTCTTACATACCCTCCCTTTTCTTTTATTCATATATGCTTTAATCTGAAGTAGGTATTTTTGATGAAAGAACATTAAAAAGTATGTTAGTACCGTAAGGTAGTTTAAGTTTGAAAGGGCATGACGAATGAACCAACATTTCAACCATAAAATCAGTAGTAGGTGTAACCAGATTTTTAGGCCTCCGCAACAAAGTAGCCGGAGGCATTGTGTTTTTGGGTTGTCCGTCCATCGGTATGCCCTGTTCTTGTGACCACGTTATCTCAAGAACCAATAGGTCATTTTCGTAATGCATAAGTCTTTGTGAGGTGCCTCAATACAAATTATTTCATTCCCCTGATAAGAATAAAAGTATTTCAATAGACAGAATCTGAACTGCATACATTAGTTGTTGCCAGGTAGGACTAACATGATGGCTTGACCTACCTAGCAACACGCAACACTTAATATATGCAGTTTGAATTCTATCTATTGAAATACTATTATTCTTATCAGGTGAATGAAATATCTTGTCTTGAGGCACTTCACAAAGACTTATGTATTAAATGTGGTTACATTTCAAAAATGATTGCCGCCAAACGTGGGCATGTATGTGTCTTGCAGAACCAATGAACTGATTAGAATTTAGGGTCACAAGGTTGGTTTGATCACAATCTTAAATGTTCATGCAATGCAGTGTGAAAAGTAATTTCAAGATGATTTTTTCCTTACCTACTCTCCTTGTTTTTCTGTTTAGGTTGGTAAGAATAACTTCAAACCTCCTCCCAAAGTTGAGTCTAGCGTTGTAAGGATAGAACCGAGAAATCCACCCCCTCCAATAAACTTTCAGGTGAGTGTGTGGTGCAAGCTACATGGCTTAGATTATTGAATTGTGAATTAAGATCATACACTGATTTTAAACATGCTCATACTAATCATTAAATCTGAATTATTTGTGTAAGATAACCTAGATTGAAAAAAAATACATACATATATATATATATATATATATATATATATATATATATATATATATTGTAAATAAAGACAATAATGATAAATATATATATTTCTAGCTGATTTAGATTACCAGATGGTTGTCAGTTTCTGTGTGTATACTTTGCTGACACCAGACTTGGTGAAAATACCATTATGGGTTTACAATTCACTCACACAGCAAACCCATAGCCCTATCAAGAAATACCCCCTGGCCTAGTCTCTCTGAAAGTCTTCAGGTGAGGGAAATGTAAGATAATGACTTTAATATGAAGAGATGGGTGGAATTTGCAGAGTATTACATAAGGGCCTGATGGTCATGAAACTGAAGGCTAATCCTGGTGATTGACAACACCTGTTTATGGTAAACACCCGGATGGTGGGGGTCAAATTACCCACGAGAGCTCTCTACTATGTGTTTTCAAATGCATTCAACCTTGTTTTCTTTCCTTATTTGATACACAGGAATGGGATGGCCTAGTTCGCATTGCATTCGTGAGAAAAAACAAAACCCTTTCCGCTGCCTTTAGGTGAGTTTGCTACCTCCTCTTATCAGAAATTCAATGATTTCAACTCTGAAGTATCATCAGGAAAGTGTATGAGATAACCCCAAAGGGCAAATATCATTTATTTATTTATTTCCATGTGATGATAAAAACAGTATTATATAATCTTCAAAATACAAAACATATATGATAAAGTATCTGAAAAGGGAGGATCATGAAAAGCACATAAATGGCTAGTTAAAAATGATCCTCACAAAATAGATAAAATAACTTTTACTTTGGTACATCATTTACCAAATTTAATCTGTTGTAGTGACATTAGATGAACATGTATTATATGTATATTTGATGTACAATCAATTTCATATTGTGATTTTTGTGAATATATTTGATCTTGTGTGTGCATGCTATTTCAAAGTAAGCATGAATGATTATGATCTCTCTTTGAATACATAATATGGTTATTAGAAGTCCCTCTCACGAAAGAAGAGGAAAGAGGAGGCGCGATAGCTCAGTCGGTAGAGCAGTGGTCTCGTAATCCGGCAACCCTGGTTCGAAACCAAGGCGATGCGCTAGTGCCCTTTGGTAAGGCATTAATCCTCATTACCAGGTCTCTCGGAGAGGACCTAAAGCCTTCGGCCGTCTGGTTGCTTAGTTACAAGCATTTATGCTTTCTTAGCAGTCAGGTAAAATAACCACCCCCACCACCATTTTAATTTCTCTACCTCTATCTAATGTACACAATACGAAATATATAAGGCATAAAAGATTTTTGCTGTAATTTAGACATTAATTAATATATCTATTTTTTTCAGAAACAAAGGAGTTGTTGAGATGCTTGAAAAGAACTACAGGGTGCACTGCTCAGTTAAGAACATTGTGAGTTTATGGCATACATGTATATGGTATCTTAAAGTTTGGAGTTGAACTAATTATGTATGTTATTGAAGATTTGCTATGTAATGTAAATGGTACAATCCTCAAGATTTGCAGTTTGTATTATTGAGCCTTTTGTGAATAACGCTTTACATAATGTGATAAGAGTTTTAAAGATTGTATCTGGGCACTGGCATCAACACTTTAAAGACCTTATCTGATGAAAATACAACTTTATATCAAAGGAAAGCTGAATGAATGTTATATAGAAATATAACAAAATGATAAATATTTCTCTTTTAGTATTGGGCAAAAACAAATAAAAATAAATGTTCTGCAACCCTCCAAACAATGGGTCAATGGTTCAAATTTTCAGCAGTTATGGTGACGACATTTCATGTGGACCTAATCGGCTTGCCTATAAAGCTGAGGCGATGAGCCATGCTTATTTAAAGCAAAGTTGTTATAAATAAGCGTACTCCACATAAGATGATGCCATTAAGTCTTGTTTTAAGGTCAAAAACTTTCGATTTTCAAAGCTTTAGTGTTTGAACTTTTCAGTTTTACTCATCTGGCAGACACTAAAATGGCAATATAATTGATATTATTGTAATATATGGTTTATAAGATTTCCATTGTTGAATAATTCATCCGTTTCATTTTTCACTACCGAAAGGGTCTTAGTGGCCCATTCTGTTCTATTTCCATTTGGTCATAACAACTCTTTGCTGCCTGGAACAGAAAAATATACTATTAATCTATACAGAAGTGTCGGGTAAAAAAAATAAAAAAAATAAAAAATAAGTGCTCTGTTGGAGTTAAAAACAAACCGTAGTTAATTCATGTACATATGAGATGTTACCTTAAATATTCTGTATATTGCTTCCTCTCTTGTTTCTTCTGTCTCCCTCTCCCCTACCTTTGTATTTCCCCCCTCCTCCCTCTTTCTTCTTGTATTTTTATGTTCCTTTTGTCTATTTTGTCTATCTTTTCCCTCTATATGTTCTGCCCTTCAATTCTTATCTCTTTCTCTCCCATCTTTTTCTCTTTATTTTATGTTGCAGGCCATACCAGACAATCTAGACATGAAGGAAAAAGTGGTCTCAGTTTTAGAAAAGATTGAATTTGAAGGAAAGAGGGCCAGAACGATGGATATTGATGATTTTCTAAAGTAAGTGGGTACTTTTGTTAGTGAATTCTCTCATAAATATAGATAGGAGAAGAAGATGATGTATTGTAGTATGTAAGCATGTAGTAATATTAGAGCTGGCAAAATATACCAGTATGCTACTTTTATTTTTGTGTGAAAATAATTTGTTGTTATTGTATGTTTCATGAAAGTTCTTATGAAACTCTGAAGAAGAAAATATTCACCATGGAGTCATGATTTAGAAAGTTTAAAGGGATCCGGTAACTTTGTCTCAGATTCTGAAACAAAATCCTAGATTTAGCTCATGCTGCAATTATAATAATACACCTTTAGGTCAGTCAGGAACCCCATGACTTTTACAAACTGATCGCCTGTCTGATTATCAAGATATTTATGATTGGAATCACAAATTTTAAAAACCGTTTGCCAAACAGTTTTCATAACACTACAGTCTATTGGGAAAAACGAGTACCGGTATGGTAAAACCGGTCACTCAAAGAATTTTACTTCTTTGAGGCACTACTTGGTCAGTTTGAAGCGCAATTTTTTTAGGGCTTCAATATTTCACCATATCACAGACACTGATAACACGTAGGGCCGTGCATCTCAGATTTAACATCATTAAACGATGCCTTTAAAAGAATAGGTTGGCCAGATATTGTGGTCTATCATAAAATTCAAATAAATTCAATTTGCTTTACAGTATTCACAGAATCACAGTACAGTCATTGCCATTGGTATAACACATACGTTTTGCCATCAAGAATACTGTTTCATTCATTTGATAGTTTGCAGATTCACCAGAGGGGTCTAGATGGGCTAGGAGTATAAAACTATCGAGGCATTCATTTGTATTGTTATCTTTTCTTTTTCCTTCCTTATCACTTATTATTTTGCCCAGGTTATTATCCAGCTTCAATACAGAAGGAATCCATTTTTCATGATAACAACTCAAAGAGTAGAACTTTCGAAGACTGGATGTCTGATGAACTCTTGGACTCTTGATGATACATGCTATGCATTGTATCTGCTTCATGGAAACTGAACAAATAATGGTCGGAAAAACATTAACAGCAATACAATCCGAGCTACAAATGTCGTCTTTTAGACGGTCACACAGAGAGACAAAGATTGGTTGGAGTAACATGGAAAGAAGAACTGCAGCCTGTGGCTACAAAACATCATGTGACTCGGTGCAGACCATTTTTCTGTACAGCATCAATTGACTCAGCAGTGGCGATGTTAGATTTCGGAAAGGTCATGCATTGAATAGACAGGTTTACTAAAATATTCAAATTTTATGCATACTTTTTAAATAAAGGTTGTTCTGGACAACCTGAAAGCTTGCCTGACATAGCAACAAGTAATGTACCGGTATGCAGACTGGATTCCAAGTATTGTAGTTCATTCATGAATAATAGGTTAATGGAATAACTCGTCACTAGGTCCCCACGAAAGAAACATCCATACATATGAATATGTTAATAAACAAGTCTATTGATGCTACTTTTGGACATGTTATTTTAACCTCAGGGCTGATATAGGAGCTATTAATCCCAATGTGATTAAAGTTTGTTCATTTCAACATTACTTTAGATTTCTATCCATTCATGCCTCTCCTGAGAGTGTCACTTTAACAGATTTTTGTTTGTTTTCATTGATTTTTGTTATTTCTATATATGTATCAGAATGTTTATAGAACAGATAATTCAAATTGGAAATAATACAACCTAACCTTACCCTCGCCCAAGACGCAATCTAGAGCAAACCAACAGGCTCTGTTTTAAGGATTTAAAAAGAAAATCTTGTCAAGTGTCGTAACTAGTAACGTGCTGTTCAACCCCCCCCTTCCCATCAAATGTTTTCTTGTTTAAACTCGCTGCATGAAGGATAGTTTGTGTAATTCGGATTAACCTTGTACCTTGTGTATTGGAACTGCGACAGATCGTTACATAGGTGTGTTACACGTTTGTTTCATAAGACATTATATTGCATCATTTAATAAATTATTAAAGATATCAAGTTTCAGAGAAGTGCCCAAGTGTGGTTTATTTACACCACCATTAGACCAGTTTTCTAGCTGAGACTTGTATACCAGCTTTGTAATTATTTTTTTATTAATAATATTAGTATCGGTACATGCATGATTATATTTTAATCCTATGATTATGCCATGCTATTCTAAATCAATATGGTTATTTGGAAGAATCAACACCATTTAACAATTTGTTCTAAATTCTGTACTACAGTATGTGCCTGTATCATATTTTGTGAGCCATGAAAATGATAACTATATAAATATATATTAACTAATTTATTGGTTATTGTCCTTCTGGCTCTGAACAGATAACGTGAAAAAGGATACAAAAAAGAAATATATGCTCACAATTGATTTCCGTCCATCATATTTTATTCCAGATTTGTATATATATAATTATATAGCTACAAGTCAACGTGGCAAAACTTCCTTTTTCATATTTACAAAAGTACATGTAAAAATAATTTATACAATGACGTTTTTTTTCTCCACTTTACTGCAGCTCAAATCGCATCACAACTTTTTCGGGGGTAACCTGGTTTCTCTTCTCGAACATAAAACGACTGTCTATCAAACAAAATTTGAAATAATTTAAATGTCAAACACATATTTACACGATTCTTCATTCAAGCAACTTAGAAATTATATAGTAGGAAGATGACTTGGAAAGAAAAAATAACACTGGGAACAACAAGGCTGTTGTCACAATTTCTCTGTACAGATAATTCCAATCTATCTTCATTAAAACTGCATTTGATTTGTTAAGATCTTTTTTCATTTCAGGTATTGAGTTAGTCAATTTCATGGGGGCAAAAGTTTGGGAGGCGGGTATATATATAATGTGCCAAGGATATGGATTGAGCGGAAAATACAGAGTTTGGCCATTATGTACATGTATTGAAGCTTCCATTTATCATTGTACTACAAGTATGTACAGTCAAACCTGGTTTAGTGACAACCTGTTTACAAAGAGTACATTTCTTGTTTTCCTTGAAAACGGTTTCTCATTGAAACATGTATTAAAAGAACCTGTCCACAAAGACCACCTGTCTACAAAGACTGCTTTTCTTGTCTCTTTTGGGTGGTCTTTATTGACAGTGGTTATACTTGTGGCAGTAATCTACAGGTATTAACGCTGTAAGACAGACTAGAGCCTTTCTAAAAAGATATGGTAGATATAAATTGACCAAATATAGACTTTACAAGCGAGTGCTCATTGGGCTCTAATTAATTGTCATCACAGGTTTTACCAAAAGAATGAATGGATATCTCAATATCTACAAAGTTCTACGACGTAACATTGAAAGTAAAGAAACTCTGAAATTGTTGCAGAATAGTTTTTGTACAACTTGCAATGAATTTAACAATTAAACTCTTGTAACAATCACATGTAAAAATAAAATTGCTAAATTCTAATTTTCAAAAGGTGCATAAAATATAACAAAAATCAACAATCAATATAAGAAACCTTTCAAAAAATAAACGTTATATAAAGGAGGAAAAAAATAACATTGGAACATGTGTGCATCTCAGATTCTTGAAACTCTTATCTAGGTTTGTTCAGAGATGATGCGTTGAACTGCGGCCCAAAAATGGCAACTGCACGTAACATAGGTCCTGCATGTATTCACTGAGCAATGTGTGATACCATGCAGAAATGTAATGCGCAGAACACTTTGCGTCATAACAAACTGCTGCAAAACTGCGGCCCAATATCTCAACAAGGCTTTAGTTATGGTCAAATGTTAGGACTCTGAATAAATTCGACTGTGGATATTCATGTATATGTATATGGGTGGAGGTTTCATAAACAAATGTCTTACTGTCATGATTGTGAAGCGTAACTTTCAAGTTTTTTACTCAATCCTTTTCCTTTATCTTTCATTTTAGAATAGTGATCAGTAATTGCTTTAATGAAGCATTCAGTTAGATAAAAACTACATGTATCAGTGCATTCACCACTTTTAATACAGGTGATATAATAATCAATAATAATCATTTTGTCCTTAAATAGAGCACAAATCTGCCTAAAAGAGGCAAACTTGGCACACAAGTGGATTTTCCAATACATTTAAAGTGAACCGGAAGTGACTCACTTTTCCTTATTCCTGCTGTGTCCAGAGCTAATGAACATCCCCCATGCATGCAGTGTTTCTTACGATTAAAAAGAAAGAAAATTGAACAGCTTAAAGAAAAGGGGACAGCAAACTGATTTGGCCCCATGGTATAAATAGTTCCCCAATGAAAGGTGTTTACTTTTGAAGGTTTTTTTTTAAGGAAAAAGGATCAGTAGAACTCAAATTTCTTCATACTCGCCATCATCAAGTCTACATTGTCGACTACCAAGGGCCTGCAGGGGCGTTCATTCTGTGATAAAGTATGCGAGTTAATGCCCTTCTCGTTCCAAACATGTGACTCTGATCACTTAGCTTGAGAAAGTCCGCAGGAGTGGACGAAAGCTTGCATAACAAATTTAAGGTTGCCGGTAGAAGCTTAAAACCACATGTTATCATTATCCCCAACTGACGAAAGTTTTCTGTATCATGATTAAAAAGAGTGAGAATGAATTAAATATTGACTGGTTCGATGATAAGACTGAATATCACATCGTTGGAAGTACATTTAGTTAGGATTCTTGATTTGAAGGAGGGGTAGGATCACCCATTAATCCCATACTGACCCCTGAATCCACCTCAAAAAGTCCTCCTCCTCCCTTAATAAAGGGTCCGTTCAAAATATGAAAGCCAGTATCGATATTAACATAATGCCTATCTAACATCCATTTAAATACATGTACCTTCGCTTAATCTGGAAATAAAGAGGATAAGAGGTTGAATCACCATTTCTCAATCTTAACCAAACTCATTACCCATTCTTATATACATCTATTTTACAAACAAAAGCAAGTTTACAACATTTTCAAACATTGTCAATGATTAGCACCTTTTGACCGATTCCCCCTCTTTTTTTTAAAGAGATTTTTTTTTAAAATACTTAAAGAATAAGATCATACTATATACCTACAATACAAAAATATTTTTTTCTCTCTTTCACTGAAGTTGCTTTTTGGGATATTTTACTTTTTTGGAACAATCACTTCACTTCAGCACTTCTCGTTGAAGTAGCAGCTCACGGATGTTCTTGGAACATTCCTGTAAGCAGATGACACATATCTCTCTCGTACAATGTACCATGAATACTTGTTGAATATTTACATCTCCACTTTTCCCTAGTCATCTACTCTCTTTAACCTCTCCTACCAACATACATGTATATACAAACGTAAGAATGTACAGCTTTTAATACAAATCATATCATTATACCACATATCAGGATAATTATATGCAATAATGCATACGTACAAACAGAACTTTGGTGCTGCTAATAAGGAAACATTTACAATACAAAAGCAACAATAAGTATTATCTCGTCATATTAAACAATACAATGAAAAAATGCCTTCTACTCGCATTTACTAATCGCAGGAAGGTCTGAGTTGTCTAAAAGGCCACATTATATTTACATGAATGTAATAATTCAGTGTTGATCTTATGAAAAATGTGAGGTATATATTTGGGAGAGATCATCAGAGATGGTGGAGTTTATTTTGTTTTAATTTGCCAGTCTTGAGTAAGCAAAATCAAATAGTATCCACTAATTTTTAAAAATGCATTTACAACTCGCTCACACCTACAAATAAGGCCTTAAAAAAAAATGTTGTATTGCCCTTTAGGTACCAAAACAGGGGTCGGTTGGTCGGATTTTTTTTTTTTTTTAACTCCCTCTTTGGGCTGATATTTCTCAGTTTTGAATGCTTTAAATACATATTTTTTCTAAAAAAAATATAATTTTTTAATTATTTTTAAAGCCGACTGTAGATTTCAAGATTTTGGGGTCGGTGGAAAAAGGGCAATACAACATTTTTTTTTTAGGCCTAACCTCACATCTACATTGAGATGTGAGTTGGTTTAGCGGCACGTTCACTTGGTCAGCTCTCTTGTCTTCACCTACTACCTGACTCTGGCGACCCTGGCTTGAAACTGAGTCGCGTCTTTCGGATGGTGACGTTAAAGGTCGGTCCCCAGACGTAAATAATCATATCTGATTGATACACGTCTGTAAACACCCAATTACACACATACACGCACATCAGGAGCTATAAGGTTTGGTACAATCGAACAAAAATCTACTTGTACATGTTGAGGTTGGATGATTGTGGAGGTGTGTTCAAGAGGACAAGTCTCCGGACTATGAACCACAACGATTACTGTTATTATACAAAAACATGGAGATCTACTTCAAGACATTGTTTCATGGGGGACATACTTGTATGTACATTTCAATTATTTCTCTTACAAGAATTCTTGGTGAATTTATCTGAAATTATATTCTTCTAAGCTCTTCTGACTGAGATTTAGAGATAAAAACGTAAAACAGAAAACAATGTTGATGAACGTTGGACATTGGCATGTATGGGCAATGCAGAAGTGTATTTTGATATCTGGGTATTTATAGGAGTAATGTCAATGAGGCTAATGAAGATTTGTGTTAAACAAAATTACAATGAAATGAGTTACTCTATCCAAACGGGAATGGTTTTGTTCATAAGCAAATACTCTGGCAAACATGCCAGTAAAGAACAGAAAATAAAATGATGCTGCCACTACATACCATTGCACACAACTCCTCAAATAATAAATCATCGCGCAATGCCTGCATAACCATCAGGAAATAACGATAAAGAATACAAGTTTCTTTCTTTCCATTTAACTTTCCAGTTTTCTCTAAATGCCTGAGTTTGATATACATGTATATTCTAAAACCTTATCTAAGTGAGAAATTCAGATATATTTTGTCCAAGTTATGGAAAAAACATTTTTCATTTATTTGATTTAAGTGCTGTGACCATCATTTGTATAATCATAATAATTCATCCATTTAAAATTAACTTTACAACTGATATTGTGAACAGTTTGGTATTTTCTCATTAATTCTCATGAATTGTCAGCCATTTGATTTAGACCTACACAATGTATGACAGTAATTGTTTTGTCATTTTTTAAAATTTTGTAGAGTATTGAAACAATCTTTATCTATGACACGGAACTAAAAAGACAGATATTTAGAGTTCTCATGAAGACCTTACTCTCATTTGCATCACACTCGCACTTCATCAACTTGCATCAAAGCGTAGTGTAGCTTAGTATTTCCAATAGCCTCAAGAGTCGGAAGAAACCACCAGCCGAGATGATCGAGCTCAAAAGTGAAAAGGCTTTCTAAAAATGCGTCGCTAAATTTGGAGGATCTTCCCCATGAAGTCATGACACTCCTTAATGTCAATGCCACTGTTTTATGAAAGAAAATTAAGAAATAAACTGAGGATCGTGGTCATGGCTAAGAAAGCAAGTTCCTCATGTTGACAGAAGTTGTTCATAGTGGTATCCCGTCACTTCAAACAAACTTCACAACAACTTGGCCACAAGGACTTTTTTCCGGAGCACTATCTCTTTCTTCCTCCCGATATTAAGACAAATTATTTTCTCGCTTTCTTTTTTCATTATTATAATTTTTTTTTACAAACATACAACCAGGTGGTACAAAAAATGGATCACATATACTCTATCTTGCATCTCTCTGGCATATTCACATATTAACACACAGAATACAGCAAGCAATGTTCAAGAGGAACACGTCTCCATCATTGGCCGACGACTGACCCATATTTGTCCCTTGACATTCCTTCCTTTGCATTAAGCCCACTGCCGATTGTAACCACGGCCTGCGGGGGCAGCAGACCCTTGGTGATCGGGTCCAAGTTCTGTAAATTGTGTGCCAGAGAGGGTTTAGCCGCCGCAGGGGTCGCATCGATGGGAGCCAGGAGCTCCGCAGCAGAGTTTGTGAGGTTCATTCCTCCGTTGCTATCGAGGAAGTTGTTCAGGTTCTCCAGGACGGAGAGGTCATTGTCTTTTAGCCGCTGCTTCTTGGCAGGAGGTGCGCCGTCTTCCGACGTGATGAGCATGGGTCGGGTGCTGCTTGCATAAGAGAAGGAGCCGTAGGGTGCTCCCAGCGTCCCCGAAGCCGATGCTTCATGGGGGAGGTCACCACTGGCCAGGCCACCTATGGCCGGAGAACAGTTCTGAAGGTCTGGGACTCCATTGTGAGCCATCATGGTGACCTGGTTGGGTGGTTTGTTGATCCTGCTCTTGTCCAGGAGGGACTGGGCAGGTGGAGGACTCATGCTGTTGTCAATATCATCCAGGAAGCGGTCCATGTAATCCCTGGAATGGAAAAGAAATTGAAAAGGAATGGAACTTTCACCTACATTTAGACGGATACAAAGCTGCCAACCTTGTGCGACCAAAAAAAGGAACCATGATGGCAAAAAAAAAGAATTCATTGGAACGAAACTTACAACCAAGCACGACACACTTCTGAGAATATTTTTCTCTTCAAGTATGTGTTCAACTTAGTTTTCTATTGAATTTGTGATCAAATCAACATTTTAGGGCAGTTGTTTAAAAAAAATGTAGTACCGTAATTTGGAAGAAAAAACGGGAGTCATTGCGGCAAAAATGGAATGGTTAGCAGCTCTGCCAACTATTTCATACATGCACTTCTTTCACACAAGGTTGACAGGGGGGTTCCTATCATTGAACCAAGAAAGTAAAGAAGAAGCTACATAAAGCCTCGTTCAGATAAGGCGTGGCAAAACTGTGGCGTTTTTTTGTAGACTTGAAGTACAATATGCTTCACATCTCTCTATATTATAACACAAAGCTCAGTAAATACGTATATGATCTTTGTTGCGCCAAGTTGCCACTCATTTACAGGTCAAATACTGCAGCGGTTTATATGCAGTTGTTTTACTGCATCATATCTAAGAAGATTAATCACAAGAGGGCATGACTGGAGTGCGCACTAAATCCCAAAGCCACTTTATAACCCATTAAAGGCATTGTTTAACAATGTTTCGAGTTTTACAAATCTGAGATGCATGGCCCTACGTGTTATCAGTGTCTGTGACATAGTGCAATATCGAGGCCCTACAAAAATTCTTTGAGTGACTGGTTTTCCATTTTCATTACCCCCAATAGACTGTAGTGTTATAAACACCGTTGGGAAAACGGTTTTTGAAATTTGAAATTCCAATCATAAATATCTTGTAAAAGTCATGGGATTCCAGACTGACCTAAAGTTTATATCATTTTGATTGCAGCATGAGCTATATCCAAGATTTTGTTAAATTTTTTAGACAAAGATACCTTATCCCTTTAATTACAGTTTGATTATTGTATAATACACATGTTCCATAAACCCCAGCCCAACATGTGAGTAAAGAATTAGCCCCTTTGTAATGATTTCTTTGTTTCTAGGCAATGAGGAACTTACGTGATGCCCGGATGAAGGTGATACTTCTTCTTGGCTAGCCTGCCTACGTTTGAAAACACGTCATGACGTGCTGTCTTTTTCCAGAGGTAGTAGAATTGGACCAACTCACCAACAGATCTTGTTCTCACCTATGGAAATAGAAGTAAAGTAAAGGGTGACATCAGATACAAACTGACCTCTGGTCCAAAATAAAGATGTGCTCACTTCTTCAGCCTTCAGTCACCAAATGAGGATCAAAGACATCATCAAATAAATGACCCACCCTTACTCTACATTCTACACAACCAGGGGGTGTTTCACAAAGATTCTAAGTCAAACTTAACTCTAAGTTGGACTTAAAAGTTATGGAGAGCCATTTGTAGCCTTTAAAATCAAATAAATTAGAAAGCAAAAATTCAAGTATTTTAGAATTTTCATAAATTCCACATCAAGAACATGAAATCTCTCATGATGATATAAAATATGATGAATGATTTGAATTAACATTTTATGCCTTTTAAACTTTTGCCAAATACTTTCATAGATGCTGACGGCTTTCCATAATTGTTAAGTCCAACTTAAAGATAAGTTCTACTAAGGATCTTTGTGAAACACCCCCATTTCCCTTAAAATTCAGAGAGATAGATTATCTATTCCACGGATGAAGAATCACAAGTCAACAACAGGGATCAAAAGTTAGTTTCCAGCCCGTACCTTGTGTTGGTGAATTAGATGGAAGTTCTTGCCGTACGTTCTTAGACCACTCTCAAAGTTTCTACACTCCTCTTCCGACCATAAGCTCATCTCGTCAGCTGGCGGCGCCATCTGCATCCGATGCCGCCTTAAAGCCTCGTCCACGTTGTGCCCACATTGTAAAAGGATGAAAAGGGTCTGATGTGGAAAGAAGAAGGGACAGGTTAGGTTAGATATCTTTTAGGAATAGGAAATTTCAAGAGGTTTCATGGTATGAAAATAATGGGGACAAAGATCATTTTAACTCTCAGTTTGTACATACAATACATTGAAAGTAAGAGAGAGAGAAAGAGAGAGAGAAAGAGAGAGAGAGAGAGAAAGACTTGTTATGCAAGCGTGGCGGGTAATCTCCAATTCTGCCTACCAGATATACTAGCAACTGATTTGATTACATCTGGCTGGAGTGTGGCAAATGTAGGACATTAGTGCCGAGAGATTTGAACCATATACCTTGTGTTCACAGTCCAGAGACTTTTCCACTAGACCACAACACCTCTCGGTAAATCTCTAAGTATCTTACCCTCTCATCATCCCTGATGTGACAACCGGTGGGTAATGCTTTGAGGCTCTGCATGCCAGCTACGGGGGGCGGATGGACTTGAGTTAGAAAGCGCTCCGTCTCAGCTGCCAGCAGCTTGTACGGATCCCATAGTAGCCTGTCTTCATTCTCATACACTGCAACAGATGAACGAAATGGTGGGGAAAATAGTGAGTTTGTGGGTTCATGTGAATCGTTCTGATTGAGCACAATGGAGTTGGTGTAATTGCATCAAAAATCTAGAGGGAAAATTGTATCACTTTTCTCTTTTTTGCTTGAAAATTTCCATCAACAAAATCTTGGTGAATGAATGTTTCGTGGCTCCTTTATGCATTTTAAGGGAAAGTGTGGTGTTTCCTTTCTTCTTTCTTGTTTATCTTTGAATTCTTTTAAGAAGATGCTTAAACGTTTTTATGAAGTTGAGCAGGTTTCTTTCTATCAAACGCAATAAATTTGTTATATTACTAGATAAATGGAGACATGTGCAACTGATGTAACAATGTTTGTTTAACCGATATGTAACAACATGAACTTTATTCAAATCTTTTGTATTGTTCTTGCTCAAGAATGATTTAATCACATTTTTTTTTGAAGAAAAAAACAATGTAGAAACGTGCAGTTGACCGCGGCACGTGTGAACAAGCCCGCGGGCATCCAACTCACCTGGTGCATCATCATAATGACTAAGGCCTTCAGGCACTGCGGCTTGGAAGTCATGACCTACACTTATGACCTGGACGAGGAGAATAAAGAAGAAGAAAAGAATATACTTTCTACAATATTGCCCAACTGAAATGCATGTTTAAATCAGAGGCACAAATATTCACGATAAAATGAGATAGGAAGCTGTGACTTCCTGTTTTTTTTTTGGAAATGTTGTATTTTTGCAACAAAAAAGGTGCAAAGTTGTAAATAATCTCAAAAACCAACATAAGAAGGATTCTTAAAGCATACCATCCCATGCTCTAATAGTCTGAAGGTTATTTAAGATTGGGATCAAAGACTACATCTGTAGATGGAATCTGTTCAACTCTGGAAACCAAAGTAAAATCTCTTTATAATGTTGCGTCTTATGATCTTTAACATGACTTCACATCTACTGCAGATGTCAGGGCCCTGGTTTCATAAAACTTGTTATCAACAACAAATGCTATATATCTATGACAAATCTGCTCACAGCCAATCAAATGCCATGATTTCAGTAGCTTATAACAGTTATTGCAACTTGTTCTTCACAAGTTTTTATGAAACAGGGCCCAGGTCTACGTCTTAATTTGAGAAATAGACATATGCAGTAAAATGTGAATTCAAAGACCGCTTAAAGGATTAAAACATAAGCAGTTGGTCTCTATGTGCAAATTTTTTAAATAAAGGTTTCAGTGAGAAACTCTGCTCAAGACAAAGACAATCTTTGATCTTTTTTCAGGCAGGTGGTCTTTCATTACAGGTGATTGCCAAAGCAGGTTTACCTGTACTGTAAAACCAGAGATATTAGACTACAGAATTCTTTATTTGACCTTATGAGTGGTCCCGATTTGTGAGTTTCAAGCTCTGAAACTTTTTCTTGCAGCAAAAACAACCTCAGAAGCAATTTGACCTGCTTTGACCTATACCTACATGTAAAAGCAAGATACCTAAAGGTTATGCGAGATACATGAAAATCATTTTAGAATTGAAGAGATGAAAAGAAAATAAACTACGCATTTACAACATGGTACCTACCTTTTTCCAGTCATCTACAGGGACATAGTCGGAGTCTTCTGAACCCGATTCTGATTCGTCATCTGCGTTTGTACTAGCTGCTGATTGAATGGAAACCAAGAGATGTGACGATGTTATGGTCTTTTCTTATCCCAAACACAAAGCAATACAGCACTCTATACTTTATCTGACCCTTAATTTTTTATAACACCGGTGTGTTGGCTCTGTCAGTAGAGTGTCCGCCTCACGACCAGGAGGTCGTGGGTTCGAACCCCGGCCGCGTCATACCAAAAGACGTTAAAAGACGGGAGTTGCTGCTACCTTGTTTGGCGTTCAACAATAAGGGATAGAGCAACGTCGATCTGGCGCTGCTTAGTGGCTGCCGGGCTCACGATCAATTGGGCAAAAAGAATTTCCATTTTTTCGGTTTAACTTAATAACATTTGGAGTGGACTTATTATTATTATTATTATTATTATAATAAAAGTGATCAGTCACAGCTATAGCTCCCATATCAACATGATTAGATTAACAAGATGTACCTCATGGGTGGAAATCAAAATGGCACATTCTCTTTTTACATTTATCCCCAAGTGGTCAACAAATGAAAACTTCCAGCATGTAAAGTTGGAACATAGAAGGAGTATGAAATTATGTAATCAGAGCCCCTTGTGGCCGGGCTCCAGGGCTTTCTTGGATTCTAATGGTTCTAAGATGTACTTTGGTGCAATTTGATCCATACTTTCAAGCATTTTCAAACCAATTTCATGACTACCGGTAATATTTCATAGGTTGATTGAGTTTAGGCTGAGAAAATATTAACCTGTAGCTGATTTTCAAACCTGTACAACGAAATTTCAAACTCGTCACTGTTACATGTTTAATCCTTTTGAGGACCAACCCGATACATGCATGGAAATGTAAACAACGGTAAAGTTCACTTACATCGCAGCAATCTTTGCGTGTTATCCCTAGGGCTTGCCGATTCTCTCGACCCTGCATAAACATCATTTGGAAGTGAATCCTCCGTCTCTCCGTTGGTTAGCTCCTCTTCTCCATTAGTTAGTTCTTCCTCTTCTTCTTCCTCCTCTTCCTCCTCCTCTTCATCTTCTGGGGCGTTCCCAGCCTCTGGAGGGAGGTACATGGCTAGCAGGTGTTCCATTGGAATCTCTGCATCCTGTAATGGGACAATGATAACAATATCCAATTTTAAACATTTGAATCAATTTTGTTTTAAGGTCATTTATGTACATGTATATCTTAAGGTCAAGGGTGCCTTGAAGTTGAAATAAATGAAGATATCTAGTTGAAATAAAGTCATGCCTCATGTAAAAATAATTTAGAGATACGAGATTTGGTTTCACTTTTCTGTTTTAATTCTTGCAATTTAACTTGAGTGAATGACTAAAGCTCGTTCATTCTTGCCTAGAATTTATTCAATTCCTTGTATCTTTGTTTTTTGAGAGAAAAATAATAATTAGATCAATTTAAATAGTGCAGCTACTACCGGTATATAAATATTCTCTACTGCACCGTGATTAAAGCAAAAACAGTGCTACTTTAAAGAACACAATAAACACTATTTAAAAGCTCCCGAAAACGAGTACGTCTTCAACAAAACTTTGAAGACAGCAACAGATGAGGCTTTTCTTATGTCTAGTGGTAGATAATCCAAAGCTTTGGAGAAAAAAAAATATGTGACTAAAAGACAGCTCACCTGAGCTAGTTCATCCAGTTCGTTATTGCTAAAGCTTTCTCCACTCTCATTCTGCTCTTCCTCTTCCAGTGTCTGTTCATCATCATAGTCATGAACCATCATCTCCGCTGACACATCAAAATCACGATCAGTATCTAAATGAATGACAGAGAAAAATGAGAATCCCATAGAGGTGCTGTGGTCTGGTGGATAAGTCACCCGACTGCAGATCACAGGGAAAGGGGTTCAAGTCCTGCCATGGCACTACAGTCCTTTGGCAAGACGTTAATCTACATTTGCCACTCTCCACCCAGGTGTAAATGGTGTACTTTGGCAGCTCGGCTATACCCAGGGTAATATGTGTAAAGCGCTGAGCATCAGAGCCTAAAAGTTACCGGCACTATATCAATATCTATATTATTGTTGTCATAGTTAGAACATTAAATTCCTAATAAAATAGAGTTTGGAGATTGAGTTTGAATATTACAAAATCACTTACATGTACATGGTCAATACAATATATACACACAGATATTATTTGGTTAATGGAGCTTGAGGTCAGCCCCTGAACAAAAGCTTTCATTATTTCACATTGAATGCATTCACAAAATTTGTTACTTCTATATGCAAATTGATTTCAAGGAACATATACATTATATGCACACAAAAAAATGACAATTGAAACAAATAACTTAATCTATAGCTAAAAGATAATTAGTACTACAAATCAGTCAGTTAGAAATATTCCTCCAGTATCAATTACTGTAATGCTCTGCACAAGCTTCTGCAGCTTGTAATATTTCTCACATCGCTTGGAACTTGGAAGATTGTTAAAATAAGACCAAAAAAAGAAATTGATTGTTTTCCCGGATTTTAATGATATTTGCTACATTTAGGTTACATTTCTCTCTGTTCCTTGTATTGTAAGAACAAACAAGGAATGAAAAATAATCAACAACTTGCGAGCTACAAAACTACTAGACAAAAAATTATCTTGGACCAACAGGTTGTGAGTGAATTTGATAAGGGCTTGTTTTGAACACTACATCAAGTATTAACTTTTAAAGGGATTTTACATAATTTAAAATTCATAAAATTTACTTACCCGGGCTAGAGTCACTGGTTGCTGGCCGCTGAATACAAGAAGGAGAGGGAGAGGAAAAAGATCGCATTAACAATCAAAATCAACTTCATTTGATTCTTAGACAACTAAATAAGAGAGAAAATCATACAAAATAAACCCTGGAATACTGACTATCCAACAGCTTGAAAAAGATTCATAATTGCACTGAGAATGACAAATGAACGGAGGGGAAAGTCATCAATGCAAACTTATGTGTTCCCAATTTTGTTTGAATAGAATGCTATCAAAGGACATGTCATTTCACAAGTTTTGCTCAAGTTACGATGCAAAATGAACAAGGTTACTTAGACTATACAGTATACACTTTATTTCATCTCACTTGCTACCCCATTTAGACAGTATAGAGGCACACGGTCAAAATTGTAAACTATTTCTATTTTACGAGATTGTATCTGTTGTAGTAACTATCTATTGCCAGAGGCTTAGTTATATTTATGTCAAGATTTTCAGTAGACAATTTGGGATATATTGTAAAATTATAAATTCTAATTTTTCTTTGGGCTTCATTCACAGTGCTTCAAAGGGATTACTTTGGTTTAAACAAAATGAAATTGGCCATCATCACTGTCTAGATAAGATCTAGAACTACTTCTATTTTCATAAATAGTTTTTCTCTTCTTTTAAAATCCATTAGGTCTAGACTATACACACAAAACCAAAATGACCTATGCCACAGGCTCTTGAAGTCAGTGCTCAGTCAGAGATGCAAAAATTTGGCCGAGGAAAAATAGCTTTCTTCATTTTGTTCTTTTGAGTTTTGTAAGCCAAGTCTCCGACATTTTCTTTTGTTTTTTTTTATGGGGGGGGGGGGGGGGGGGGAGGCAAGGCCCTATCGCCACCCCCTCCCCCAACAATCTTCTTCTCCCCCTGAAGCTTGGGTTTTCTTTTCTTCTTCTTTTTTTCCTTTTCTCTTCTTTCCCTTTCCCTTTCCCTTCTCTCTCTCTCTCTCTCTCTCTCTCTCTTTCTTTTTAGGGGGGGGGGGGGGGGGAGGGGGCAAGGCCTGCTCGACCCTCCCCATCCCCCTCCCTGACCCTGACCCTGCCTGGAATATTAAATGATCAATTTGATCAATATTTGCTACATTTAAAAAATCACATTAAATGATCAACTTGGCAAGTTATCTGTCTTATTTCAAAGGCCAATATATTCAAAGTATTTATTATCTGTGTCGTGTGTTTACAAAAAAGAAGATCTTTTGTACATGGATCCAGCAGTTGTCACATCGCTCCAGCGAAGGATGCGCTTCAACCCCGGAGCTTCGGCGTGTGCGTACGCGCTCATTACCACCCATAATCTATACTGCTACACGATCGCTTCTAGTTCTATCATATATTCCACTGAAGCTGCACAGTGTATGCCTTCGTCATTGGCAGCCCACCCATATGCGCATATGAAAACGACGCAAGATAAACACACGTACGTACAAACTCTATACACACACACACAGGAAGCCACTTCCGTCGCGATTCTTGCAACTTGCGCCAAACACCGGTTAGTTTCAAACCATATTATTCAACATAATAGCCGCCTAACACACATTTTAGGCACCTAAATATTCAATCTAGAAGTTGAACAATTTTATTCTTAAATTTCAGAAAATTATGAAAAGTATGAAAAGACAAATTTTACCGGCAATTACTTGAGATTTTTTCGTACTTACCTCTGCCATGACTGCAGTATTATGGGATAACGACGACCTGTGAGCTTGATGACGTAATTACAATGAAATACCCGGATGTGAAACACTTCGCTACAGGTATCCGCTAAAATCAAGATAGAAATTGTTATTTGTTTCAAGAAAATGTGAAAATGTTCCTATCATCTAAAATAAGTACTAGATTTATGATGAGGTCATCATAAAAAAGTTAAAGGGTAAGAATATATTTTACTAGAGTAAAACTGAAAAGCGAATCGACAACCGATCAGTTAACCAATCAGAGACACTGTACAAGTGACGTTGCGGCAGAAAACTCCGCATCCCATGGCAACTCAGACGGCTTGTAGTTTTTCTGAGCGAGCCACGGTAAATCGCAGGGCTAGAGCCGAGTATTGAAAAACAACACGCTATTTTTATCAAGTGGGACTGTACAAAGGGATTTGCAGGTAATTTTGTATGGATGGATTTGTTATTGTAAGTTTGTTTTAAGTAGATTATGAGATTTGAAGAGGTTATGAATAAAGGAAGGTCAAATATGATTTCCCATCAGTCTATAATAAAGTGAAATTTAAGGCGTTTAATCGTTGACTTTTGAATTTGACTTGACTTTGAGTCTGACTCTTTGTCTTTGAAGTTTGAGTTTGACTTTGTTTGAGTTTGACTAGATTTTTTTGGACAGGGCCAGGGTCAGGGTCTAGATGGTAGACCCTAGTTTGAGTTACTTTGACCTGATTTTTAATTTTATTTTATTAATAAAAGAAATATTGAGTCTGTCGCTGTGTCGGAATGAAGTGATTTCTTGTGTGTTTTGTTTTGGTGAGAGGGGTTAACGTAGAACTGCGCAGAACGTTCATCCGATCTCGACGAATCGCACTCTCATTGTACTACATTGGCGATGAAAAGGGCTGTTCTTATTGGCTATCGCTGTCTTCCATTCACTCAATGTTATAAGATATTTGTGCAAGGAGCTAGTTTATGTGGACTGTCTTTATTCTTTATTCTTTAAGAACTTTGCTCATTGAGCGCTGTAGAACTAGTTTACGTGCTCTCATTGGCCGATCCGCTCGAGTGGCTGCAAATTTAAGTGAGAGAGGGTCTAGATCTACTTAATATAAGCACAACTTAAGTTCAATATGGCAAAGTCAATAGTCTAGACTACGTAACTAATACACCATGGAGATGGAAATGTTTTTAACCCAATGATCGATGAACAGGCATTGCCCTACAAGCATCGATGGATTAAAGTAAGTAAAGTAAGTAAGTATTTTGACATGTCAAGCTTTAATTAAACAGGAGACGCACACTTAAAATTGCACACACATAAAACATACCTGCCAACCCTTACGAATAATCCTGAATAGGTCTATTCTGTTTTCTGGATTTTTATGACCCCAAAATGTGGAATATTCTACATAAAACATACCTGCCAACCCTTACGAATAGTCCTTAGTAGGTCTATTCTGTTTTTCTGGATTTTTATGACCCCAAAATGCGGAATATTCTGTTTTTTCAAAATTTTGATTTGTTTTTGTTGTTTTGTTTGTTGTTGCTTAAGCCAAATTAAGCTTGTTTTATCATGTGCCGCAATGTGAGAGTTCACGTATTGCGTGCGTTGAAGGGCTGCATGATTGAACAGCGAATTTGTATTCACTTTTTTACACAGATTTACCGCGTATTGCCAGTTACACTGCCGCTGCACGTGCAAACGTCTGTTAAGGGTACAGATTTCTTATTTTCGAAGACATACCGCGCTAAAAATTCCTAATTCTCATTTTCAAATGTTGGCAGGTATGATAAAATAGAAAAATCAATGAATATTTCAGAATAAGTTTCCAGTTTGTACCTTAAGTATGACGAAAATGAAGCACTGAAGCATTTGATCTAAGAAAAGAGAAGTCAAAGACAAAGAGGTAGACTTTTGGATCTATGACTATGATGCATTAACCTTTATTTACCGGATACTAATGCTATATCTTTGAAAATTGCTAGAGTGCCCATGCCGGCAAAGCACCTTCTTCTTGCAGGCTTCATGAATTGAAGAATAATGCACACTGCAGCAGCATACACGTAGCTGCCCAATTCAACCAACACAGAGATTGGAGGATTATGTGGCCAGACACTGAACAAAAATAAAAGCTACCACTTGTGCTTTGGTAATTAAAGGGATCCGGTAACTTTGTCTCAGATTCTGAAACAAAATTCTGGATTTAGCTCATGCTGCAATGATAATTATAAACCTTTAGGTCAGTCAGGAACCCCATGACTCATACAAGTCGATCTGATTATCAAGATATTTATGATGGGAATTACAAATTTTGAAAACCGATAACACTACAGTCTATTGGGGAAAACGAGTAAGGTAAAACCGGTCACTCAAAGATTTTTACTTTTTTGAGGCACTTCTTGATTATTTTGAAGTGCAATTTTTTTAGGGATTCAATATTACACCATATCACAGATGCTGATAACACGTAGGGCCGTGTATCTCAGATTTAAATTGTTAAACGATCCCTAATAAGCTTGACTTATCCCCCTTGTATTCAGCACATTTTTAGAGCCTTGACTAAAATGTTGTTTGTTCTTCAAAGACGGGATGTTTTCCTTTTTATTTTTAATCAGAATTTTTGGGGTGAACTTGAAATATATTTGTGCATCTTAGCCGACCTCGAAAATACACACCTGGGCAGTAGTTCAACATTTTTTGTTTTGTTTACCAGTTTCATTTTTGGTAAATGTGGTCTATCGCAAATTGGCGATAGACGAAAATGCAGTATTGTGCAGCCCTAATCACTACCAAGATAATCTTGCCCAATACTTTTTTATCACTTCTTGGATAAAAAGATTCAACAGTCATTTTCAAAGTTTCATTCTTTAAATATAAAAAAAAAATGAAAAATGGCTAGATTTATTTCTATGGTAGCAGGTGTTTTGTAGTGTGCTAGTAATATTGCTTTATCTTTCCTATTCTTAATACAGAGCCTAAACATTGCAGATAACCATGCTAAAACTACCTGGAGGACAGAACGCTTCCAACGTCATGAAGAGCAGCAAAATCAGCGGTTCCACTAGCCAGAATCGGATTGGCAAGGAACGCAATGTGACCCTGGGCATCGGGTCGAGAACAACCCTCAACTCCAGCAGAAAGAGCCAGATTGGGATCGATAGCAAAACAGAACACCACAAGCTTCCAGGGGCAAAAGTCCACAATATTCAGGTGAAAATTCATTTTATAAATTCTTATCCTGGAAGTCTTTAAACCAAGTGTTAATTAAGGCGTACATTATGTTGCCAAAAGCAAAGTGGTCCTCTAATGTCTTATTCAGTTACTTTCCAACATTTGTATGCAAAATATATAAAAGTGGAAGCACGGTATGAATTAAGTTACATACAATACTTCAAAGAAAAAATCTCAGAAGTTTTGAGACATTGATTATCTTTAATTGTACTCGACTCCTAAAACATGACATACAAAACGATTTCAGCTTGAATGCCATCATGCAGTATAAGTACCGGGTATCTGTATTCTGTTATTGGTTGTTTTTAAATATTTTTTTTTTGTCTCTGGCACTTTCAATAGTTTATTCATTTCAGCAAGCAAGTCGCTTGTCTGGCAGGACAAAGAATCGATCTCCATAAAGAAATAAAGTTGCCTATGAACAAATGAAGTGATACAATTTATCATGATCTGGGGAGTGTTTCACAAAGACTAAGATCGACTTTAAGTTGGACTTAACTATGGCAGGCCATTCTTGCCACCGTTTGCTCTCACCAATTACAGGCATTAGTCTCTCAAGGGACGTACAAAACATGGCCACAAATCCACAGAATTTACATTTTTTTGATAATTCATTATTGAAGGAAAAAATATTATCTAAATCATAAAAGTGAGAGCAAAAGTTGATCTTAGTCTTTGTGAAACGCTCCCCTAGTGTCGCAGAAATGGGAGCTTATAAAGTAGAATTTTGTCATCACATTAAGCTGTCCTGATTAATCATTCACAAAGAAATATCTCTTAGGGATGTATCATCTGTTCAGAGCCAGAAGGATGTTAACTCTGTGTCAAAGTATGTGGATTAATGACCTCCTTTCCGGCTGTGATTTGCTCTTCAATTAAGCCAGTTCACAGTTGCAGTCTGAGCATGAGCAGATAAAAGTCATTGCAGACCAAATTGTGAAATACACGGAGACAAAACACTGGATATGTGCTCATTAAAGTTATGTAATCAATCATTATTCATTTATGCACAGCAGTGCACTCCATGATACACAGGTGGAACTATTCTTTCAAAAGGGGAAACAAAGGCTATTTATGTAGCACCTCCATCGCTGTAGGAGTGATTATTTCATATTGTACCAAGTGGGACCTCTTCATGGTTTGAAGATCTGTGGATATTCGGGGTCATCTGGGACAAGTGCTAACCATGAACGGGGGCCCGTTTCACAAAGCCTTTTTCCAATGACAAATGACAAAAATCAGTGACAAATCTGCTGATAACCAATCAGAAGCAAGGATTTCTGTAGCTCATAACAAAAACTGTCATTTGTCACTGATGACAAGTTTCGTGAAACACCCCTCTGGTCTATCCTTTGTGTAGGTGTTGGATGACGAGGGTCATGATGTCACCCCACAGCCGCTGCTTGCCGCAGACCCCGCCACAGTCAAACAGCAGCAAAGCAAGCTGTTCAATCCAGGAGAATCAAGTCATGGGACCGTGAGTATTTAAACAAATATCTGGCTCTTTTAGGATAAGTCCGGCTTGGAAAGAAGTTCCCGGCTGGCTTACAGTCACTTGTGGGAATGAAATGACATTTTTCAGAAAAACTGTTATAATTCAATAGAGTGAGAGTTTAGCCATGCAGTATGCATTTTATATGGACAAGCAACATGTTTATATTACAAACAAATTACAGTAATCACTGAACTAATGTACAATATCTTGAAAATAAATGCATATATGTTGTAGGTCCGATCCATTTTCTTTTTTCATTTTCTTTTTTCATTTTCTATCCTATTAAAGCTGTTCATGGGGTATCCATTAATCAAATTGATACATTTAAAAGTGGCTCACGTAATCATGGTGCATTTCCTGTTTTGATGATGGTCATTAAAGTTCTGTTATGGTGTGGCAGACCTGCTTTCTTCATGAGATATGAACTCTCCTCTAATGATCACTAACAATTTTGTTTCATGCTACATATTTATCAAAAGAGCTTTCAGTTTATTGCATGATATTTCAGTTCCTTCTTGCCTCACTGTCTACCCCATCTTTATCTCCCCTCCCCCTTGCCCTTCTTTCTTTACATCTCTTCGCCCCCGAAAGAGTTATCCGATTTATGCACAGGTAAACAAACTTGTATTTAGTTTCACCTCCACTTTGAATCAGACATCGTTAGTCTGCATGGTAACCTTATTTTATGTCCTTATCAATCCGATATTGTCCAACATGTGTCTAATTAATTTGTCTCTCTCTGTCTCTCTCTTCCCCCTCTGTTTTTGTTATTTTTTTTCTAGCCTACCGATCTCATGTCACAAGCATCCATTTATCAGACTGGAACAACAAGCTTTGCTGGGCCATTTACAAGGTATTACTTGTTGCTATTTCTATTTTTATGAACATTTTTAATAAACAATAAACTAACAATCAACTTATGAATATGTACAGTCTACATGAATATAGATATTTCACAGATGAACAAAGTATAACTTGTGAGGAAGGGAGATAAGACTTGTTAGCTGAGAGGCATTTAATTATTTTGATTGTACCTTACATGATCTCTCAGGAAATCTTCCATCTTGGAAAACATATTTTTTAAATTTAATATTCGTTCGTATTAACTATTTTCTGTATGTTGATATTTAAGAGTGTATCAGCTGTCCTCATTTCTGCTTTTGAAAGTTAAGCTCTCCTCTTCCCCTTTTTATCTGTATGGCGATAGATCTGTATTTGGAGCCAGTATGTCGCATGCCTCCAGTCAATCCAACACTGAATCATTCACAGACGAGATTGCTGAGCCTACATCTATGAAAGATATGCTGAGTGGGTTAGAAGGTAAATATTGTGATGTTTCCCTTTCAGTAATGCATTAAAGCACAAATGCTTTACCTTATGGCTGCTAGGACAACATGACCATGGTGCCTAGGAACGTAGTATTAGGCACGTTAGAAATTCACCTTATTGCTATTATGTCCATTTTAATACTTTGGAGAAAAAAAAGGAATCTTGTGAAAGGTATATAGACCTATTTGTTCATCTCTTCGCCACTAACTGCAAATGAGAATAGTTTTGGGTTTGCTTTTAATATATATAACATATGGAATGTTTCTAGTGAAAATAATTATAAATGCCGCTGCAAAGAGTAAAAGCTTGGGAAATATGCAAGAGTTCTGGGAATATCAAAGAATGCTCCTATATTTTGCTGCATTGAATCTGATTCGATGTTTTTATAATAGGCACTCAATTTACCTTGTGCTTTATAGTTTGGAGTAGATTAAGGACAACCACCTCTTTATCCTTTTTAAATGATTAGATAGAATATCAAAAAGTCTGAACTTTTTATTACTCAGGGCTCCGTTTTATAATGAGTTGATATTAATCACAACTCATTTGTGAATGATATCAATCGCAACTATGTACATAAGAGATAGGAGACTGCAAATTTGCTATTGATTGGAGGCATGCGAATGATTTCGATCAATCGCAACTCCTTATAAGATAGGGCCCTGAAAGATGAAAGAGTTATAACTGATTATCGTCATCCATCTCATACACCAGATATCCAGACGAGAAGGGAGGAGACGAAGGAGAATCTAACGGAAGAAGACCTTGAGAAGCACATCCCCATCCACCTGACGGAGACGGCCACGATCTGGCTCCTCGATATCAATGGAGTCAGCATGTCCTTGGACGCGGAGGATGCGTCGGAAATCAGAGACAAGAATGAGAAATACAAAGAGGTAATGCGAGGATTTTGACAAGAGGGTTATTGGCTGAGAGAGAGAGAGAGAGAGAGAGAGAGAGCAAGAATGAGAAATACAAAGAGGTAATGTAAGGATTCTCATGAGAGGGTTATTGGCTGAGAGAGAGAGGGCAAGAGAGACAGAGAGAGAGATAGAGGAAAGAGAGAGAGAGGGAGAGACAGACAGAGAGATACCAATAGTCATCTGGTCCATGCACTCCTTTTTTGGGGTGCTAATATGAATGCAGAGATGCCAACCGTTATGGTTTCGCCGTATTTGTTACGGTTTTAATGCTCTTGTTACGGCGTTACGGTAAACAATCAAAAGGTTACGGGGAAACGATAAATAAAAGTACATTATAGCGAATGCCGCCTTATCACATAGCCTGTGCTGCATGTCGCACGCATTTACTCATAAGTTCACTGAATTTGACTACACTGGATAGGCACTTTCGCGCACATGGTCCATCCGCCGCCATCTTGTTTAATTGTGAAACAACACGGCCGCTGTCATTACTGCTACGTGCGGTCGTGCGTTTTGGGGGGAGCATGGTGGTGGATGATCGTGCGCGTGGCGCCCGCAATACCCATTCAAAGTATAGTAGCGAAGACTTCGGTGATTCAGCGGGCGCATTGCAAGTGTGGTATACGGTGTGTTGTTGTTCATGAACGCCGGGCCTAGCGGCCTGGGCTGGTGTGTCTGTGGTAGTGGTGAGTGTACGTGTGCGTGTGTAGAATACGAGTTCTGCCATTTGACTGTGGATTCGAATTTGTGGTTCGACGCTTGAACAAGGTGTTTTCTTCCTGAATATTATCATGGATTCATTCAAAAGAGCGAGTACCCGAGGAGGAGATCCTTTGACTGCAAACCGATTTTTAAAAACGTTTTCATGCACATCTTTATTTTGGACTTAAAAATGGTAGGTTCGAAATGCAGTAAGAGTGATTGGGTGTTTGACGTTTCGCGCGAAAATTATGCTGCAGTGTCTCGCGTTCCGGAAAGACCCCCATTCGTTACGGACAAATTTGGTAAATGTTACTGACAGCCCTCCTATAGGGTTGGCATCTCTGTGAATGTGATGCACAGTTTATAAAAATTTATGTCAGAATCAAAGCCAATAATTAGAAATACAAAGAGGTAAAGTGACAGTTTTGATAAGAGACCAATTGGTTTATAGAGAGAGATGCAAGTAGTCAGAGCAATTAGCTTCTGTTGTTTTATATTTTCACAATTAGTATGATGCAAAGAGTTCAGGCCCCATCCCTATACAAATTACAAATTTTGCTGTAAAAATGGATATAAAACATGCCAGCGTATTCACAGTATTCCCCAGACATAAACATATCATCCATTCATATATTTTTTTTCTCTCTCACCTTTAATACAAAAAGGTCTTAACAAAAGAAATCAAGAAAATGTTATCATGAAAAGACTCACCATCTGTAATTTTGATGTATCCTCCTTCCAGTGTGGTAAGAGATATATATATATGTAGATATATTAGCTACCAAATTTTCAAAGGTCTACCTATGGTATGCTACATTTATATGTGCCATGATGTTGCTAGCAAGGAAATGAGACAACTAGAATGAACACCAGTTGGGTATTAGTTTTCACAATTGCGAGTCATTTTGTTTCTATTTGCAGCTTTGCAAAAGCCGTGATGGAAATGACAGATATGCCGAGAGGGGCATGCAGACGTTCAATGACCTGCCTAAAAACAAGGATATCCAGACGTCTAGGGTCAACTATGTCGTAAGTCAACCTACGTTACGACAGTTTCATTAATTTTGCGACAATCAATCTACATTTTGTGGTTTGGCTCAATATCTTTTGGTTCAAATCCCTAAATAATATGCCATATTGCTTGAGTAGAAAGAGCAAAAAAAAATTGCACGCACTGCATTCATTTTCGTTTCATGATTATATTGTGTTTGATGCCATAAAGTTTAAAAAGGGAAGTAAGTTTTAAAATCCTAAAACTGGCAACACATTGAGACATTAAAATAATAATTTGTTTTAATTTTTTATCAAAACTTACAATTTCTTTTTAATTTTTGACAACGTTCTTGCCTACGTATAATGTCGTCACAGACAATTTATTTTAACAATGTAGCAAAAAAGAAATTTTTGCCAATTTGAAGAACAATATGTGATCAATTTAACCCTAAAAACAAACCCTGTCTTGAAAGGGTTAATTTGCAAAAGTGTTGTAGTAGAGTGATCTGATATCATTCATGACTGTGTAAGCAAGGGGTTGATGGGTTTCAATCACTGTTATGATATCTATGTCCTTTGGCCAGACATTAATCTGCAGTTTTCACTTCATATCCAGGAGAGAATTGGGCTCCTAGTGGGATGTTGAAAGCCTTGTGTTTAATTTATGAGTAATTTTCTTTTGTAAAAGCCACTGCTATCAATATACTTTGGGTGGGGGGAGTCCATCTCAACCATTATCTGACTCCTGCTGTTGGCCCTGTTGCATAAAACTTACCATTGATGGTAACTTTGCCATTAATGGTAACTACTATGGACACCATGATTTAATTAATTGGCTGTTGAGTGATGTTGCCATGGGAGTTGATGCCATTAATGGGAAGGTTTATGCAACAGGGGCACAGAAGTCTATAAGAAGTACTGCATTTAATGTGATGAAAAAGTTACAATAATTCCTTCATATCATGCAAGTGTCTTTGTAATATATAAATAAAGAATGCTGAATCAAAACAAATGCATGTTTATCGTTTTTGTATCAATCACAGGACCAAGAAACAACAGTAACAAATTGGGATATGTATGATACATACCAAGACCTAGAAAAGAAAGACGGCTGTAAGTAAAATTATTTTGGTACGATACGATTCCTCCGATATACTCTTTGTGTGTATTCAAACATGCAATGGTATAAATTCACTATATTTATTCACAAAATGTTAAGATAATAATCCTTTTTATGCAATGGTATAAATTCACTTTTTTTGTTTACAAAATATTACAGTAATATTCCTCGCAAGTATTGGTCTGTAAGTGAGTGGTTTATCAGGATTCTCACAATGTACAATAGTTTAATCATGGTTAACAGCTTGCATGTATTCCAGATCAACGATTAATGGAGGCAAAAATATATACTGTAAATACATGTACCTTGACAGTTCTCTGAATGATATACTTAGTATTTGTGACATATATCACAGATTTCTTCAGAATTTGTTGGTCTTTTTCAATATTTTTCATCTTGATGTTTATGATACCTGACTTCTCATTTCTTGAACTTTATGACTTTTAACCAGAAGCACAGTCTCAGATCTGATGGTATTTCTCGGCCATGACACCACCTCTTTCAGAGATGTCGTAGTTAATTGGTTTAAGCACTTGATTTAAAATGCAAAGGTCATGGGTTCGATCCATGACCTTCGCATTTCAAGTCAAGACTAATGTCCTTTGGCAAGGCATGAATCTACATTTTTCACTTCATACCCAGGAGAGAAATGGGGACATAGTAGGATGACAAAACCCTTTGTGTTAGTAATTGCCATATGCTCCCACTGGCCCACATCAATCATATGGTAGGAATACTCCCCAGGGAGTGGAGATGGTGCACATTGTGCATGAATGAATCCAATGACCTGGGGAAGAATATCTGTAAAGCATCTAGAGACGGTATTTTGTATTAAGTGCTCCTTAAATCTAGATTATTAAGGTTTCGAATGAGCAATATTCCCAAGGCAGGCAACCTTCCTATTCAGCAAGACACAATAATAGTCTCCATGTATCTACAAGTCAATGAGTTGATGAGTTCAGTATACAGTTTGTCTTTAGTCGAAGTACGCAATATGTTTGCATCTAGGGTACATAATTTATGAGCAAAATTTTTATTTGTCCGTTCTTCCATTTTATCCATTGGTATCCTCAGCTCAAGAGTATGACTTAAGAGAAACCGATGAAGATAAGAAGAGCACGGCGGAAAGACCCAAGAGTACCAAGTCCGGTGTCAGCTCCATCGCAGAAGAAGGGTCAGGAAAGAAAGAAGGGGGTAATTATAATTACCTGGTACTAGATTTGTTCATAGTGGCATATTTCTTGAAATGTGCCGGTAATTTAACTGATACGAGTTGGTTTATTAAAAACAAAACATGACATGCACCTCGATGCTGAAATTGTATGTTTTACAAAGTAATCAGATATTTACAATATAATACACTGTAATACCATCATCAATATATCAATGGTAACATCGAACAGCAATACTTTAAAAGATTTAGAGAAATACATTGAGGATATGGATTAGTATTTATCAAGATAAGTAAAGCAATGCCATTAAATTGTTTTTATTAGCATTTACCACTTTTTCATTGTGTGTTTGTATAAAATCTTGTCATACATTTTTGCAATGTTCTTTAATTTCGCAACTTGAATCACTGTGGTTCATACGTTTACAGTGAAAGATTTGTCATACACCAATCAATGCACTTGTGAAATAATCTTACAATAAAGAATGAAATACATAATCAAGTTAACATTTTTCAATGCAGAAGTTGAAAAGTAGTACTAAAATCGTATGGGTTAATGTACTTTTTCTTTAATTGTAAAAAAGGTTAAGTAACAAGTCCGAAAGGACTTGTTGGTAAGGTTGGTGATTATTATTTTTTAATGAATATCACAATGAAAAACAATGATTTGGTATTGCAAAATAAGCAATGCGAAGTACGTAAATACAGCCATTATTTGTGTTTAATGAGATGGTGTTTTATTGCACTGGGTCAAATGAGCACTGATCTTAATTGCCAATCTTACTCAACAGCTGTGTCTTCTTATCTTATGATTTATTCACACTCTCTTTTTCTTTTCACTTCAGACGGTAAGACAAGTACGGTGAATGCATCTATGGTGGAGTCGGAAATAGGAGAGGGCGAAGGTGTAGGGGAAGAAGCAAAGGAATCCACATCAAAATCACAAGAAGAAATCCTTGCTGTAAGTACTTACTTGTACATGCACATGTGCATGTAATTCTTAATTTGCTGTCAAGTATGTCCAACCAATTTGTTGAACATGGAGTACATAAATGATGAGTTATTCAGGGCGCAGCATTATACTCTCTGATAAGTATTCGGATTATGATTTTACTTTGGATACGTTAGGCTTATTTAAGGTTTTTTTTTCTTCTCATGAATTTCTAATATCTATTTTGTACACAAAGTTAATTCAATATTTATTGAAAATTAACTTGCATTATGTTATAATCTTGGCTGTGATGCATGTCCATGTAATGTCATTTTTTAGCATCCAAATCAAAAGATAGACACCAAAACTCAAGTAAATGGTTCCTTTTATCAAAGATGTAATGCTCACATCTGATGAGAGTAAGTCATTATAAATACAATTATGTTGGTAGTAGAAGTGCCTTAAAGTGGCATTTGAAAAATAAAAACATTCCCAATAATTGAGAAAGTCCACATAAGGTGATGAAAGCTTGCCTACTAAATATTAAGGTTGGTAGAAGCTTAAACTTCATATTATGTTTACCCCAATCAATGCAAGTTTTCTGTGTCATCCCCATAATTTTTATACAAGATAGAAATGTTTTATAATTCCATGAATGCATTTTGATCTGTTTGCAGTCAGAGGAGCTGAAACGAGACATGTTTGTAATGGAGAGAGTTGTCACACTAAACATATTACAACACAAACAGGCTGCCTATAGGAACCTTCCTATCTATCCAGGTAAGATACAGTCATTTTGATCATGGTAAAAAATTAAACAAACATAGAAACAACAACAAAACAAGAAGGTACTTAAATGCCACTTTCTTAAATTTACTGAAGAGCTTTTGAAGGTAATGTATAGTTCTGGTACAGTCAAATCTGCTTTAGTGACCACCTGTCTACAAAGACCACATTTTTTGTTTCCCTTGAAAAATGTTTCTCATTGAAACATGTATCAAAGAAACCTGTCTACAAAGACCACTTTTTGTGTTTCCCTTTGGCGGTCGCTATAGACAGGTCTGTAGCAAAAAGAGAATAGAAGAGTATGGCCTCATGTTGTTCTAGTCGTATCAATTAATACACGTGCAGGATATGTTGATTTTCAGTCCATGATTTCTGATAATTCTTTTGCCTTCTAGATATTTGAAAGGAACATCAATTTTAGGCTATACATGTTTTAAGTTAACCACTGCCTGCCTGGGAGGGCTATCTTCTGTTGATGTTGAAAGAATCATAAGCGACTGAGAGTAGAACACAAGAAGGACATTTGAACAGTGAATTCTAACACAATGCTTGTGCTTTGACACAGATTCTTCTACTAGCAGTAATGTACTTGTGTAAGCACAGTTTCGTGTAATTTCTGTCAATAACAGAAATTTATTCTATCTACATTAGATGTGGACAGAGTCAGTGGTAGAATGAGAAACACACGTAGGGGTAACACTGAACACTCACTTCGGACCTTGATTTATTGACACTGGCGTCTGTACTTACACTTCCTAGTTACTGTATCTCCTGGACGGCCTCTGAAATGTACACTAAGCAACAAATGGCCTAACATTTCAATTGTCTATCTTACATAGATGTTGACAGAGTGGATCCAGAAGAGACAGAGAGCCAAACACAAACACTAACACCAAATGTCCTAACACTTTAATTTTCTATCTTGTGTAGATGTGGACAGAGTTGAACCAGAGGAGACGGAGAGCCGAACACTAACACCTAATGGCCTAACACTTTGATTTTCAATCTTGTGTAGATGTTGACAGAGTTGAACCAGAGGAGACAGAGAGCCAAACACTAACACTAACACCAAATGGCCTAACACTTTGATTTTCAATCTTCCATAGATGTTGACCGAGTAGAACCAGAGGAGACGGAGAGCCAAACCTCGCTACCCACCAGCGGTACAGCAGCACCCCCTCCCGCCTCGGCAGCGAACCAGGTCAACCTGACCCAGCTAGGTCCCAACCTTGACAGGCTCTGGGCCTACTCCTGCAGTCTCACCAAAGGACGGAATGTCAGCTGTATGGCATGGAATAAAGGCAATCGGGTAAGTAGAATGTCCAACCATGCATATGGTAATGCTCTATGTTACAGGGAAAGTCCACCCTGATAATAATTTGGTTTAATAAAATGCAGAAAATGAAAGGAACAGTTCAGTGAAAGTTTGAGCAAAGTCTGTTTAAAAACAAGAAAGTAATTCATTTTTGAAGCTACAAGAAATCAAACACGAATTGTGACGTATCTTGCGAGCACCTCTCTAATTTGCTCTGTACAGAAAATTTCATAAATTTACAGAAACACTCACTTCAGTCGTGGCCATTAAATGCATGATCACATTTCTGAGAGGATTCAAAAGATACATTAAATTTAGTGCAAGAAATATGAAATTCTTCCCTAGCAGGTGAATTTTGTGTGAATTAACTCAAAATGTTTGCCAAAAAGCTAAGTACAAACTAAGTACTGAATGGTTGTACCGTATTTGCCAGCGTAAAGGCCGCAGTATTTTTGGAAGAGAAAATATCAAAAAGTCGGGGTGCGGCCTATGCGACGAAAGAGTAAAAAAAAAAAAAGTAAGTCAAAACCAGCACGAATTTGCACATATGGGACTAGATCTACGAACGGTACAATAACTACACATTTCCACACATCTTCCGACAATTTTATCTTGCATTGTTGACATGAAGACGAAAATAAACTTCCAAAAACAACATCTGCCGATAGATCTTGATCTAAGTTCGTGCCAATGCATTGCAAAAGTAAAAGAAGGGCCCGTTTAACGGAGCCGCCGCGAAGTATCCAGCACGCAAAGTCGCTATTTTGAATCCATTTCAATACACAAGAGAGAGGCGCAATGTATACATCACAAAAAACTACATAAGCTAGTATCAGTTCGGGATGGCCGAGCGGTCTACGGCAGTGATTTTAGTCAAATCAACATTTGTACGCAAGAGATCAAATCCCGACTTTGACAAAAAAATTTTTTTTTTTTTTTTTCTTTTTTTTTTAAAAAGTTGATACTCTAAGCAAATAAATGTCCCCTAATTTGTTACCTACGGCAAGTATATGTTATTTTTAAGTTTTTCAATTACTTAGTATATCACAAAAAATTCTGTCTACTCGAAATCCTCAATTGAAATGTCTAAAATATCCGCCTCTCTTTGCATAGAAAATCAGTCACGACGCTGGTCTACTATTTATGACCTCACGTCCGGGAGAGAGTATATTCACGTACCCGGATGTTCCATAGCAAACATGTGCAGAGTGATACGATTTTCTGCATATTTTTGTTTCAAAGGCTGAAAAGTCTAATAAATCATAATTCTATGTACAATTCTTTACCTTCCCCTAGTACTTCATAGTATTAATATCAATTCCCCTTTTAAAAATTATGACATATACATGCCAACGATGTGCTATTAGTCGATATTTTCACCATGTAATTTTTGTTTTGGTGTTGAAATCGGCCCAGGCACGGAGTAAACAGTATATAGCTGTCTACCCATGCACAGTTCATTACCATACACTACAGCGATCTCCCGATGGTTTCTTTTTCCTTTTTCCCATGTCTTTCGCCTTCCTTGGCCCTGAACATCCTTCATCTACCAATTCTGACACCGGTTGTCAGGAGCAAGTCTTTGTTAGTTGTTTTTCTTAGCTGGCAACGTCGCTTTCATTCTCTTGCAATTGCCGATAAACATATAACTAGCGCACGTACGTTCCATCACAAGCAAGCAGCGCCTAGAGCAGCGGCTTGGTCTTACCTCCCGATTCTGCTCGCTCCACGAACGTTCATGCAAGAGCGGCATCACTCGCCAAAATATTATAGAGGAAGCGCGCTTGCATGATCTCGTTCAAGTTTGATATTTTACAACATAAAATGTTTAACTGGTACTGTATCCTTTTTGAGGCAGTCACACACATCTATGATAAGTACTATCATAGTTCTAGACATATTCGTTTTACAAAACTGCTCATGTACATCTGATGACAATATAATGCATCCGCCTATTCTTAAGTGCACGATTTAACTTTAATTCCTAAGCAGTAAACTCGTCTTAAATCTCTACCAAATAGGTGAATATGAGGATATAAAAAGAAATCAGCGACTGGAAAATGTTGCTTCGTTATTCTTCATTCAAATGAAAACAGAAAATCCATCAAATATACTCCGTAACAACAACAAATCTAAGCTCTGACAGGATAGCATTTACGTAGGGATATCACTGCCATTCACTCTCACTGAGCCCATGACTCCCGTTCGTGACGTCACGGATAGAGGCCCGACTTTACGTGCACTTCCGGGTTTCAGACTTAGATATTTTGGTAGAGTTTACTCGAATAAATTCATTATTCTAAACTTGTTTTGTCGGGTGGACACCATTTGATGTTATTATGGAGGTTAAAAGCTTTCTATTTATGTAATTATCTCAGTATTTGGGATTGTCTTAGAGTATCAACTTTAAATGTCAAAATTGGGGGTGCGGCCTATACGGCGCTGCGGCCTTATCGCCAGCAAATACAGTATTTATATGGGACAACACCTATCATTTTTACCATCTCCCAGAGAAAAAGAAACCAATCCACTATTTCCTGTTCATGTTTATTGCTAAATGTTAGAAAAATTTGCTTGCTTTTGAACAAGGATGGGGAAATCATACCTGAAATGTGTCCTTGTTCTGTAAGAGTTTCTGCTAAAAAATATGAAACTTGAGTATTGTCCTTTTGGATGCCTCTCTACGTGAAACACTGATTTACTATGTTGCCAGATAAAATTCAAAAAATTATTTTGCACCCTAGATCCTGTATTTTATATGTTTGTTTGCTTTGTTCTTTGTTTTTTTAAACAATTAATATTCTTTTCCTTCTTTTCTTCATGGCAGGATCTATTGGCAGTCGGCTACGGTCAGTTTGGTTTCACTGAGCAGAAAGGAGGCTTAGCCTGCTGCTGGTCACTCAAGAACCCAGAGGTAAGAAAGAGATGTCTGCTTGGTGTCGTTCTCATGGATGCCTCGTTTTCAGAGGAATAACACAGATGCACATGTTCAAGAGAGCAATTCTTGCTACCGCAACTACAGTATTTTGCCATAGAGGGCAGCACCAGTCATGGGTATATTTGGCAAAGGCACTTCCGGTTCCCATATAAATACAATGTGTCAAGAACTGGAAAGTCTAATAAAAATTATGTCAATCATCATATTTGCGGTAGGGTAAATTTATTGTTTGTGAATTTTAGAGCTGTTGAGCTGTCATAACATTGCAGCCTGTAGGTCTTTTGTCTTTGCATTTTGCAATGGTTTCAGTTACCAAATGATATCTGCTTTTAACTACATATTCTCATTGATAACAATGTCATTATTTAGTGCTCTTGAGAGAAACATAAAAGAAAGTGGGTCGAATAAGTAAATAGGAAACAAAAAGAGATAGAGAGAGTATTGAGTATTAGATGTTATTGCTCAATAAATGTTTTTAGAGTATTCGCATGACCATAATCTTTTGCCTTCTTTGCATCTTTTTCCCCACAGTATCCAGAGAGAGTGTTCAACTGTGAGGCAGGAGTGACTGCAATGGATTTCTCTGTATCAAATCCAAATCTGTTAGCGGTAAGTAGATATTCAGGCAAATTCAATTTTTACTTCTGACTTATTTCATGGGACCTTTAAAAAAAAAATGTACATCAAGGTTAATTTGTTCAACAGTAAACAATGTATAATTCTTTCTAGGTGGTATTCAAGGTGCAAAAATGCAAGAATTTCTGTTGAATAATAATAAGTCATATTCAAAAAAATTAAAAAGACATTACATTTGCATTTTCTTGTAGTTATCTTGCTGTGTACAACAATTGGGATTTATTTCTTGTCATAGTCTCAAAACCGGTCAAGGCTTCTTCCAGAATTGTCAAATTGATAATATAATTATTTTGTTTTATTTTTGAAGTATTTATTGTTATTATATATCTTTGTCACTTTACAGGTTGGTCTCTACAATGGCACGGTGGCAATATACAATGTGAGAGCTTCAAGTGATGAACCTATTCTTGACAGCTAGTGAGTATAAAAGTAACAATAAGAATATGTCAATTTCTAAACATATAATGCTACTTAGACAGTTTGCTGTGCAGTATAGCTGGGGTAATAATATGATTGCAGAGTCCTTGGGGAACCGTATTATTACAGATGAGGCTACCCTAGGAAACAAAGACATATTATTATTGTTATTACGATACGCTGTCTTTATAATCCACAACATAATCTAGCGACACCAGTGTTAAGTCAATTTCATATGATGTATTATGAGAAAAGTCAACCAAAGGATCCGTCGCTTTGTTATATACCATAGGAGATACGGGGATTTAATCGGAATTTTTGGTGGAGAAGGTTTGAATGGCTTATCTGGGGTAAAAGTATATGCCGATTCAAAAAATATCTTATTGACTTTACTCACAATATTTGGGTCATTTTGGCCTCTTTTTTCTAAGAACCGACTATTTAGGTCCCTGTTTAATTAGTTAGGGATAATTTTTCTAATCTTTATTATCAGTAAAGGGGATTTGTTGGGCCTATTCTATGTAAAAATACACTCAGTGTCTTACAAATCTCATTAATATTTTTATTTCCCCTCTCCTAGTGAAAGTCGGTCCAAGCATGCGGCCCCTGTGTGGCAGCTGCAGTGGGTTGAGAAGGAGAGAGGGTCATCAAACGATGAGAGGGTAGAGGTCCTCGTCTCAATCTCGACAGACGGCAGAGTGGCACAATGGCAGATCAGGAAGGTATTGTCATTTTTTTCTTCTCCATATCTTTGTCCGAATGTGCAATTTTAATATTTATAACAAGAAATAAAAAATCATATTTACATTTTATCCAACCTACATGTATATCAAAACAACTTCATTCAAATACATGCTTAGACATAAGCCATCTCAAAAATGTGAAGTCATTTTTGTTTCCATTTATAACACAAACCCACTGCTAATACTAATAATATGTCTTTAGTCTTTACTATGTATTTCCATTTTATGGAGAAAAAAAAGGAAGTGTCCTGTTAACTTTAGAAAAATAAATAGTTGTCGCTTAACAAGTACTATAATACATTATAATACCTGCCAAAATATGGTTCGCGTATTACACAATAACTTGATTTATTTATTTATTGATATTAGTTTATTACACAGCATTGAAATTTATAATCATTTAGCAGATGTTTCTGCATTTATTGATAAATCAAATATAAAACATTCAAATAACAATAATAGTATATAATATAATTGATTTACATCAAGAGTGACAACTTAATACACACAAAATAAAATATTTAAAAAAAATACATAATTGAAAGCTTGAAAGTATGGAGGTAAGTAAAAATAATCAAGATAAATGCAGAGGCCAACTATCATAAGCAAGGAAGCTTGACAAGGTATTGAAGTAACGCATTAAAGTAAAAAAGCAATTTTTGTTTGCTTTTGCAGTATTGTCCACTGGAACAATTTAAATTGAGAGACTATTAAAGAATTTTACACAATTTTTGTCCTTGTGTGCTAGGTTGTTGAGATGATATCATATGATGTTGTATGAATAGTGGCTTTTCTAATTAATGAATTATTTTGGCATGTTATGTTGCAGGGCTTTGAGAGTGCAGAGCTCATGAAACTGAAGAAGACGGCTAAGGCTACCAAGAAGCAGACCACACAGGCCAACAAAGACCAGAAGGAGAAGGGAGAAGCCTTCATCACGAGACAAGCTGCCGGATTCTCCTTTGATTTCTATCCAAAAGACAGCAACATGTAAGTCTCCAACAACTACGAAAGCTGGTACTTTGTCTGCTCAGTGATTAAAGGGTGTGAACTCATTTCACACAGGGTTTAACAAGGTTAAAGTAGTCACCCAAAGAAAATTCACGACGACAGATAACTATGGACAAATTATATATCGATGGAGAGATTTTCTCTTCAAAAACATGAATAATTTGCTGAACAATCATATAGATATCATGGAAAGGCGTAAAATGCTTTGTGGCTAGCTTCGTCTCGCATGTGACGTCATGAATCTTGACGCTCTACGGAGGACCGCTGAAGGGGAAAGAACTATTTCTAACAAATTTCATTTTTGAGAGATGATTACTGCTGACCACAAACATATTTTGAAGAGGGAAGTTGTTATATTTGATCAGTAAGGCTTCCCTTTTGCAAAGATATTAATTTTGCATCAATTCAAAACACTTTTAATTCTTGGGGTGACTACTTTAAGCTTAAAAGTTAAAAAGAGTATAGATTATATTTAGAGCAACTTTTCATATCTTTTCTCAAAATGATATTCTGAAAATAGTACCTTGAATGATTTACTTGGATTTTCATGTTTGACCAATCAAGACCATAAACAGGCCATGAAATGTAGCAGTTGTGAATGCTGAAACCAATCAAGGCCATAACACCTGCGTGTACCTGTAATTATATCAGAGCACAACAGTATACATTAAGTCTCCATCATACCTACTATGTGTTCTTTGTAAAGCTTGGACCATCATTCCCTGTGATGAGACGTTCTGCCAACTTGTAAGAATGCCCACAATAAGCAAAAATAAAACCAAGACTAACTGCTAGCATTTATATTTTTACATTGAGGCAAGGTTTGAAATACAGCAAAACCAATCAATACTTCTACAATGCGATTGAAAATTCTATGTCAACCATTCCATAAGTCTTTGCTTGACATGTAAAGCAAGGGACTTAACTTTCAAAGAATGTGGAATTCCATGAAAGCCTGGTATTAAAAAAATGTTGAAACTTCTCCCACTTGATGTAGAGAATTTTGGTTAACCATAGAATCATCGCAACTCTATGGAAGATCATTCCTTTGAATGTTGCCCAATTCTTGCGTCTCTTTCAGCTACCTGGCAGGCACAGAGGATGGTTTGATTCACAAGTGTTCCTGTTCTTACAATGAGCAGTATCTGGATACCTATAATGGCCACACGGTAAGTTGATTTGCAAAATTGCTATTGCTTATAATAATGAAAATAACATTCCGCTTTTATGTAGCACTTAATACATCACTGATGTCTCTAAGCACTTTAAAGATAATTATTACCCCGTCATCTGATTCAGGCTTGCCAGCACACAATGTATGCAAAGTCCTCCACTCCCTGGGGAGCATTCCAGCCAGGCGTCATTTAAGCGCACTCTTGCTCATCTAACCACAATAACTACATTTCCTACCTATTCAGTTGGCTAAAGCATGGCATTTTCTGCCCTGCTCTATATACCATTCCAAACATTTCAGTGTTGACACATTTTTAAAAGCCTGTTTTATGTCTTATTTTCATGGAAAAACGGCTAGGAAACTTCAAAAATTAGATGGGAGAGTTTACTATTAGAGGTGTGCGACACCCTTAAAAAGAATGTTTAAAGGATTTGTTGCATGTTAGAGGGTTAGTACAGTAGAAGGAATGTAATAAGTAATATTTCGTACAAAATTTACACGGTTTTTTCATCAACCTTCAACAATGTTACTGGTTTATTTTAATCCTCCTCAACATGTAGGGTCCTATTTACAAGATTCGCTGGTCACCATTCATCAGCGATATCTTCTTGAGCTGTAGCGCTGACTGGAGTCTCCGTCTCTGGATGCAAGATCGTCTTCAACCTGTTCTCAACTTCTTCTCATCAACGGTAAGTCTCTACTATACTTAGGCTTTACTAGTACAGTCAAACCTGTCTACAGCGACCGACCAAGGGAAACACAGAAAGTGGTCTTTGTAGACAGGTCCCTTTAGTACATGTTTCAATGAGAATCCATTCTCAAGGGAAACTAAAAATGTGCTTGTTGTAGACAGGTGGTCACTAAAGCAGGTTTGACTGTATTGTATAAGCTGTTCTATTTCTGTAAGAACGTAACTTCCACGAATTCACGATTTGATGTAAGGTCGCAAATTTAACTGCATGTGGAAACAAGCTGCAAATACATGTGCGAATATATATTGCGATGAGCTTGCATTAATTGCAAAAGATATCTGCTTCCCTGCAGTGTGTGTGAAAATGTTAGCTAATATGCATTACTTTATGATTTGACTTTGAGTAGTGTTAGTGCTTCAAACAAAATTCTTGTGCGCTATGTTCAAAGCTGCTGTAATTTTATCTCTTTATTTAATTTTGTTTGTTTGTTGTATAATCTTGGGAATAATTTTAGGGAGTTCATTTTTGTTATAAACCCCTCTTGTATTGAGCCCTACGTACCCTTGTTTATTTTTCATGATGTATGAAACTGCTGTACAGCATGTACATGATTACAATAATTCCTGTAATACTTATATTAAAAGAAACTGTATGAATACTGATTGTTCTTCAAAATCATGTATTTAGTTTCATTATCAAGGTCAATATTCAGAAATGGAATTGATCATTCCAGATATTATGATAATTATACACTTCTTACTCCATATATTAACCGTGTAAATTCATTTTCACCCTTTGATCTTCACAATCATGTTCACCCATTACGATTTCATATCTAATTCATTTTGAGCAAAAGAAATCTTTGATGATTTCTCAACTATCATTCCATACTGAAAATTCACTCTGTACCACTTGCAATTATGTCATCTCACTTGTTATTCATGCCATTTATACTTATCCATTTTATTTGTGTACTGCTTCACAAACTTGCACTTTTTGGCACGTTTTAATCCAATCTAAGGATGATGGGCCGGTAAAGTATTTCCCTCTGATTTGTGTAGTAGTTATATTAGTTAAAACTTGTTAGAGATAGAACTAGTGTCCTAGACCAAATACCTAGAGGTGTTAGGTAGAATTATAGATCAAATAGTCAAGTAATAATTGTTGAACCTCCATCTTTCTAACAGTTGAATTTGAATATCACAAGTTCTTATAATTTTGGCTATAACATTTATTAAGAGGAAAAATTAGATGTTTTTTTTAAATTACAAAGAGTCTATATGTGGAGTAGAAAAATGTATGATTTTTATAGATAAATTCAAACTTCAGAATTGAAAACTAAAGACTCGCTTCAATCCTCACATTAGAATTTTTTACATGAAAACAGTCTGTGTTGACATTATGAACAAATCTTCAATCGTGCCTGTATTTGTAGATAAGGATCCATATAGATACTTTTATTGTTCCATGTTTGTGATACTGTACATTTTTGTAAACTTGGTGGTGAGGTAACAATTTACGTAAGTTCAAACTAACAACTAACAACCCCTTTCTGGAAAATGCATGAACTTATTCTGGTGTGATATTGTGGTATAATTAGCATTCAACTTCTTCTACACTGTTACTCCATGTGGCACGAGAAGAAGTTGGGTATATTTTCATCTACTAGTATGTTAGTTATTCAAGTTGGTGCATTACATGTTTGTGTTTTGTCTGTTTGTAAAATACAGGAGCCAGCTAGTACACCTTTAATATTTGACAAATTTCTCTTCTTTTGTATCATGTGTAATACAGAGTATTGTATCTAGATCTTTTCTAAACTGTTTCCTTTAGGCCTTATTTATAACTAGAATAGTCGAATTCTACATGTACTATGAAAATATCAAATTGCTAGTATTAAACACAATGATGATGGGTTTTATTTTCATCTAATATCAGTTTTGAAATGGGTTTGACTCTTATTCTGGGGCATACGTAGACATTGAACAGGTGTCTTTATTCTATATATTTCTCATTTCTCCACCCCTAAGAGAAATTTGCAAAGTAAGATGACTTAAAAAAGCAATTCTTTATTGACAACTTCTTTCTGTTTCTCTCTATTTGTCTGTAGGGCATGAAAACAGTAAAAGAAAAGTTACCAAAAAATACCCCTTTTGTTATAAGCGTCAATCTAGCCCAAATACAGAAAAGTTTGTTTTCCAAAAGTCAACTTCTGATAAGTTGATGCAAAGAAACTTGAATGCGATTGTTGTTGCATCCAATATTAAAGTTTTGTGAAGTATATGGCAAATATATTGATTTCATTTTAGTAATGATATAGGTACAAAAAGTTCAGTTTTTAGAAATCAAATTAGAAAAAATCATTTGTAGAAGTTAGCTTTTCCATTCCTGTGTACAGTAATTACCCTTTGAAAAGATGGGGAGAGTTAAGCATCCATTATTTTCAAATCTGAAAGTGAATCTTTTCAGTAAACCTCCTGATTACCGGTATATAGTTGAAAGAGTGACAGTTCCATGACCTAAAATTTGAGTTAAGAATTTCAAAGCACATTTAATTATCCTTGGAAATGACAGTGCATTGAATTCATTTTCTGTGTCCTTGTTATGTTTTTAATAGAAAGCCGTCATGGACGTGTGTTGGTCACCTACGTCACCGACTGTCTTTGGATGTGTCAATGAGGGCGCTGTTGAGATCTGGGATTTGAGTGTGAACACGTAAGTTCATTGTGTGGTTTGTTTACAAGTCTCAATCAGGCAGGCCTAGCATGTGATCGCTTTGTAGAAGCCAACAGGTAAACTAAATTAGAGTACAGAAGCTGTGACGTCATAACAATCTATTTTTAGAATTTTTTCGAAACTCAGTGTTTCGAACCAGAGCAAAGTAACACTGGGCTCCTATATAGGAAATCTATTAATTCAGACAGTCATGTCACAACCAATACTTTACATATTCAATTGGTTTTTCGTCATTTGGACATTATTTTCTATGCTCTTTCGGAAAATGAAGGTCAAATTGAGGAATTTCCAAAATAGTGTTTTGATGACGTAAAACCTCACCACTCTTTAATATCTTCTTTTGGAGCCAGAAGGGCATTGAGTCATATACTTTCACACAGAGTTAACACCCTTTCTGGCTCTGAACAGACAATATGTTACTTCATCATACTGTTAAACACCAGAATATAAATAATGATTATTATACATGTTTCTGTTTCGGTTGCGTCGGTGTACTTAGGCAGGCCTGATAAAAACCCGATTTAAATCGGTTTCCCGATTGTTTTGATTTTTCCCGATTTTTTTCCGATTTTTTCTTCCCGATTTAAAAAAAAAAAAAAAAAAAAAAAAAATCCAGATTTTTTTTTTTTTTTTTTTTTTTTTTACCAATTTTTTTTTCTTCCCTATTTTATCCTGATTTTCCAGATTTCCCTCTTATTTTCTCTATTCTTCCCTATTTTGCCCTATTTTTCCCCCAATTTTCTTATTCGAAAGGGGGGAAATGTTGTTAGATGCCATTTTTTCCCCGCGAATCCTCTTTTTTTTTTTACTCAAGGGGGGGCGTGGTTGAGGGGAAAACAAAAAACCTATTTTTTTTTTAGTGCTCACTATCACCCCTGTTAGGGTTAACTGTAGTTTACTCTTCAGTTGGTAGATACTAATATGACTGAAGTCTGCACTGGGCTTGAACCCGACTCTCTTGTTACAAATATCCAATACAGAACAGTAAGAAAACAACCATCTCTCAGATAGGAGGATATATTTTTTTTTTTAACTCGTCTTCATCTTGCATTCCTCTTTGAGGGCAGGATTTAGATGTTAAGTAGCAGGACACTTGCACATCCCAACATTTTGAGGAGAGGCTAGAAATTTATAGTGAAATTTCTTTTTTCTATCAGCATCGTGGCACGGGAATGTAGACAAGCAATTATTAAAACTTCACCTGTTTGAAGCTATAGACATTTCTATTCTTTAAACTCGATACAAAAGATTACAACAATTTTACAGTTCAAACGTTAATATACATATACATTTCATTTGTTAATGGTCATCGTAATCAAACGGTTATTTACTCATTTGTATGTAATGATACCATAGTTACAATAGCAGCTTGTTTCTTCCATATCTTCTAGGTTGGACCCTATCATTGTGAGTGTCCCTGCCCCTGGTGTGAAGCTGTCTTGTCTCACCTTTGCCCACAACTCTGATGTGAGTATGGTATTTACGATGATTCTGCCTTTGCGGGTAAATTTGAAAGGCGATAGATGCTCGTCCTGTTTGAGATCAAGCAAATTCCCATGCCTTTCTGGAGAACTGTCTTTATTTTGACAAATCCTCAGCAAAATGTCATTGGCAAATTAAATAAAATCCCAGTTGATTTCTTCGCCTCGACATTTTGAGAACAGATGTCAAATTGATTGCAATTGAATACGTGCAGATAGACATTCAGTCCTGATGCTTATTTTAATTATACTTTTTTTGGTTTAAAGGGAGTGTAGACTGACGAGACTACCCGTCTTTCCCGTGGCCTGACTCAGGGCCAATCAGGTATAATACGACTACAGAGACGCGACTGCAGTATTCAAGGGCGTGCAATATACGCGAAACCGAAGTGTGAGGATCGAGAACTTTGGTCTGTTTTGCAAACGCTGACAATGTAGAGATTAAGTCTCTGAGTACCGTTAATCAAGTCCATTCGTTTACATGCAGTTGTCCAAAGGAAGACATAGATGGCGTTAACCAGTATTTGCCAAGCTACACTCCCTTTAAAGTAATGACTTCCTCCTGTTCTCATTCCCCTCCCATCCTCTAGTGTATTCTTGTTGGTGACAGCGAGGGCCAGGTATCTGTCTATCAGCTCAGATGTATGCCTCCAGTTGGAGATGATCAGGTAAGAATTAGTGGACAGCAATTCTTTCTGATATGATGAAGGATAAATCTTGCCTGTTGGTTTAGGTTTTCTTATACAGTCAAACCTGTCTATAGCAACCGGCCAACGGAAACAAAAGTGTCTTTGTAGACCGGTTCCTTTAGTACCTGTTTCAATGAGAAGCCATTTTCAAGGGAAACAATAAATGTGGTCTTTGTATACAGGTTGTCACTAAAGCAGGTTCAACTGTATACTATAGCCTAAGATGGCATTTAGAGCCGTCTTCTCTTAAGTTAAAGTTGAAAATATGAAGCAAAATGAACCGTTAATACCCATGTTTAGTTTTGGGTTTCTTTTAAGACCTTGATCCTCTCTCTCGCCTTCATAGATAACTTGATGATGAATTCAAATACTTAATAGTCTTGTTGAACTGAAGATTACAGGATTTATCAGTTCTTATAATAATGATGAATTTAGAATCTTAGTTTTTATTTGGAATGGGATTAAGAAGAGAGTAATCTAAGGTTTTCAATTGTATTAAAGTGCTGAGAAGCATCCAAAAACCAAAGATTGTTCTTGGTGATGGAGTGCTGCTCCATCTAAAAGAGTAATTTGACTAATCCAACTGGCAGGATATATATTATATTATATAGCCAACAGTAACCAAGGTTGTAATGGAGTACTACTGTTAAATCCTAATACATGTATTACACTCATGCCTCTGGGCAATGAAAATATAAATTTCCAGCAATTATCCCCTTTGTGTTATTGTTTTAACTCGTTATACTGCTACATTTTGACACACATTTCATAAGTTTCATTTCTGCATGTTCTCCTTAGCTTCCTGTCAACAATTTCTTTTCTCTTCTTTTTTCTTTCCAACATTGTGTTTCCAGTCTGAGAAACTGAAGCAGCTTCTAGAGCAGACCATTGCAGGGCAGTTAAGAACCTAGCTGATCCCGTCTGTGTGTGGGTACATCTCCCATCATCACTCCATCCGTCCAGTCTTTTCGCCGAGCCACGAGTTAGATATAGCAGATTCATTGCTGGTTTTCTGTGCAGGGTTTAGTTCCTGAATTTGAACACCACATACACGAGATAGGGTAATATTTTATTGGTTTTGCTGATGTTGGAATCAACTTTAGTTTTATTTTGTGTGTAGAGATCAAAGTGATCCATTTTCAAAATGTGGTTATATTATACAGTTAACTCTGCATAACTCAAAGTTGCATAAGTCGAATTTCCCCTCACTGGAATCACTTTTTTTTTTTTTAAACTATGCAAAACATGTGATATTTACACTTTCTAAGTCAGAATTGACCATATGGACAGATCCTATAGTTGGGGATGTGAGGGATATTTGGTTCAGATTCTTCTAAAAGCACCAAACTTGGCCTAAATGTCAATCATACCGTACTACAGTGAAACCTGTCTATAAAGACCACCCAGGGGAGACAAGAAAAGTGGTCTTCATAGGCAGGTGGTCTTTATTTACAGGTTCCTTAAGCACATGTTTTAGTCAGAAACCATTTTCAAGGGAAACAAAAAATGTGGTCTTTGTAGACAGGTGATCGCTAAAGCAGTTTTTAGTGCATTTTAACTTTTTACGGAGGCCATGCATGGCGCCCCCTTCGGCCGCCATTTTAGCAGCTATTACAGTGTACAGTCAAACTTGTCTACAGGGACCGCCCAAGAGAATAACAAAAAATGTGCTTGTTGTAGACAGGTGGTTACTAAAGCAGGTTTGACTGTACTAGCTATTTTGTCCCATGGGTTTCTGACCACATCTAAGATTGTGGTACCCGTATTTGTGATGATTTTTCTATGTATTTCACCCTACTGGAGCCTCTTTCAAACCAACTATGAAGTGAAATGATGCAGTCAATGTCATTTATGTTCTTTCATGACACTTTACAATCAGACAAAAATGAGAAAGTTACGATTTTGTGAAAATTGTAATAACTATAAATGTGGGCTCTTCAAATTGGCTGAATTTGTAATGTGGTAAAGTGGCGGACAACTTTCCCACTTGTTCCAACACAAAATGACAAAACTTTCAATTATTCATAACTGTATGGCTCAGGAGGGTCTACCCTCCTTAGAGAACCTATAACAACATGCTACCCATAAAATATTTTGACTAGTGCCCCAAGGGAGAAAAAAACAGAAATTAATGATATTTTTGTACACAACAAACGGGAGAGTTATCCCCAACTACATGTACATCACAATTCACTGACAAAACTGCCACTTTGAGATTTGCTTAGAATAGTGATGTCATATTTCAAATAATCATAACTTTCTGAATATATTGGTCCGATTTATTTCAAAATGTTGTCATTCTATTTCTAATTTTTCTGCCTTCATACAAATTACTATTTTTACGAAGGTTGGATTGCCCTTCAAAATAAACAGAAATAGTCGGAGCCAAAATGATACTCTGTGAATCGAAGTCCAACATTCAAGCAACATTCCATTGTATATTTGTAAAATATCAAATTCCAGGTATGGACTGAAATGGAATTGATTATCATTCCATGCATAATCTGTATATATAATTTTTGAACTATTTTCTTGTTGTATTTTCTCCTGTGAAATATTGATCCCAAATATATATTTGCTTATTGCTCATTTACATTTTATCAGATGTATTTATTGTAATAAATTTATTTGTAAGACAAATTACAGTATTTTGTTTATTTTTTATTAGCAATCGTCTCGTCTTGTGGACGCATTTGCTCTTTCTTTCAGTAATGAATGGGGGAGTCATGTAGAAAAGGGTGGGGTTAGGAGAACAAGAAAAGATTTTAGGCCCCCCCCCCCTCCCTTTTCTGCAACCTCCCCCTAAATGATGGCCTTGTTTTTGGCATTCCCCCCCCCCTATTTCTATTTCATCACCGACTACTTTACATTTCTTTACAATTCATCAATTTATCCTACACAAACAGACTCTTTTCTTTCTGCCTTGCTCTCTCGCGGTCACCCTTTCTCTCTCTCTCTCGCAATGTAATGGGCAATTTTCTCTTTAAATTCCCATGTGTTTCACACTTCACTTATTCTGCAACTTTAAAAACAAAGCCATTTTATAATATGCTCATATTTCAATAAATTCTTTTTTATTATTCAACATCACACAAACTCACACATGGTTGTGTTACTAAGAATCCACTTCTCATTGAAGATGGCATTTTCAATTCTTCAAGCCCACAATACATGCTGACCCTTCAGGTATAAGCATTTATCATAGGAAAAGGAGGGCTGACAGAGAGAATACAAAATCTCTTGAAGAATGGACAAGGACACATTTCTTGAATTACTTTTTTTGTGAAGAAGGATTGAGGAGGTAGGCAAACCTTTCAGTTTGCAAAATTTGGTCTATCTAGATCACTGGTAAAACACTTTATGGTCGGTACATTCTAAATGTATGTGGACAAGTTTGGTTCTTGGTCTTCATAAACATACACCAAATATCTTGACTGAAAACGAAATTTCTGTCATCGAAGACAGCAAGATCATTGGGTTTCAAACTCTATGATTTAGAGTTACGGACACATTCCTACATGTTTCATCACATGGGTCATATTGAAGGTAACAGTCTTCACAAGAGTGCAGTGACCTATTTCACACAACCTGGTAAATAATTTGAATATGTACAAAAAGCTGATTTCATCAACATCATCCACTACTGGTCAAAGCACACCCAGGTGTTCCATGAGCATCTGACGTCGATGATGACGATGATAACGATGACTGGCCACATCAATGATGTCCACCACCTTCCGAGTGCTGTATAGGAGAAACAAATAGAACAAAAATGTTGTCAACAAGAGATGATAAATGACCACAAAGTTTATCAAGTAGACAGATATTTTATTACAGACGAACTGGTTCTCTATTCACCAATCACAAAAAGTACGCCCACTTTGGTACCATAGAAGTTTCATATTCATAACAAATCAAGACACCTGCAAGAAAATAGGGTCATAGATATTTAAACAAATTTGGTACATCAAAGTAAAAAAAAATACTTATTAGAAAAGACTGACTTTCTTTTCTAAAATTCTAACCATCCAATTTTCATCTTCATGTTAAGTTTATAAAACAAAATCAAAAGCATGATGTTCATGCACACATATTGACTAAAGCTGATAAATCAATGATTACACCAATAATGTTGACAAGTTGAAATCTATGTTTTGCTACCCTGACTTGATTACCAAAAAAGTGTCATTTCCAGTTTAAAAAACCTTGAATACATCAAACAAAACTCTTGTCTTGCTACTTTAATAATAGGAATGCTCAGTCCATTGTAGCTGATTGAGGCCAACTTTCCCTTTCTAAACTTCCAGCCATTTCATCTTCATCTTCATGTTCAGTTCATAGACACAAAAGCATGTTGTAGATTGATCAGACAACTCTGAGAAATCACAGGCCATACATCTTTGACAAGATGAAATAATTGTTGTGCAACTAGGCCTGAGTCGAAACGGGTCCCTCCCCGGGCCCCGACCATCGAGCTGAAACCCGGTTTTTGGTTTTCGGGTTTCGGGTTTTTCAAAATTAAATTTTACACTGATATTTTGAAATATTGAACTAAAAATATGCAATTCTCAAACTTACATTTCAATATAATCAAATAAATATGCTTTAGAAATAAGTGGATATTGTTTCAGTTGATGGTAGGTGTTTTTATCGCTCTAAAATTGAGGCTGCAAGAAAAGAATCACGCTTCGAGGTACCGATCGAGTGCGTTCAGAAACGGAAGTGGAAACAGATCTATGACCCACTGAAGACAGAGCAAGAAAGTGCCACACACAAGACTGATCAGACTATTGCAATTAAATCGTAATACTAAAGGCATTAATGTAATTGTCAAAATATATCCACAACATAATGGTTTACCCTTGATAGTTTGATGAAGGAAAATAAATTAAAGCTCTTGAAATAACATTGAAGTGCCTTTCGTTCGTTCTAAAAATGCGTGTATAAAATTAACGGCAAGCAAAAGTTTTGAGTCAAGCTTGATATGCATGTTTACATCCCTACACCGTCATCCGACCAGATCGGAACAATAAGCATTTACAGTTAAAAAACATCACGTAAGACTTGAAGGGACTCCAATTCATCAAAATGATCGTAAAATAATTATTTGCTTTGACAAATAATACTATAGATATTCATAATATCTTACAGAAATAATGATATTTCATGAGCTATGTACTCGATATCGAGTTCAGCTAGCCATCATTTTGAAATGAGACGTAATTGTCATGCAGAAAATGCGGCAGCTTGCAAAGAGGAAAAAATCACGTAATAGGCACGTGAATATCGCGTGATCTCAGGCCCGCGCTTTTTCCTCTCTCTGCTGCATTACCACCCTCTACAGTCTACTGCATGACAACTACGTCTCATTTCAAAATGATGGCTAGCTGAACTCAATATCGAGTACGTAGCTCATGAAATATCATTATTTCTGTAAGATAATATGAATATCTATAGTATTATTTGTCAAAGCAAATAATTATTTTACGGTAATTTTGTTAAATTGGAGTCCCTTAAAGTCTTACGTGATGTTTTTTAATTGGTTTAATGCTTAATGTTCCGATCAGCTCGGATGGCGGTGTAGGGATATATGTAAACAAAACTTGACTCGTAACTTCAGCTTGCCGTTTATACACGCATTTTTAGAACGAACGGAAGGCACTTCGATGTTATTTCAAGGGCTTTAAATTATTTTCCTTCATCAAATTATCAAGGGTCGTAAACCATTATTTTGTGGACATATTTTGACAATTAAATTAATGCATATTAGTATTACGATTTAATTGTAATAGTCTGATCAACATTTTAGTCTTGTGTGTGGGGCTTTCTTAACTTGCTCAGTCTTCAGTGGGTCACATTTCCACTTCCGTTTCTGAACGCACTAGGTACCGAAGCGTAATTCCTTTCTTGCAGCCCCAATTTTGAGCGATAAAAACACATAACGTCAACTGAAACGATATCCATTTATTTTTTAAAGCATCTTAATTTAATTCAATGGATTATTTTATTGTTTTGAAAGCAGTAACTGTCTTTTCCGTCGCATTATTACAACAGCAACTTAGTCTAACTCCCGCCGTTGCATGCACACAATTTTTAGTGTCAGTGCACTGAGTGCAGTGGTGAAAATTTCGGGTACCCGATCCCCGCCCGAAATTTTCAAGTCAAACCCGGGTTCGGCAAAACCCGTGATGACTCAAGCCTATGTGCAACCCCGTCAGGGATTGTGGTTACACGATGCAGAAATGGCTATACTTTGATTCAAATATTTGAATAAATTTACAAGTAGACGAGGCGTTCTTACCAAAGGGTTTTCAGGAAACTCGGCACGCTTTGCTGTGACAAGAAATCCAGGTGTTGGCTAGAAAAAAAATAGGAACAAAAGGCACAAAAGCAATTATCCACCATACATGCTTGTTAGCTCAATGTATTGTCTCCTTTCATCTAAATACTACAAAGTTACATGAAAGTTTTGCAATGGTAAAGCCGCTTCTATTTAAATACAGCCAAACCTGCTTTAGTGACCACCTGTCTACAAAGACCACATTTTTTGTTTCCAATGAAAATAGTTTCTCATTGAAACATGTACTAAAGGAAGTTGGCTACCAAGACTACCTGTCTACAAAGATCACTTTTTGTGTTTCCCTTGGGCGGTCGCTATAGACAGGTTTGACTGTATTACCAATTGCACAATAATACATAAGTCCACATTCTGCATACTCCAAGTAGTTGAAACAAGTGTACCTTGTACATATTGCCTAAGCCTATTCAGTGTATTCACAACTTTTTTGTTAATGCATACATGCTGCTGTACTGAAAAATTAGCAGTACTGGTAAACAAGAAGAAAAAAATTATTTGCAGGGATATCAGTTGATTAACCCAGTGAGCCTGTAAAGCGACTCCAAAATGTTGGGAATCCAATATGTGCTGTATAATATCATATGAAGCCTAACAAAGCCTGAAACAGGAAGGTGACAGGACCTAAATGTCTGACATTTTATGGCAAACTAACAATCCATGAATCCAAGCAGGCAATAGGCATTTTCCCTGCTCTCTGGCTCCTCCCACCGGCATCCCCCCACAGGCCCATACCACCACCCCCTTCCTATAAAACCCTCCTCATCCACCTGACTTGCCAACAAATTTGATCAAATCCAAACGACTTTCGAGAGCCTACATGTAGTACCTCAGTCACACCATCAAACCATCTCCAGACCAACAACCAGCCAACATTCATTGGGGGCGTTTCACAGAACTTGTCATCAGTGACAAATGACAGTTTTTGTTATAAGCTACTGAAATCCCTGCTTCTGATTGGTAATCAGCAGATTTGTCACTGATTTTTGTCATTTGTCATTGAAAAAAGGCTTTGTGAAACGGGTCCCTGTTGTCGGGCTAATGTTGGTTTCATTAGTGAGGCTGGGGGTGTTTAAGAGATAGTCCAAATAAACAAAGTTTATACTCACTGCTATATGGTACTTGACTACATAATGGGTGAGCCACATGGGAAGAACAAACCATTTGAAGTAGAAGCCACCTTTCCAGAGGAGGGGTCGTATCCTATTGCCCTGTAGATGCAGAACAGAGATTAAAATGTTAACATAAAAATGGATACAAAAGTACACTAGCGCCCCCGTCCCAATTCCTCCAAGTAGGGGCGCTGTAGGGGCGCTGGTCCGAGGATGAGGATCATCCGCATAAACGAGGATATCCTTGTAAACGCGGACAATTTGCATCATAAAAAATAATGATCATCCTGGTTTTGCAGCGTTTTTTTCATCGGCGCTGTGCAGGTTTCACGTTCCCGAACCACGTGCTGGCGATGCGAAAAACAGATTCCACGTAATTAATTAACTCCAGTTCAAAGTCTACTTTTAAGGATGTCCGTCTTCCCAAGGAATTATCGCTTGTATTTGTAACGTGAACGTCTCTGTACAAAGTCAAAGTAAAATGCATCCAAAAATCATCTCGGAATCCGATTTTTGCATGGCCATCGACATTGTGCGGATCGGAAATCAGAAATGTCTGCAAAAAATGTGAACAAAACTCATTTATGCGGACCATGCTTATTCTTGTACACGTGCCCCTAGAGGTACTGATTATGAATCGATGATGAGCATTACGGTCGCTAACTTCACGCAAGCGCACAGGCCAGGCCGCACGAGTTGCGCCCTAAACCCACCGTCGGTATGCACTTGTAATTGTGCAGCAGTTTGCCTTGAAACCTGTGACTGTGTGAGAAAGTGTAGATAGACCAATGTCTTCCTTTTTTACTTTCACAATTTCAGGGAATATCCTCCAAAAAACTTGAAAAAGATGGACTAGTCTAGGTCTAAATTAAGATTAAGAAAATTGACACGAAACAGGTGAGAAAGATAACGACTTTTTAAAATCATGACCGTTATTTGAACACTTGTCAAAAGATTTATATGATTTTTGGTGTCTCATAGTAAGGTATCTCCGGGCGAGAGTTACGGGTCCAAAGTATGGTCACAGTCACAGTCAGTCACAAGCACCAGAATTTCATGTTGAAAACTCACGGTCAATTTGTCGATGGGGTTCAGCATCCGCTGGAACGGCTCTCTGAGCCGCTCAAGGAACGGATTCTTCGGTCTCCATTCCGGTCTTGGTTCATTTGGGTGAAGCTCTTGATCCCTCAACCAATTTCTCCTACGCTGCCTTTCTTCTCCTACCCATTTTTCTAGCACATAATCACCCTTTGCCCACTCAGGAAGAGTAGGTTTAGAACCTGCAGGAGGCCGTTTATCTGGACGAGACAGCGATCTGATGGGATTCGCCATCTTTCCTTCACCAAACTGTGTTACTTTAATAAATATATCACCACGAGATGGCGCTGTTCAAAAGCGACCGCGCGCAAGGACAAGATGCACGACTTGGTTCCATTTTCAATAACTGCATGTTTTGATAAAAGCAGAAAAATGAAACAAACTCAGTCTTTTGAACATTAGAATACACGAGGCTGTGTGGTGACCAAGCAACGGAGCTCTTTTTGTCATAAGCTTGACTTTATATGAATAAAAATATACTTTCATTGAAAAAAGATAGCCATTAATTGATCATCGTGACCCTTCATTATTTTTGCGAATATGTAGTGGGGGGGGGGGGGGGGGGGCAAATAATAGATCCTTCCAAGTTTATTAAGTCGGGTGATCGACATCCAAATATAATTTGAGTCCGGTATAGGAGTTGTTATATCAGGCCTAACAAAAATATGTTGTATTGCCCTCTAGCTCTAGGTGCCAAAACATGGGTCGATCGGTCGGAAATACCTCCACATTAATTATACCTTTCTTTTCCTGGTGAGCTACAGCACGTCTGAAATAGCAACGCATTTGCTGGTAGGGAAAGGCGGCGCTGGCGGGGGGGGGGGGGGGGGCACATACAGTGCCCCCATTTTTTAAGTACTCCCAAAAGTGCCCCTTTTCCCTTTTAATAACATCCCTTTTTAAGTCCATATTATATAAGCACACTTTTTACTTTCACATGTGCTCCTTTTCCTATAAGTGCTCCTTCTTCATTATCATCAGTACCCATGTTCATATCTGGTCAGTGCCCCTTTTCAGTTTCGATAAAAGCCCCTTTTCATTGATAATTTTCCTTTTAATTAACAATTAATGAGAAGTGCCCCTTTTCCTTTCTAATAAGGAACCTATCTTCTTTTCATAAATGCCTCTTTTCACCTCTTATAAATGCCCTTATCAAAATCTGACAGGTGCACTATTTCCGTCTACAAATGCCCATCTACCATTCTTATAAGTGCCTTTTTTCACCCCGGCCTGGTGAGTGCCTTTTCCCATGTATAAATAGTGCCCCATTTTCACCTCTGATGATTACCTTTTTCTTTTTTAACAAGTGTCTTATCCCTAATTTCGATGTGTCCCCTTTTCCTCTCATCATTAATTGTGCCCCTAATTTAAAGCGGTTTAAGAGCAGTCCCCCCCCCCAAAAAAAAAGCTCACTCGCTACACTCAATCGTAATTATAGATGGTCCAGTTGTCCACATTGCTGGCCTTAACCTCATTTTTGCTCGATGCCAAAAAGCAACAAAATTTCAGGCGTTAAGCATGTTTAGATCAGCGGTAGAGCATTTGCCTCGTGACCCCGAGGTCCAAGGTTCGATATTAACCCTTTTAAAAATTCTTATAAAGCTCTAATTGCACAGATTGCAAAAACTTTATAAAGCATTGAAGCGTAACGTTAGAGCAAATCAATATCAGGAATTCGGGGTGCTCCTGTGGGCAACATGCCGAGATACCCCTTAACCCTTGCTTGCTGCTAAAAGCCAACAAATTTAAATGTTGCTCGTGTCAAGATAGGATGAAAAGGAAGAAGAAGAGAGGGAATGGAAAGAGAAAAAGTATTTAGAGGAAGATGAATATAGAGAAGAAAATGAAGAGGAGAACACAGAACTTAAAGAAAGATGAGGAAAAAGGAACAGGAAGGGAAGGAAAGTCAATGAAGAAAAAATGAAGAAAATAAAAGAGTGAAAGTAACAGTTGTGAGGGATCAAAGCAACTGAGTGTTAGTATTTTGTTTTCTTACATTTCCAACCCTCACAAAACTTTATTCCTATTCCATTTTACTTTAGGTTTTGGGGGCTAAAATAAGAATTGGGGGTCGGGGGTCGGGGGGTCGGGGGTCGGGGGGTCGGGGGTCGGGGGGTCGGCCATAAGTCTAAACCATGAGGGGGGGAAAAATCACACACAAAAAAAAGGAAAGAAAGAATACAAAACAGAAGAAAAGAAGAAAATACAATTTAGAACAAAAAAATCTAGAGCAAATGAACTGCATCAATCAAGACATAAACAAAAGGATGAACTTAACTCACAAAAATTAGTTTTAGAAGTAGTTTATTCCATCATCCTGCAATGATGTGGTGAGAGGCAAAAGGGCTTTAACCCTTTAATATTACTATACAGTATACGCCCTTTTGGTTCTCAGCACACAATATATATAATTCAACAGGAACGCAATTATTTTCGAAAAAATCAGCTCGAGGGCAAATTCAATACCATATTGTACATGTACATCCCATAGGAATCATGTTTGGATTACAAAGTGTATCATTTTCATATTTGCAGGTTTCAACAGGTGACACACAAGGATATTGAAAACGCCTTGGGTTGATTTTTGTCGAAAGTAGTTGGGATCATGTTAGACTCTCTTAATGTGAAAGACTGGACGGTTACTAGACATTTCAATATGTACAGATATTCATAAAATACTACTGCACTGTTCTACTTGAAAGTTCTTTACTGATATTGGACTTTGATCTGCAATTTTAGTTTATTTTTTAAGAAAAGTAGATGGGAAAGAGAATAAGAAAGAGACGAGTATGGTAAATGGAAGGGGAGATAGAGAGGGACACAGTGAAAGGGAGAGGGAGGGGAGGAGACAGAGAGAGAGAGAGAGAGAGGGGGGGGGGGGGGGGGGGAGAGAGAGAGAGAGAGAGAGAGAGAGAGAGAGAGAGAGAGAGAGAGAGAGAGAGGAATTAGAGATAGATAGAGAAAACACAATAACACACAGACATTTTCAGAAGTGAAACTTTTTTTTCCTTCATTTCAGGACAGGAGAATTCTATGTCAGCTCATTCGTATATCTCAGATATGGGAATAAATAGAATTTTATATGGTGAGGGAAAGAAACTGAAAAAAACATTTCTACTGACCACTTGAAGTGTGAAAAATATATACAATAGCCACTTTACATGTACACCTAGTCTTAGTACAAATTTAAAAATAAAGTACTTGAATTTTGAATTTCGAAGATATTTAAGCATTTTTTTTTTCTCCACTGCTATTATGGTCCCCTTTGAAGAATGAACCGTAATTTTAGTAAAAAGGACTATACATTCAAACAACAAATTTGCATCTACCAAAAGGTCTACAATACAAAATAGATTTATTTCAGGTTACATACAGAAAATTACAAGTGATACAAGTTCACCAATCAAGCTAATATCCTAAAAACATAAAATTGAAATATTGAAATAGAATATACATTTGTCTAGTGGAGAGGGTCCACATTATATTGGGTAAAATGGGTTGCCAACAAAATATTTTGCAACCTGATATTTTCTTTTCCTCAGTACTACCATATTTTTGATCGTCCAATTTAGGGGCTGACGGAATTGTGTCGTTGCGAACATTGGAGAAAATACTGAAGAGTTTCAAACATCATTTAGTGGATTCTCCTTTCTTCAAAAATTTGTGAAAAAATAATGGGTTTATGGCAATACATCAAGAGTTCTTATATTGAGCTACAACTGAGCTATGTGTACATACCATTGCTCTTGCTTGTTTTCAAATTCATTATAAAATATTAGTAACCATGCCACACTAAAGGATCATCACTTTTGAGTCTTGATAATCGGTAAATGACTATGGACTGAATGTAATACAAAAAAGGTACTACCCTATCATTTAGTAACTCACACAACAGTCATTTACAAGTACAATGATTAAATTACATGCATATATTAAAGCTTCAAGAAGGAAAACCTTATATTTCATAATTATATACATTTGTATAGAAAGTATAATTATTTCTCAGAGTCACTTTAAAAATATATTACATCAAAATAAAGCAGCCATATTTATCTCATAAGATACATTCCTTACATGCAAATGAAACAAATATCAGTTAGGAGAAAATAAGAAAAAGAAACAAATAATGATAACCAAAAAAGCTAATACTCAACCTGACATTTAGCTGATAAGAAGGCAGTACTATTTTACACAGAGAATTAATATCATTGATAGCAGCCTGAACATCTATATTCAGGAGAGTCAAAAATATGTGAACATGTACGTTCGGCTTGTTATCATGAATTCCTTGAAAAACACATGTACTGCATTTCTTTATCACATTTCATATAAATATTCTACCATCAAATAAAAAATGTAACAGCCAAATGCAATATAATTTGTCATTTGCATTGATTAACAGGCTACACATTCATGCCCTAGATTCTAAACACAATTACACCCTGTTTCCTGAGTTGTTAACTTCAAGCTATTCTTCTTAAAGCCACACAGTCCCCTGTTTCCACGTGTATTCACCAACACCAAACGTGGTTGAATTTATACCGACATGACCGATTAATGTACGTATACAGGTCTCCTGGGGAGCTGAACTGTGACCCACCGAGAAAGCATTTCACCTTGCCTTCGAATCTCGACGGTGAAGGAAAGTTACAATGATTAGATTTCTTATAGGGAGGGCGCAGAACAATCCTTGAGACCAGTCGATCGTAAATACTGACGACTTTTGAGTGATTGATATGTAAAAAACTATTAATGGGTTAACACCCGAATGGTGTTAAATACCCCATGAGAACAGTGACTATGGGTCTTTAAATCCTTTGGCTAAAACCAGTGTCACCCATTCTACACTGGGGATGATTTAAAAAAAACCTCTCATAATAATAATTGTAGGAAAGTGAAAAATTATCAAAGAGCCAAATAAAATGTAAAAGGGGGACTGAAAAACCAACTTTCAGTGTTAAATATACAACATGTTCTTTCCATTCAACAGCAATATGATATCAATCATTTTCTAAAACATAATCACCCATTCTTTCAAAACAGAGGAAATTACAAAATGTACTGTATTGCCAGAAGAGCAGTGTATTAATGTGATTTAAAACCTTTCCATTTATCTCTAGAAATAAATTACCATATTTCTTGGGAAATGCACTTTGTGAAGTGTTCGTAAAATAGACTATGGTCTTAGACATTACATCATTAGTGAATAATAAAGTGATAAGGGTCATCAATGACGCATCATTACTCAAGCAGAACCCTGTAATAAAACTTGAGGGAATTTTCAATATATTTAAGGGACCTCTGGTTTAGGTGTAGTGTTGGCTCTAGGAATAAAGATTCTCTTTGTATACAACATTACCACAGAGAAATTGCCAAAGCAGCATACGTCATACAACTGGTCATTAGGGTACTTTCGCAAACACGACGGAAGGCAAAGACAACATTAACGCGCGCGAAAAACAATCTGCGCATACGCGAACCAGAATTTTCTCCTTCTTGTTCATTTTCACGACCGTACGCAGCCATGATAGCGTTCGTTCCCTAAACACGACGGAAGAGCTGTATCGCCGTAATTCTCCCATCGACTTTGCTTCCGTCATCTTTGCGAAAGCACTCTATTCCCTTAGGAGTACTGTTTGCCATGATGTTTAAGAGCAGAAATCACCAATCTTCATCATCACTCATCGTCTATGATGAGTCCTCGATCCTCGGCGGCTTCATTGCCCTGTTCAGCGTTCCTCTGGTTCTTGGCCCTCTCCGCTTCGACCTGTCTCGCTACGAAGACGTATCGGGCCTCCTTCAGGCAGCTGCGACAACGCGCCGTACGCGGGTGGTGATACCCAAACACCTGTGAAAGAGAGAGAGAGAGCATGAGTATTTATGGGTCTGAGGCCTGTTTCATAAAACTTGTCATCTATAACAACTGCTAAATTTTTATGACGAAATTGCTCTCAGCCAATCAGATGCCATGATTTCAGGAGCTTATAACTCTAACTTGTAACTCGTTATGGATATCAAGTTTTATGAAAAAGGGCCCAGAGAGTCACCTATCTTCACTACAATGATTTTCGGCAGCAGTGGATGACACACTTGATACACTCTATAATGAATCACCTAAATATGTTTTTTATTCGATCCCTGTATGGAAACAAATCTATTCCGTCATAGGCACAAAGAAAATGAAAGTTTATTAAATTTTCTGTACAGAGCAATTTTGAGAGGAGCTTGCAAGATACCTCACAGTGGTGCTGATTGTATTTGATTGACAGCAACTTCAAAAAAAAATCATAACTTTCTTATTTGATGGGAATTTGCTAAAAAGTTTCAAGGACCGGTTCCTCTCATTATTCTGCTTCTATTAAAGGCATCGTTTTACAATGTTAAATCTGAGATGCATGGTCCTATGTGTTATCAGTGTCTGTGACATGGTGTAATATGAAGCCCTAAAAAATTGCACTTCAAAATGATCATGAAATGCCTCAAAAAAGTAAAAATCTTTGAGTAACCGGTTTTACCATACTCATTTTCCCATAAAGACTGCAGTGTTATGAAAACCGTTAGGAAAACGCAAAATTTGATTTGCATTTCAATCATATATATCTTGATAATCAGACAGGCGATCGGCTTGAAGGTTCCTGACTGGTTGCTAATAGAGCCAACTGTTGTAATGAATGGGATATTTGATGATTTGAAGGTGAAGTCTGTAAATAACATGACCTGCCCTACCTCTTCGCAGACATCCTGCCACTTGATGAACCAGTGATAAGCTTCCTTGTAGTCCCGTCTATCTTCATACATGATGCCTATGTTGAGGTAGAGTCGACTCGTCAGGACGCAGAACTCACCGTACGCCTGAAGACACAGGTCCAAGGCTTCCATGTAGAGCTGAAGACAGACAAGACAGATTTAAGTTACCGCACAATGTTCAGGAAATTTGCGACTGCATGGTTACCAATTTAAGGATCTAAAGCTTATTTTTCACTTTTAAAACTCCTGGGGGGCATTTCACAAAACTTTTCATCAGTGACAAATGACAGTTTTTTGTTATAAGCTACTGAAATCCTTGCTTCTGATTGGTTATCAGCAGATTTGTCACTGATTTTTGTCATTTGTCATTGAAAAAAGGCTTTGTGAAACTGGCCCCTGGTATCTAACACAATGTGGAAATGCAGCAGAAACGGATATGTTGAATGCTTGTCTTGATAAACATTCATTCAAAGGAAATACAGGTTTAAAGCCCCACTGCACTACCTATAGCTACTTGCGCCCTCTATACAACAAACAATGCATAATCGGTGACCATTGGTCCCGCATGATCCTCTTTTTCTTATGTTAATTGAGAGCTGAGTTGATGAAAAAACCACCTGTCCAGTGACCTTGCAGGGTGGTCTAATCCCTCCTGTACACTAGTACAGATGGGCTTTAAAACTGCAAAGGAATTTACTATGCTCCTTACAAAAAGGGCAATACATTCTTCATAATGCAAATACACATAGATTGTAGCTATCCTGCAAATGGGACCTCCTTTCTTTTAACATCCTATCCATAGGACTGTACTCACATCCACTTGTCCTTGACAGCCTCTCTCCTCCAGGACTCCTTTGGTCATCGTCGCATCGGCAAGATGACCGTCGGAACCAAGCTGAAAACAAAAATGAAAAGTCATTGTTCAAGTTAATCCTCACTTGTAATACTAGGACTACTCACAGAGAGTGAGAGAGAGAGAGAGAGAGAGAGAGAGAAATTAGCGAAAGAGAGTGTGTACGTTTAATTCTTAACTTGATGCGGACTGAAAATTTAGCCTACTCAATTGTTTATAAGGATTGCATTTTCATTTATTCATTAAATTTCAACATTAGTAAAACAAATGAAATACCACCGACCAGTGCCTGGGGATAGCCAGAAAGGAAACTTACTTCCTGTCATAGGGGTTGTCTTCGCAAGCCAATGGTTCCATATACAGATATATTTTATGATAATTATAATAATAAAACTTGCTTTACCCCGGGAAGTGTCATCAAATCAATGTTGTTCTTCCTGCAATTATTAGCCCAATAATTAACACGGCCCGTCGCATAAAGCTTACCATTGATGGTAACTTTGCCATCAATGGCAACTACCATGGTAACAGGGCTCAACAGCCAATCAAAATCAAGGTTTCCATGGTAGTTACCATTGATGACAAAGTTACCATCAATGGTAAGTTTTGTGCAACAGGTACACCTGGGTGAAGGGTGGCAAATGTGGATGACTGTCTTGCCAAAGGACACTGGTACCTGGACAGAATTTGAACCCTCGACCCTTGAATTGAGAGCCAAGTACATAGCCACTAGGCTACAACATCTCCTTTTACATACAAGTACAGTCAAATATGTCTAAAGCAACCGCCCAAGGGAAAAACAAAAAGTGGTCTTTGTAGACAGGGTTCTTTAGTACATGTTTCAATGAGAAACCCTTTCAAGGGAAACAAAAAATGTGGTCTTTTTATACAGGTGGTCCTTGTAGACAGGTGAGGTGGTCACTAAAGCAGGTTTGACTGTACAAGTTTTTGTACTCTTTTTTTTCTCTCACCTTCTTGAAGATGTCCATTGCCTTCTCGATGTTGACCTTGGCCTCTGCGAGAGCTTCTGCTTCGCTCAGGGTGTTGTCCCCACCACACTCCATCCAGGCTTGGAGGTTGAAAGCCAGCTGGATCAGTGTACGGCCATGCTTGTACTACGCGACCAGAGGACAAAGATAAGGGCGTTGAATAACATTTCTACCAAATTGGCAACACAGGCATCTTTTTATATTTTTTTTGACTGCAATACATTTCAAGGAAAAGTCATAATTTTTTTCCTAACAAGAGTTATAGATTTTAAAACTGTATAATACTATTCCAAAAAATGAAACACATTCTTTGGAACTGCAATACTATTTCAAACAAAAAACACTTTATTTTAGCTGCACCACTATTCAAAAGAAAAGTCAGATTTTTGAACTGCAATACTGAACTCCAAAGAAAATGAATGTACTCAAAGTGAAAATACATTAACAAAATAATAAGGAATACTGCCAATCAAATGTGAAAACATTGCTAATGTGAACTGTATTTTCTTTTCTACTATCTATTTGTGTCAAATGATGATTGGTAAAATTAGAAATTCAAAAACAGAACTTCAAAAAAATTTGCTTTTCCTGGCATTTTTCATGTTTGATGAAACTAATGCACATTACAACCAACGTGGATGATAGCTTTGTTGGTCAGAGTTAACAAATGTCTCAAGTAAAATATTCAAGTACCTTTAAATGTCAAAAACTGTCAAACTGTTAATCAATTCAAAAGTAGTCTTAAGACACATTTATTCCTATTTAATTTGGACAATTAACTAACTCTGTTCACTTTGATGTGTATTCCATATCTATTGTAATTTGTAGGTTTATTTGCACTTTTTTGTTATTTTAAAATGTAATTGTTTATCAGTCTATTTTGTTTGTTGTTATAGTGCTTAGAGACTTCGGTGGTAAGCGCTTTATTAGTAATGTGTTTATTATTATTATTATTATTATTACCTTGTGAACCTCTCCTTCCAGTGTCTCCCTGATAGCGATAGACTTGCGAGCAAAGTTGATCGCCGGTCTGAGCTCCTTCAGCTGAATAGGATCAACATACTCGTACAGCTTCAGTTTCTGCAAGTTTATCAAGTGGGGAAAAGGCATTAGTGTTGAGTTATAGTTTCAATTTCAATTCAGTCAATTAAGTGTCATGTATCATATAAAAGGTACAGCATTAAAAGGTACAAATTGTACAAATAAATGAAAAGTCACAAAGGAAAGGAAGGAAACTAAAAAAACATTTTTGATGTGTTTTGAATGGTACAGCTGCCCTACAAAGAAAAAAGGTTAACCAAAGTGTATCACTGGCCCGACATGCTTCTGTTGATGGGTACAGGCCATTTTATTGCTTTTTTTCTGGAACCCCCCCCCCCCCTCTCCTACCTCCTCTCTCTCTTTCTATCTCTCCATGTCTGCATCTCTCTCTCTCTCTCTCTCTCTCTCTCTCTCTCTCTCTCTCTCTTTCATGCTCTTTTTCTCCTTTAAAATATTGTTTTCCCTATTTTTGTTGTTGCAACACAATAAGGGTGAAAGTGGGGAGCATGTACCCCTGTACTGTAGCTATGGCACCAATTATCATATTTCTAAGACAAGGCGTAACAGTAGTCCTGCACGATGAATCCATCCAAACACCAATGACAACCACACTTCCAGTTAGTTCCTACCTCATCATAGACTATACACGCCAGATGGTATAGCTCCACCATACGCTCAGGTCTGGCTCCCAGCTCGGACAGCTCTATCTCCATGGCCTTCTCAAGCAGAGCATAGGCTTCCATGTGCTTGCCCGACTGGTTGCTGTGATGACAAGGTATAACGAAAGAAAATCAGTATCATTTGCCTTAGCAAAATGGCAATGCTATGACCTTTAAAGGGCCCATGACTTCGAAATAAAAGTGCATTCCTGTTGGTGTGCAGTCCTGCATACATCTCATATTTTGATATGCAAACTTCTGAATTTGTTTCATAGATTTTTAAATATTTTTTGAAATATTTGTTTTTCAAACTTGCTAAGCTCCACCCCAAAAACCTCCAGATCTCATTTCCATTGTGACATCATCTGTCAGTCATCAATGAGCTAACTTGAGAAAGTGGTATGTATCTTTGCCGAAGTCGACCACCTGTTACAATACGTAATACAATAGCAACATACAAGTTGCTATGTCAGACATGCTGTAGCATCACCAGGAAGACAAAGGCAATGATGATGTATTGTACATATGTATGGAAGCATACAATTCTATTATAAACGTGTGCTAAGCTGGGGGAAATTACATACCATTGTCTATTCTAGAATATTAGTTTAATCTGACATGTCTGACATAGCAACTTATATGTTGCTATTGTTTGTAGTATTGTATAGGTGGTCAACTTTGGCAAAGTTACACATAGGGGAATTGCAATTGATTTGGATCAATCGTAACTCGTTACAAGACGAGGCCCTGCTCATGAACATGGTCGTGCCGACTGGTTAACAGTGGTCACTTACATGACTCTGGAAACTTGCTCATATCTCCTGGCAATATCCTCCTTGGATTCATGCTCATCGGCAAACTTCTGCATCGATTCCTTGTACGTCGCTAGTATCTTGTCCTGCCAGTCTGCGCCAAAACCCTACAAGACGAGACAGAGTACAAATGATGCATGCATTCATTTCACATTCTTTTAGAGCTCCATTTCACAAAACTTATCATCAGTGACAAATGACAGTTTTTGTTATAAGCTACTGAAATCCTTGCTTCTGATTGGTTATTATCAGCAGATTTGTCACTGATTTTTGTCATTTGTTATTGAAAGAAGGCTTTGTGAATCACCCCCCTGAACTCGGGTTGAGGATGTGTGCATCTATCGAATGAAGCTGTCAGGCCGACAGCGGATAGATTGTTTAATGAACAAATGAAAGCATGCATCCTTTGTTTTATACAACAAAACTCCTAGATCCTTGTTGCTTGATAAAACAGGGGGTCATTTCTAGCTTGTTCCATGTCATTATCAACGTCAAATAATAGCTGCATCAAGATTAATCACACTACTGTCTGCATATATATTTTAATAATGATAATTATAATAAAAATAATACTAATAAAATCTTGTTTATAGCGCATAGGCCTCCTACAGCAGTCAGAATACAAGTCTACTGAGAAAATATCCTACCTCTCTCCAGTATTTCAGCAGTACCGTGCTGTAGTCCTCATTGTAGAGACTGTCAAAGACCGACCAGTCCGTCAAGAACTTCTGCAGTCTGTCCAGGTCTCTGATGGCCAGCAGATGGATGGGCAGTTCCTACGGTCAGAACAAGAATGAATGGTCTTCTTGAAAGTAGAAGTAAGTAACATGCATCATAATGATGAGTACCACATGTGCATTAAGCATGTACATGTAATATAATAATAATAATATTCCGCTTTTATATAGTGCTTAATACATCTATGATGTCTCTTAGCGCTTTACAGATATACTATTACCCCGGTCATTGGATTAAATACTTGCCAGCACACACTGTGTGTGTGCACAATCTCCACTCAAAAACAATCTCAGCTCAAAAACTGTTTGACCAACAATGACGGTCGCATCCTACCTGGTACCCATTCAACACCTGATGGAGAGTAGCAATATCTTGCCATAGGAGATTAGTGCCGTGTTGGGATTCAAACTCTCTACCTTTGCATCTCCAGTCAAGTGCCTTAAACAACTCGACCACGACACTCCTACTTGGAACTCGGGGTAAATATAAAATCATAAATATCACAAAAAGACACATAAATCAACAGAAAACGAACGTAAGAGCACATAAGAGTGGTAGCTTGTTAGGCGCACCTCCCCTACCAGATTCTAGAGCTTTGTCAATAGCTTACCTCCACCTTCCTATCCACAGACTTGACGTCTGTGAAGAAGTCCGCAAGTCTCTTGTGCCACCATGATCTGTCACACACTCGATTGGCTGTTGTGTTGTCAAAGTACCTTAAAGGTAATGCAAAGTTTTGTAAAATTTTGAAAATTGAATGGACAGTAGTTCTTTAAAATGTTGATATATTTGATGCCCCTGTGGAGGTATCATAAGCACTAGAAAATTAAGTCCCTAATTTTCCTTGAAAATGGTTTCTCATTGAAACATGTACTAAACAATCCTGTCTATAAAGACCACCTGTCTACAAAGACCACATTGTTTGTTTCCCTTGAAAATGGTTTCTCATTGAAACATATACTAAACGATCCTGTCTACAAAGACCACATTTTTGTTTCTCTTGGAAATGGTTGCTCATTGAAACATGTACTAAACAATCCTGTCTATAAAGACCACCTGTCTACAAAGACCACATTGTTTGTTTCCCTTGAAAATGGTCTCTCATTGAAACTTGTACTAAACGATCCTGTCTACAAAGACCACATTTTTGTTTCTCTTGGAAATGGTTTCTCATTGAAACATGTACTAAACGGTCCTGTCTAAAAAGACCACATTTTTGTTTTCCTTGAAAATGGTTTCTCATTGAAACATGTACTAAAGGATCCTGTCTACAAAGACCACCTGTCTACAAGGACCACATTTGTTGTTTCCCTTGAAAACAGTTTCTCATTGAAACATGTACTAAAGGATCCTGTCTACAAAGGCCACCTGTCCACAAAGACCACATTTTCTGTTCCCTTTGAAATAGGTTTCTCATTGAAACATGTACTTAAGGATCCTGTTAACAAAGACCACCTGTCTACAAAGACCACATTTTTTGTTTCCCTTGAAAATGGTTTCTCATTGAAACATGTACTAAAGGAACCTGTCTACAAAGACCACCTGTCTACAAAGAACACATTTCTGCTTCCCTTGAAAATGGTTTCTCATTGGAACGTGTACTAAAGGATCCTGTCTACAAAGACCACTTTTTGTGTTTCCCTTGGCCGGTTGCTATAGACAGGTTTGACTGTAGTGGGAAACGAACAACATGCACTTACTTCTTCCTGACTGCTTTGCTGAGTGCTCTGTGGTAGAAGTCCAGCCTGCCTTCTCCGCTGTCTCCGAACGGCCTGATGAACGGCTTGAGGGCCCGGTACACCACGGCCCACTTCATCGCGGGAAGGGGAGAGGCATCCTTGTTACCCTTCTCTTTCTCTCCACGATCTGCACATTGAATTGAATTGAATTCAATTGAATTGACAAGGCTTATTGATGAAAATTCAAAGTCACAGCTAAAAGTTGACACATCTTTGAATTTACCAATAAAACAGGTAAAATATACATGCAAATAGTACAATGTAAAATGGGCAAATATGATATTAAGACATTCAGTACCGTCATTGAATTGATATGTTAAAAGGAATAAAATGAAGAAGAGAATGAAGAAAAATAAGGAGGAGAAAAAAAGGAGAAAAAAAGGCAAAAATAAAAGAAAGAAGGAAATATTGGCAACATACCTACTTTTGTGAAAAAGCAGATTTGACTTGCCATTACAATTTGCCGAGCTAGAGTTTGTCAAACCCTGTTCTTATTATTCGAGTACTCTTACCTTTGCTGTTGTCTTCGTCCTTGTCCGCAGGCATGAGGTTATCCTCGTCTCCCAGGACCAGGAGAAGCTCCGTCTCCAGGAGACCTGTAGCGGAGCACTCCAGGAGGCACAGGGTAGCCACCAGGAGCATGCCTCCATTCTCCTCCTCAAAGCGGGTGAACACCTGCTCCAGCAACCTGTAGAAAGAGTTACGATTAAAATTCAATTCTTTAGACTCATTAGTCGGTGTGTCTTATACACAGGTACAAAACAAATAAAAACAAAACAGTAATCGGTGTGTTGACTCACCACGCGGACACTAGAACAACACTACCTGTATGTCTGGATTTCTGTTTGGACTTAGAGGAAAATCTGTCTGTCATCTTTAGTTTTAAGAACGACATTGTTACTATTATTTGTGACAAATTCACAAGCACAAATCAGTGCCTTCAACAGCACCTAGCAGCTAAATGAAAGTCCTTCCTTGGGTGGGTTTTACAACACGGACCTGGCTAGCTGCCAACAGACATAGTCGGCAAAACAAAAAGAACAAAAAATCTATGCCCCCAAAATAGGGGTGCGTCTTATACACAGTGATTTACGGTAGGGGGTCTGAATTAAAAATGAATTATAGGAGGCTAAAACGGAGTAGTATAGTACAAGATTCTAGAGACTTAAGGGAAGATAGCACTAAATTTTTTCTTTTTTTTCACCTCAATTATGCCCCCCTTGGGTAAAAAAAAAAAAGGATTCGGGGGGGGGGGGGGAAACTGGCATCTACATTTAACAACATTCCCCCCTTTTGAGTAAGAAAATTGGAAAAGAATCAGGAAAAATCAGGAAAATATGAATAAACTCGGTGGGGGGGGGGGGGGGGGGGGGGGGGGGGGGAGGGGGGAATCTGGAGAAAAAAAATTGGGGGGAAAAAAATACATTAAAAATCTGGTAATTATCAGGACTGAGACTTACTCTAGGAGGCCATCGGCCAGACTGTTGATCTTGTCCGTCACCTTGGCAAACAGACCAAAGACTCGGAGCTCTTCGCACGCCACGGACAGCCAGAGAGGGTTCTGGGACGATTCCTTGGACAGGAGGCTGGCCATCTGATCCTCTCCTAACTTCTTGTTGTACTTGCCCAGCATCTCGGTTACAATTTGCTGTAATAAGGATGAGATTCAATTCAATTAAATTTCAATTTATTTTCCATCTTTAAAAAAAAGAGCGAATATAACATAGTATTGACACATTGTATTGAAATAATAATATAAACATAAACTTGGAGGGATACCCTTAACAAGCAGGTTGCTTGTAAGCAGGGCCCCAGTATACAATGTACAACTTTGTTAGAGAAAAAAATCTAAACATTTGAGAAAATTATAAAACAGCAAAATTATATATAAGTAAATAAGTAAGGAAATTGTGATCATAACAGCTACTATAATGAGATGAGAGATTACAGAATTAGATCGATGCCAAAAGCCCTTTTTCATAACAGCAAATATATAAATGTACATATTGAGGGGTCAGTGACACAAAGTCGTAACTCCATTTTGAGAAAAAGTGGTTTAGTGTCACTGAGCACTTGGGCCTTAAGGAGTCAAGTCTATGTTTCACTAGCCATTGACTTGGGGTGTTGGTTGGAGTTAAGTCTTTGTGTTTCCTGGAAAGTCCACATTTTTCTGAATATTTTGATGTCAAATACCAATTTTGGTCAAATATGGAGTTACGTCTTTGTGTCACTGAACCCTCGATATATTGTACCTCAATGCTGAGAAGGCACGCTTATCTTCATTATGAGACCTACAGCTTGAAGTGCTATCTGAGAGACTATGTAATTAAGGATCAATTCCAACCGCACTAACTGTGGATTTTTTATTTAAACCCAGGATCTCACAGTTACAAGGCTACACTGCTTTACTTCTAAGGCATCATTAAAAATAATTACCAACACAAATTTTGTACATCAGAAATATTAGATGTAAACTTCTGTTGTGTATACTATTTGTATTAAAGGGTATTATATAGGTCATTCGTAGTATGGTCCATTCATCCAATAATGTGTCGCTTTTATTCACAGCAGAATAAATTAGAAAAAGAAAGAATTAGAGTTTGAGGGAAATAAGAAAAGAAAAGAAAACATGGACAAATTAAACATTTATTAATCTCTGTTTATTGTCATTTCAAACTCAATGACCCAAACTCACAAAGGAGGTTTGTCGACAAACCTAGGTGTATGTGTGTCATATGACGCATTTCTGACCTAGGTTTGTTGAACTTTGGTCTGAAACGCATCGAAACGTGTCATGTGACGAACAGAAAACTAGGTTTGTCGACAAACCTCCTTTGTGAATTGGGGCCTACCTGTCTGGCCGACATATCAAGGGGTGTGACGATGATCTCCTCAGGTTTGATGGCCCTCTCGTGGAGCTCCTTGTGAGGTGGTGTATCGTCGATCATAGCCAGGATGACCCGGACCTGAGGGGCTAGCTTCCTGGGGAGCCAGCTAAGGACAGACGTGGTTTTATCATCATCAAACTAGAATGACAGGAGAAAGAGAAGATGGAATATATAATTTATCAGGTGCTTTAAAGGGCAATCCAATCCTTGTAATAAGTTGATTTGTATGAAAGCAGACAAATTACAGAAACAGAATGGCAAAAGTTTGAAATGAATCGGACCAATAGTAAGGAAGTTATGAATGTTTGCAATATGAGATCACTAAGTCTATGCGAATCCCAAATTCGGAGTTCAGTCAGTGGATTGTGACGTAGGACGTGGATAACTCTCCCATCTGCCGTGTACAAAAATATTAGGCTTGAGTCGGTACGGTCGATCACACCGGGACCCGACCGTTGCCGTCAGGTCCCGGTTTCGTTTTTTGAGAACCGACGCTCCGAATAAAAAAATGAAATATGTAAGAAATTGCAGTTTTGCACACACAAATCAATCCACCTTAAAACTTAAGTATTTAATTATTACCAATCATATTCTAGCTCATCCTGAATAAATCCGAACTGCTGATATAAATATGGGTTGCAGAGCAGTTCGCCCCATGGGGTTGTTGTTGCCAGCTGCTAGCTAGCTACTGTACTGGCCGGGTCTCTCGGCAGGATTAATAAATCAGGTTGAAAGAAACATTAATGTTTGAATAATAAAATGGCTTTCTAAAAAGTACTTCTTTACAACATACCGATCAAATAATTTTAAAAAGACAAAATTGATATTTTTTCTTTGATTTTGAACACCGTATGCTTCTTTTAAAAGCTGAAAATTACTTGGTAATCACAAGAAGTTTCGATACAGATAGCTGTTGCAAGGCAAGTTCAGACTATAGTCTCGGAAAATGCGCAGTGCACCTCGTTAGCTGTAATGCGTTCCCAAACGAACCCAAACAAAGACGTGATCGTAACGAGAAAAAATCATTAAAAACTACGAGAGCACAATTGGAAAGACAACTACTCAAAATTATCGTAAGCAGATACATAATTTGGAGGAAGAATACAATAGTTGTTAAAGAAAAGCCACAGAAATAGTGATATTTAAGGAGTTACTAAAGGTACAATCATTATCGGAAGGGCCCTGCTGCGATTTCCGAATTACACGTGTTTAAATTGAACACGAGGCTAGCCGCCCTCTACGGTAGAAAGCAGTATAACAAAGGATTCGAGTATTTGCAGCAGGAAGGCCCCTTGCGATAAAAATGTACCCAGTTACTCCTCGATTATCACTATTTCTGTGGCTTTTCTTGGACAACTATTGTATTCTTCCTCCAAATTATGTATCTGCTTACGATCATTTTGAGTAGTTGTCTTTCCAATTGTGCTCTCGTAGTTTTTAATGATTTTTTTCTCGTTATGATCACGTCTTTGTTTGGGTTCGTTTGGGCACGCATTACAGCTAACGATGTGCACTGCGCATTTTTCCGAGACTAGTCTGAACTTGCCTTGCAACAGCTATCCGTATCGAAACTTCTTGTGATTACTAAGTAATTTTCAGCTTAAAAAAAAAAAACAAGAGATAAAATAAGAGATAAATGTTTTATTTTGTCTAAAAAAATTATTTGATCGGTATATTGTAAAGAAGAATGTTTTAAAAAGCCATTTTATTATTCTAACATTCATATTTTTTGACCCAATTTATTCAACCTGCATGAATCAAAATGGCGCCTCGAATGTTGTTTTCTATTTTTGCCCCAGCTTTTTTACTTTTAGAGGCACGATTATGGCACTAAACATCGCCAATCATGGATGAAAATAATGTCAAATGGAATAATATACCGATCTGAGCCGAGGTATGCATGTGTTGATTTATTTGATTGATAAAAAAGGTCACTTTTAAGGGACATACCGATGATACGCGCTATTTATACAGACAAGTGACAAATCCTGCGAGCTGATTTCGGGACACCCGATCGGTGCAAGGCCGTCGGGACCCGGTTTATGAAAATCCGACATGACTCAGGCCTAAAAAATATCATTAATTTCTGTTTTCTCATGAGTTCCTTCTCCCTTGGGGCACTACTCAAAATATATTATAGGTAGCATATTTTTATAGGTCCTCTTAAAAGAATAGACCTTCCTGAGCAATGAATTTTTGGCAAATTTAAAGTACAGTCTTTTTATATGTTGGAACAGATGGGAAAGAAGTCGGGCACTACATGTACATTACATTGACATTACCACTTCGGCCAATTTGAAGTGCCCATACGTACATGTATAGTGATTACTACTTTCAAAAATTCATAACTTTCTTATATTTAGTCAGATTTAATTGAAAGGTTCATCAGTTTGCTTCTCTGATTTTTCTGCTTTCTTTTAGAGTAGTTCTCTATTTGGGTTGGATTTCCCTTTAATATACATTATTCCCATTGAAACCATCTATTTGTAATTCTACTTTTTGCTCATTCTTTATTACTTTGTATCTAGAAAACCGATAGTATTACATCAGGAATTTTAGTCAGATCTTTTTCATATTTTATCACACACAAATCAAGGCCCGTTTCATTAACTTTTAATCAATAACAAGTTGCAATAACTGTAACCTACTTAAATGGGGGTATTTGATTGGCTAAGAGCTAATTTGTCATAGAAATTTAGCATTTGTTATTGTTATCAAGTTTTATGAAACAAGACCCAGATAGGATGCATAGGGGTCATATAGCCTTATTATTCTACCCCCAAACCTTGCATCTCCACATTCCTTAACACATGAAATTTTGATGCAAGGGTAAATCGATGCAATTTATTGGAAAACACACCTGAATGTACCTTTATAGGTCTCCCTGCTCATTTACAAAGTTGTCCGTGAACATACCTGATTAAGTGCATCAATGATGACGATGATAGGTTGTGTCTTCGGGTTTGACAACACTCCACAAGCCAGCTGACAGCAAGCCTCCAGATTCTTGGGCATGGTGGCTTCCTACAAATATCACGATACAATAAATAAACAGCTTGGAGTAATTTACCCAAATTAAACTATATCTTCTTGAATGTCGTAATGATAATTTCTACTTCACTTGTAATCCTTGGACTAGAATTAATAGTCAAACTATTTCTTCAATGGTGAAATTGGTATCAGTACTGGATTTCCTGGATATCTTACATCACAGGGTATCTTATACAGATTGACTTCTCATAGTATCACGTCAAATGCTGATTATATCAATAATACCTTGAAACCAAGAAGACATATACATCCCTGTGTCTTTATATTATATTCATATTTATTTCATTTCCAACAGAAAGGTAAACAAAGAAATTACATTTTTTTCATACATAATTCATTTTTTCAGGAAACTATACAAATAAACTTTGCACATAATGAAATAATTACAAGAAATTCTTAATTTCTGAGGAAATGGGGGGGGGGGGATCCATTAAAAAACAGTGCATGTAGTTTGTGGATCCCCCAGAAAAAAATAAAAATATATATGTTTCAAATTTTGCCTACGAAGACTTAGAAAACACAAGACAATATTACAAAACAACATACAATGTACAACCATGATAAAACGAACAAGGAGAAGTAAAACAGATAAGAAGGAAAATGGAAAAGGGGGAAGAAGGAAGAAAAAGCAGGACAAATCATGACCGAAAAAAGGTAATTATAATGTTAATTTTGGGAAGGTAAGATCATAAGACCAAAATGAAAAATTAAGATGATTACCAACTGTTGTCATATTATTCTCGTATATTACTATAAGATTTGAGCAAAAATGTTTTTATATTTTTCTTGAAAGAATTTAGGGATGGACTGTTTTTAATACCTTCACTTAGAGAATTCCAAAATTTAGGACCATTATACATAAAAGACTTCTTCGCTAATAAAGTTCTAAAGAGTGGTAGGTGAAACTTGTTTGACAGTCTAGTTGGGTAATCATGAAATGACCGATTTAGGGGGAACATGGCATCAAATATATGTGGAAGGGTCTTTTTTTAATACTTATACATAAATTGTCCTAAGTGAAGTAGATACAGGTCATTTGGTCTTTGGATACAAAGACTCACATATATTTCATAGCAACATGCAACATGATATTCAACAGCAACAAATTATTAGCTATCCTCCTATTAAAAATAATACTATATTTGGTTTCACTGAATATCCATTTGTCCGTAAAAAAGAAAAATCAGGTCATTATTTGCCGACTACTTGGCACTTTATTTGTATAGAGCTGTAAGAACACTTTCGAGGACATGGTATATTGACTTTGCTCTTTCACTTTCACTCCCTAATGTTATCCAGCATCGTAAAGGTCTATTGTCTCTTGCATTGCTAGGGAACCAGATGTAAGGCGAGGAACAAGTAAGGACATATGCATACACAAGCATTACAATTAAGAGAAGATAAGGGGGAAAAGGATAGAGAGAATAAGTGGGCAAGATATAAATAGAAGGAGAGGAAGAGATGAAGGAATAACAGGGAACTCTTTGCAGGCACACACCCTTAGAGAGTCTGAATTGAAAGACTACATGCTTACACTGTACCCCATAGGCCCTTTCCTGCACAGCCATAAAATAGCAACATTTCGCAAGGATCATAGCTGTATGGGCCCTTTCTTAATCAACATGTATTTCCCCAAACTTTATCAATAACTGTACAGAGCCTCTCATTCATACGGTACTCTGTTTAACTAGTACTTGATGATAGTCTGCTAAAAATAGATTTCTATCAATTGTAGTATTTGACAGCTGGCAACTGCTGGAAAAGTCCCTTTATATGATGTTGAACCGCCTAAAGCATTTTAAGGTTACTAAAGATGATGATTGGTACTGAAAAGAGACACACTTAAAATAGTGAAACCCTTTCCTGCAATTCATTCTACTTACATTGAAAGCTTTGAGCTCCTTGAGAAGTCGTTTGAGACACAGCTCCAGGGATGTGGATCCTGGGATAGCTCCAACAAAATGGTAGAAGACATGCCAACCAGTTTCCCCTCCACTAGTCAAAAGAAAAATCATACAACAGTCAATGTTACAGGTTTTTTTTTGCTGGGGATACTAAATAAAAAACATAATATACATAGCTACCAAATGTGACTGAATCAGAATTCTCTCCCCCCCCCCCCCCCAATTGAACAAAGATTCTATGGCAGTGTCTGTAAGGAACTCTCTACATCCAGCCCCATCTGCTCTCTGATACCCAAATTCAAAGTTCAAAGCGGTTGCCTCTCTTGCATTGTTCTCTTCATTGTTTGTCAAGAATGGGTTGCTTGAGTTGGACAACCAATTTTTGTTCTCTTTTTTTTTACAGACCTACTTAAAGTAGTACCTAAATCAGGCCTTATCTATACGAAAGGCCGATAGCATTGGGTGATAAGCCAGGTCATAGTTGTAGTCCGAGCATGAGAAGATAAAGGTCATTGCAGACCAACTTGTGAAATACACAGAGACAAAATACTGGATACGTGCTCATGAAAGTTATGTATTAATTCATTATTCATTTATGCACACAAGCATTGCACTCCATGATACACAGATGGAAGTGTTTTTTGAAAAAGGGAAACAAAGGCCATTTATGTAGCACCTCCATCACTGTAGGAGTGATTATTTCAAAAGGTACAAAGTGGGACCTCTACATGTTTTGAAGATCTGTGGATATTTTGGGTCACTTGGGACATGTGCTAACCGATACTCGGTCTATTGAAAACTACATGTGCATACATACCCTGGGATGCGTTTGTTTAAGGCCATGGTCTGTGCTACGTCTGCAGTACGAGCCATGATGGACGACTTGCCGCAGCCTGCCCCTCCGCTCATCACCAGGGCTCTGCTGTCTCCCACGCTCGTCACGTAGGCCTGGATCTGTTCCAGGATCTCGTTCCTACCCAGCACCGAGCCCCCGCGGCTCTTCAGGAATGACTGTACGGATGGAAATAATAATAATAATAATAATATTTAGCTTTTATATAGCACTTATCACAAATGTCTCTTAGCGCTTTACATTACCCCAGTCATTGGATTCAGTGCTTGCCCACACAAACTGTGTGCACAATCTCCACTCCCTGGGGAGCATTCCAGCCAGGCGTTACTTGACGCTCAAAAACTGTTTGATCAACAATGACGGTCGCATTCTACCGGGTACCCATTTCACACTTGGGTGGAGAGTAGCAAGCGCAGGTTAATATCTTGCCAAAGGATATTAGGATATCAGCCCTTAAGCCTCTAGGAAAATGCCAAATATAATTTAATTTCTTGAGAGATCAATTTCACCTCCGGTTTGATTTGCTGGGTACCTCAATGTCCAAATCACCAAGGCATCATGTACATATATAAAAGCACCAAACTTTATATAAACAATTTTTGGAAAATTTGTCTAAAGTCCAGCAAAAATTTCCTGAAATCAGCTTATGTATATAATGGAAAAAATCATTACATCCTAATTCTCACGTTTAAGAATACATGTGCCACTAACGTTTGTACCATCAAAGGCACCTGCGGGTAGACAAATATTTCCAAGATGTATGAGAATAAGATTCTGCAGCTTCACAATAGAAGACTTTGAAGACCATGATGACAATGTCAACTAGATCTAATCCAGATCGAAAAGCGAAAATGATGATGTGCCGGGACTGGGCGGCAGTGAGGCGGGGCGGGCTCCCGTTGATGTCTCACCAGCATGCGATAAATGACTAGCAAGCTCATTGTCGAGGAAGTTGTCGACCCATCTCCCAAAATTACCGCGCTAGAGTGACTGTCGCAACTGAACTGAATGAGGGCACAAGGATTGTGAAACCCGAGAATTGTTCACTTTTGATACTTACTTCATGAGCTTCTTTGGTTGATTGGTAGGGATCCAGATTGGTCTCAAGAAGAGGATACTGCTCTTCAATTCGTTTATGGTAAAAGTCATACACCTGAAAGATAGAAAAATCATAAATGTTGAAGGGAGTGTAGCTTGGCAAATACTGGTTAACGCCATCTACGTTTTCTTTTGGACAACTGCACGTAAATGAATGGACTTGATTAACGGTAGTCAGTGACTTAATCTCTACATGGTCAGCGTTCATGAAACAGACTGAAGTTCTCTTGGCGCTTTGGTTCATGTATGTTGCATGCACATGGTTCCTGCAGTTGTGCTGTCCATAGTCGTATATACCCGATTGGCCCCGAGTCAGGCCACGGGAAAGACACATAGTCTCATCAGGCTACATTCCCTTTAAGATTCTCCATTAATTCCCAACCAACAATAATGAGTGAAGGCTTTTATCAACATTTTAAATGTAAGACAGTGTCGCTGAAGTTCTTTATGATTCGCCAATGCTAGCGACCATGTGACCATATGGTTCCTATATAAATCTGAATGCTGGGGAAGGTTGCTCACCCTTTTTATAGGATTGGGTCCTTAGATTTGCCAGGTACTTTACCAGGAGTTATCAAAAAGTTCCAAACATTCACAAATAGTGGCAAAGGATTGGCAAATTGGTAGCGATGTATTTCTTAATTGCCTGCAGCGAAGTGCCATTGCAGTCCTTCAACTATTTGCTAGTCTTCGCAAACACTGTTGCTAACATTTGCTTAAAGTCGCTAATAGCAGAGGTACGTGTATATCCTGATTTTCGCCAACATACGTCAGAATAGTTGGCAAATCCAAACTTTGCAACGCTTGTAAGCATTTCTCGCTCAGTGACATACCCCCTTTAACAAATTGTTTTCTTCCAAAGCCACAAAGCATTTCACTTTCTCCTTTTAAAAAGATACTTTTTATCAAACCTGGAAATCTAATCAATCCTAGAGAAACATGAATGGTGGCAAAATAACAGCCAGGCAGCCTTTTTAGAAATATCTAGGTTCTAATCTAAAGCACAAACTCTCTCTTTGAGGCAGGCTGTATTAAAGAGTGGCCACTTTAGACAAGAAGCCTTTACGGGGAGATGGTAGCCATGGCAACTTTGACCGTATAAGGCCAGGCAACCTCATCATCGAACAAACCGAGTGACCAGTCTTTTTAAGCAGCCAGATGTAAATTGAATAAGTAATCAAAATGAAGGTGACCGCTATTAAAAGCAAGTTTAATTGTCCATTAACTTACAATCTTTGCGAAGTTCTCTTGGAGCCCGTTCAGTTCCACCTTTCCGTCGTCATCGACCCCGGCATATTCCACATCATACCAGTTTACACGTGATCCCTGAAACAGACAAAGATTTAACCATGGTGGTTAATAGGAACCTTATACATATTCGTGAACAGTTGTATTTTAATTATGCGCTTGAGCATGTTACTCCGAGGTGAAGATAATTTTGATTATAAACCAATAACTGTCATTGTCAAATGTATTTTAATATTTCTTTTGTTTTAATACTGTTGCTAATGTTGTTTGGAAAAGTGCAGGAAGATTTGACTACTCAATCTGGAGAACACTAGTATTGGACGTATGAGACAGTGATTCCCTGACCATTTAAAAACAAAATAGTCTGACCAAAAAGCTTTTTGTGAATCATGTACATGTAGAAAACCAGAGTACATTCTAAGCGCACCCTAAACTACATAAATAGAGGAGGGACCTGTACGTTGCATAAAACTTACCATTAATGGTAACATTGCTCAACAGCCAATCAAAATCAAGTATTCCATGTTAGTTACCATTGATGGCAAGGTTACCATCAATGATATTAGTTTTATGTAACAGGACCAAGGTGTTGAGGTTTGATTATTTATACTCACGAGTCTGTTCTTGAGCATTTGTTTAAGGACCTCCATCTTGTGAGGGGCAATGGGGTTAGGGTCAACAAACTCATCCCTGAATTCAGCTGGCAGTGTCTTCAAGAATTTGGTGTCTCTGATCATGAAGAGGGCTGAATGAAATAAAAAATAAAAAAATGGAATGAACATTCATCATAAATGTCATCGCTGTCGTCATCATAGCAACAGCAGCAGCAGTAGAAACAACAAATACATCACTATCCTCATCTTCAAAATCATTCTCATTACCACCACCATAATCATCATCCTCACCATCATCATCCTCACCATCATCATCATCACCATCATCATCATCATCATCATCATCATCATCACCATCATCATCATTATCATCATCATCACATCATTCTCATCCCTATAATAATAATTATCTTCTTCATCATCATTATCATCAGCATCACCATTCTTCAACTCTGTACCAGACACTACAAATATAACTCATCCTAAACCTGGCCTAAAACCAAACCCGAACCCTACAATGTATATCTTTTACAAATAAAAAAGGGGCAAATCAATGGCAACAGAGCAAATGTCACGTCATCTTTAAAATCAAAATTCAAATAATATTCTAAATCCTTACAATTAGGGTTGTCTATCCTGTATGCTCCGTGGAGGATCTCCATCTCTGTTACTGAGAGACCATGTACCCAGCGGTATTCCCTTGACAGTGCCTCCGGTACATCCTGAGCTGTGGGTATCCAGCCACAACGCTCGCTGTGAGAGGAGAAGCAGACTCTGTGTTAATCCTGGGCTAATCCTGTAACCGATTGGATCGGGGGCTGATCTTTGGCTGATCAGGTGAAATCGGATAATAAATTCCGATCGCCAATCAATGAAAATGATCGGGAAAAAATTGGCACATTTTTTTTTTTTTTTAATGCCGAAAATGTGCAATATTTGTGCGAGGGGGTCGCTCCGATCTTACGATCCGATCAAAGCACCAACTTACAGGGTTAGGAGAATTGCTTACTTTGCAAACACACATTTAAAGAGTTTAAACGTAAAGCTCCACTGCACTACTTATACTACTTGCGCCCTCTATATAGCGAATAATGCCTAATCAGTGCCTGTTGGTCCCCCATGATCCTCTTTTTCTTATGATAATTGAGAGCTGATTTGATGAGATAACCCCTATCAGTGACCTTGCAGGGAGGTCTAAGCCCCTGGCCAAACTAGTACAGACGGGCTTTAATCCTGGGGAAATTGTTTTCATTACAAACAAACATCTAAAAAGTTTAAACTTAAAGGGATTCACACTGACAAGTTCGTTAACTAACAGCAAAAATATAGTAGAAGAAAATAAAACTAAGACAACAGATTTGAATATTTCTAAGTGGAAGAGGACGATAACTGATTTACAATCTGCTATCAAGTAAATAAAGATATATAATTCGATTTGATCTCATTTAAACATGTGATTAAGTGCTTTGTTATGAATATATATGTACTACGATGTTATCCATGATTTTATCTGAATAAAGATTTATTTCAACAACAACAAAACAGCAAAAATATCAGAATAAAAGGATCAGTCCACGTTTGAGGAAGTATGATAAGAAATACAAAAGTAATTAAATACATGTACATATTGGCAACTCTGTACTTTACCGTGTGTTGTACCTCTCCCATTTTGCATGTAACCTGTAACTACAGAGAATTTGACATTCAGCCATATTACATGTACATCTATTGAGCTGTAAGCTGCTATATATTAATGTATATGCAGTGTTCACAGTGTTGCAGTAATTTACCTTGTAAGATTGAGGAAGAAGGGCATGATGTTATCCTGGTAGCATCTGTCTATCTCTCCAAGGCATGTCCTCAGTGTTTCCTCTGAAGTTGTGTCTTTTGGAACACCCTGTAGTTTAATACAAAGGAATAGAAATAGATGCATCAATGACTAATACAAAGTGTATTTGCACAAAATTACACAGACCATCAGAGAAACATTCTGATGTTGAATAAACGGAAGTATATGAAAACAAATGCTGGCCTAATGATCACACAGTACACCCACATTTACATGGATGATATTGATATCACTGTACTACTGTCAATTCTGTGGTTGTCCATGCATAATTCTAAAGAGAAATGTTATGTGTGCATGTGTAGATACATAGAACATGTTTCTCGTGTCTCCTGGTATAAACTTGTATTGATCACAGGTACTGGTTTATCATATACAGGTTGTACATGTATATGTATAATAATTTATCAACTTTGTTTCACAGATTGTCATGCATTGAAATATATTGTTAATGACTGAAGAATAAAAACTTTACAGGGTTAATGAAAAATATTGGAATCTACTCCTTCCGGCTGAGAAAGCAAAAGCAAAAGCAAAAAAAAAAGTACCCTTGCGTGTGTTAAATTTACACAAACAATGTGCATTAGTACTGATACCAGAACCTGGTATTGCTAATTTTAAATGGCTCTTATTTTCGCAGCACACCCTTGACCCCCCCCCCCCTCAAGGATAAAATTAAAATAATTACCCCCTTCTAATTTCTGAGACAGACCCATTTAACATTGAGTGCTTTTGCATCACTTGGTCCAATATAAAAACCTTAATCATGACATTTAGCATCCAAGCCCAAGGACCAATCAATACTGTCATGCCTGTTACCCCATTATTGTTGATGCTGTTGCCATGACGCACATTTCATACCTTTGTGAGTGCAATGCACAGTACCTGTACGTAAATGAATACCGGTAGCTCTATTCTCAACCTTGTATTGTGCTAACAATATGTGTACATGTACATGTAAGAGCGAATGGCTGCACAGAGCTTTTGAAGGTACATGTGTATATACAAATTTATTGTACACGTATGTGTGTTGATGGTTTCTTTCATTTAGAGGTACATCTGTCACAAAACTCACAATTATGGCAGATCATAAAAAAACTAAATCATTAACACTTCACACATGTACATCATATACACTTTAGGTATTAGATAATATCAGATCTCACTGTATGATCTGTATCCCCATTACATGTATGTGTATACAGTAAACAACTACTCATACCCCTTGTAATTTATTTTATTTTATTTATTTATTTATTTATTTATTTATTTTATTTTTTTTGGGGGGGGGGGGTAGTTTTTCGTAACCCAAGAATGAAAGTAGACTGATCGAATAAGGTGGCTTTGAAAACTTTAAGATGTAAGCTTTAATATGTCACATTCTCAAGAAACGTAATATGGGATTGATCAATTTCTCACATTCACTTAAACATTACAAGACTTGGTAAGGGTTTGAATGATTTAGTAATTAACCATATAAAGTAATTTAAATTACCACACCCCCCTCCAATAACTTAAATTTTTTTTTTTTTAAAAGGAAAAGAAGCACATGCAGTGTTCTTAGAACACAAAATAAAGATGAATGGTCCAAATATTTTTATTTGAAAATACTAAAATGTTTAATATTAGCACCAAAGTTTGCGACAGTTCTGCAGAAACAATTGACCATGGAAAAGTTGAAAACGGTATGCCAACAGGATATCATGTACAATGTACCCTGTAGGGCCTGTACTCAATTAAATGTTCACCATCATAATGTTTTTACAGGTGATGTTTGAGTCCTTACACTCGATTACACCTTGTTAACAAGATTTGGAATTTCACTACCGGTAATACATTAAAAAAAAGCATTTGTGAGAGACTCATGACAAGCATTCATCTCACTGAAATATAATGCAGGGATGCCAGTTAGAATTGATAAGAGGGCCTGAAAATCACCTAAAATGAGCTAGTTTTTACACATAAAAAGCCTAAATTCAGGCTATTGCCTGAAAACTGGCATCCCTGATAATGTCCTCTATAAATGGGTGAATTTCTGTTTGGTCTACAAGTACAACCAGTTCATTGATCTACCTCTTTGCTTTTGTTACTTACAGGTATGAGATTATGAGTCATTTTTTATCTTTGTAAAAGTCTCCTTTTTCATTTAGCACTTTGCCAAATTCAAAGATTACAAACCATCCAAAATTCAGCAGCACGGCTAATTACACTACTAAGAAACATGATTCAATATTCCCTGTCTTAAGAAATTTACATTGGTTAATACCACTTACCAGTCCAGTCTCGCATCCAATTTATTAAAATATTGTTATTAGCTTATGAATGTTTTGATGAATTACTGTAGCTCCCTCTTATTTACACTGTAAATGAATTACTCACTGTATATAAACCAGTCAGATATTTTTCGATTATGTAAAAAAAAATCTATTTTTTCATTCCTCCTATTGTGACAGACACATGGAATAGCCTCCCAAACTCACTTAGAAACATTGACACAATAGATAAGTTAAGTCCACCACGAAAACATATTTATTCAATTGTTGTAAACAAGTAAAAGACACTCAGTACTCTATTTTTCTCTTTGCTTTTCTTTCTAAGTGCATACCGGTAGTACTTATTCATGTATAATGGTGCAATGTAAAAATGGATCATTATTATTCCCATATGGTCTACACACCCAGCTCGTCTACTATCCACATGGTCTAATAATAATTTTTGTCTATTTATCATATAGTGTAATGACCATTTGGTCTAATGACCATTTAGTATAATGGTCATTTGGTCTAATCTTCAATACATGTACAACATGTAAGTCGACTAACCATTTGGTCTTTTGCTCATTTAGTCTAATTTTCAGTCAGTCTAAATCCCTGTTTATCTAATGCCCATTCTGTCTACCATCCAACAAGGTCTATTAAAAATTTGATGATTATTTTCACGATTAAATGATTATTAGATTACTACAGGTAGTAGATGAACCGGTTGTAGACCAAACGACAATAAACCCATAGAAGGAGGCATTTAAGTAACACAGTCCTTAACATTTTAACCCCAATAATCCTGTCTTTGTAAGAGATCACCAGACTTACCCATCTTAAATCACAGTCCACCAGATGAATTCTCCTCTTTTCACACCAAGTTCTCAAGTCAGGAAAAACCTGGTAATGGAAAAGTTTAAAAATGAAACCACATAATATAATAATAATATTTGGTTCTTGTAATAATAATCTATATTATTAATACGCAAAATCGCCGCGGGGGGTCCAAAACGGGGCAAAACGGTTCCTCAAAAACGCCTTTCCCCGACCCCGCTCGCCTCCGCCGTGGCGCGGGAACGGTGGCACAATTCCACGAGGCCTGTCTCCCGTAACCCGCGTGCCACCTCGACCCCGCGATCGACGTCCATGCCGTTAAACGCGGTTTCGGGGTGCCGGGGAGGACGGGCGGACGAGAGCACGGCGGGCGTCGTGGATTGCGAGGAGGCGACGAACCCGCGAGAGCGAGTTGGCAAGGCGTGCACCCGCCCTCTGTCTAATTATCAAAGAGAGACGAAGAGACACACGATAGACGAGAATCCACTCGCGTCAACGGGTGTAGCAAGTCTCATTGTAAAGGCTGCGGCGTATCTTGAGTAAGGCCTCTTGCTATAGGATTTGCTTTGTAGCGTGTAAGAGAAATACACATCAACAGATGACTCACGCGGGTGAGGGGGTGTAAGAAATGCACGCTCTCACGGGTTGGGCTTACCCGTGTTATGCGTCTTTCTATAGGATATGCTTTGTAGGCCAGGCGCCCATAGTATACGTGTATTTCACGCTCACCGTCACACACGTACACACACTCGATTCGAGTCGTGGCGATTGCGACAATTGGCGCAAACCATGGACCTATTTTCGCGTAAAATCTTTACTCTGAAAATAATTATACAAATTCTGTGATCTATGCCAACATATTCATAGTCCAAGCTTCTGTTTTATTGGTCTTTTCATGAAAACTACCTCGAAATAACAACAATAATAACGCAAATAGATCTGTGATAGTACGCCTAACTAATCTGCGATTTATGCACACACACAGAGCAAACAGGATTTCAAATGCCTTCCAGCCCCCAACTCAGGCGGTTCATCACGGCGCTCAAGCCATCGTTTTACGCTGCGCCGCAGTTACTGCACTACACTGTATAGATTTGATTTCCGTATGTTTGATTTCGTTTAGCGTTGGTTATTTGAAACTTTTGAACTCCGAAAGACTGTAAATATGTTAAATAGACTCTTAATGTTGGATTTCTTTTCTACTGACCTGTTAATGAAAGCATGAGGGATAAACAAAAAAAATAAGGACTGCTCTGTAATTGGATGGTGGTGGAAATTATCACTCCCTCGATTTCGTTCAAATACTGGCCCTTCTATCACCCCCTCGGCTTTGCTTCGGGTGATAGAAGGACCGGTATGAACTCCACCTTGGAAATGATAATTTCATCCTCATGAGCAGTCAATATTTGTATATTTTCACTGAGACCTCTGGGACCTCTCTGAAGTTCTTTGTATCATCCATGCAAAATATCATTTTGTTGATAATTTTGTTTAATAGAACATTTAGTTTTAATAATGTATGTTAAGCCAAGTTAAACAATTATTGTTACTCATGTTTTGATTTGGGACAAGTTCTAATTAGAGATGAGTGAAAATATGAAAAATGAGAATGGGAGGATTGAGAACAGTATTCGTAAGAAACTGGACGGGAAATGGATAATGAGAATAAGGATATATATGGGAATGAATGAAAAACAATAATCATAAATAATGAAAGGGAAAACGAAAGTTAAAGCGTAAAATAGTTTGCATCAGTTTGTTTACAAATTACTTATTTAATTTTTTCTTTCAATCTTCAAGTTTTATTATATGTTACAAATAAAAAAAAACATTTCAAAATGATATATGAAACAGCAAACAAAAGGTTAATATTCTATCGAATTAAATATTAATAACAAGAGTAGAAAAAGAATAAAATGATAAAAAGTAGGCCTATACCAAGAGGGAAAATGAAATTGAAAATAAAAGGGGGAACAAAAATAGAAAAACAAACATGAAAATTTAAAAAATCGATAGCACATCATTAACAACCACCCACCCCCTAGAATCCCGTGGATTTTCCACGGGTCCTCCTAGTAATAATAATAATAGCCTAATAGTCCACTCCAAATTTTATTAAACCGAAACGGAAATTCTTTTTGCCCAATTTATCGTGAGCCCGGCAGCCACTGAGCAGCGCCAGATCGACGTTGCTCTATCCCTTATTGTTGAACGCCAAACAAGGTAGCAACAACTCCCATCTTTTAACGTCTTTTGGTATGACGCAGCTGGGGTTTGAACCCACGACCTCCCGGTTGTGAGGCGGACGCTCTACTGACTGAACCAACACTCCGGTATAGCACATATCACATTATATAACGTCTCTATGCGCTTCTAAAGAGCTTTGGAAATTATTATCCTAGCTTCAGCTCAGACAGCCGTTCTCAGCGCACAGTGCATTTCTAGGAATGATCCTACCATAGTATAAGATCAGAGCATGACAGGCAAAAAAGAAATGCATTCAGAAAATTACTGGAAAATTTCTCCTATAAATCCAAGAGACCATAGATAAATCATTTAAGACAGTTAGAAACATTAGCATGATTAGTAAGCATTGGTCTCTCTGTGCAACCATTTTGCCCGGGAATAGGCCTACCCCTTTTTTTACGAGCAAGAAAAATGTGTGTTTTCATGATGTTTCCAAAGATGTGGTGGTGTACGTGTTTATTGTATAGTACGCGGCACATCATCAAAATGGTTACGGCATACAGCTCACAAGCGCAATAACATGAAGGCAATGCAAAACAACACACACACACACCAAATCATGAAAGCCTTATTATAAAATTTATTTCGTGTCTCACACCTCCATGTTTCACTCCATTTCTTACCTCTTTCACGAGAACTTCTCGCTCTGCATGGAAATCCTTGAAGGTGGACGATACAAATATTCTGACCGTTTTCCATCCCGATCGTTTGACCACCAGCTTTCGTTTGTCGCCGTTCATTTTGCTGTCGACGGTTCCTTGCACCCGGTCCCACGTCTTTTGGACCATGTATTTGTAATCTGATGGGCCTGATGGTACGTCCAGCGATTTGGAAGAACCACAGCCCATAGTGTAGCACGCACTGTGGATAACACACACAGAAAGGATACACACACAAAAACAGGATTTAGTCTCAGAAAACTAGACCCCAAAGTCAAAGCAGTAATTTTTCTTTTCATGCTTTTTGTGACAATTAAATGGGACCCCCCCCCCCCACCAAACAAAGGGGCATAGAGTTGGTGGGGGGAGGTGGGCGAATGGGCACGATTTCACATAGAGCGGGGGGGGGGGCGGGTAGTTAATTTCAACTATTTCAACTTTTAAATGCGCGGGAAGCGAATTATAGAGATCGAGCTACCTAATAATATTATAGGAAAACGTTTTTAACTGCAGCTTTTATTGCAGTGCAATTATAGGTCTAATTTACTAAATAAACAAATTAAACATTACAAATATATTGATGATTCAGTCAATATTTTCTGGGAATCGTTGCTGCGGCCACTGAGCCCCTCATTAATTGGAAGGGGGAGCTATATAGGGCGGGGAGTATTTCGCACTTGCACCCGATCGCCTTCCGAACAAAGAAATACACAGACTCTCAATTATTGACCCCCCCCCCCCCCTCCACCCGCCCCGCCCCCCCCCTCCCATCCTCCAGGGGCGTCTTATGGCGCTCGTAAATGGCACTGTACCATATAAATCCCAACCGCTGCCACTGATCTTATCTCAGGATAAAAGGTCCTGCGATTAATGATTTAAACAAGCATTATTTGGCACAGTGATTCTAAGTTGTTGTAGGTCCTATGCCTATTAATGTTCATGAAGTTGGAATCCATGAACTTGCTCAAACAATGCACGGAGTGGTTTTAAACATGGGGATCATTTCTCGGGCAAAAATGTAACAAATTACATGTACCAACGTTTTAATCCTAATTCCATATTCCAAGCATCGCGTCTTGAAAAGTTGGAGGTTTTGATGGCAGATACGAGTTTCATATTTCATACACAATTTCCTCAATTTGTGAATCTCCCTCTAATTGACACGATCTGATTCGCATTCTCGAACATGCAGTAGATCTTGCTACACCTTGATACATATCTCAATACAAAGAAAATAATATACACGTATCTTATATTTGGAAACAGTCAATCAATTACGTTCACTACCTCAAGTTCAATATATGAAGAAGAAAAAATATGAACTTACGAGGCTTCTCCCACCCTAGTCTGTATCATCAACTCATGATCAGGAATGCATGAATGTTAAAATTCCAATGTCCTAATTGAAAAGTATTATCATCATTTATGATTATTGAATTGATATAGAAATGATAAATGAAATTACGACGGTTCCCAGCAATAGTTTGCAGCAATAATCATGACAATAGGCTCATAATTATAGACATGAATTAACCTAATTAAAATACAGTGTGTTATAAATTGGAAGAATCATCGAGCTTAATGCTGCATAAATATTTTTCTTTTCTTCAATTGTCGTTTGATGAATTTCTTAACTGATGACAATCGAGCTACACAATTTCAGCGTCAACAAATTTATGTATAATAAATATTATTCGAATCTACATAAATCATTTTAAAAAAGGTATTATCAAGTAAAGGTATATGTACGTTTAGGGGTAGCTTTAGTGGGCCTAGAATTATGACTTTATAAGTTTATTATATCTAACTGTTATGTACTATAAGACACAGTTGACTAGCAGACATGATTAGGCTGCCACTGCCCCCTCCTCCACCACCCCCACCCCCATTTGAAACAAATAAAACTTTCCAATTTTTAATTTGTTTATACATTTATACAAGGGTTGGCCTTTACCAAGGTTTGTTTCCTTTTTGGCCACTGTCTTCCTCACTTTTTATAATTCGTATTTTTATCTGTCGATCTCTTGAGGAGAAATAAATTTTGTTTAAATGTATTAAAGCACAGATTCAAATCTTAATTCAAAATTGTATTTATTATAATCGAAACAAATAGGAATATTCTCATTTTTTTAAACCATCAAGATTATTGTGTGACAAAGGTAATTGAGAGCGAAATAATGTCAAAATTACAATAAATAGAAAGGGCAAAAATTAACCAATTACCACATGCCTCTTCTGAAATATAATACAGGGATAGTAATAAATTACATGTCTCGTAATACTTAACAACTTATTTTGTTTTTTCCAGCTAGGAAAGGGAAAAAAGCACATGCATAGACATTTCAAGATAGGCCTATAAATACTACACTCCCTCCAGCTCCACCGATGGAACGGGTTCCGCCACATTCACACGATGAATATAAAATTAATGATTGATTGATAATAATTATTCATGCGCATGGTATGTCATGAATTTTGTTCAATGCTATAGCTGGCCCACACAAATAATATTAAAGGGCTAGCGTAATATTGCCTCCGATGTCAGCTAGTCCACCCAAATCGTGCCCATTCCTGCATGCCAACACACATGATTATACACACGGGTCAAAATAAGTTAGGAAATATATCTCTCAATGATTATATAATTATATTCTGGTGCAAATGGTGCCAAAATGTACACAAATTATTACTCACCGTCTATTAAGCTGTGCTTCACTGTGGCGCCGATTAATATGATACCACTCGTAAGTAGAGGCCTATACGTTTTATATCCGGGAAATGCTGTAAATTGTATATAGTAATGTGGTGTAGTCCAATGTCTTTCATCGATCTGACCCAAACCACTGGTGTTTAATGGTCTCTCAATGGACGGACTTTGCAGTGAACAGCATTTGACTATTTACAAAGCATTGACATGCCTCCATTGTAAAATTATGCGCGGGCGGGCGGGGGTTCTCAATGAAAAGCGTCGGTCGTTTCCCGAGCGACGAGTGGAACGGTGATTTTGTTTGTGGGTTGTGCTGCGTAGTTTCGTTTTGCAGACGTTTAAAGGAAATATTACATGGCCGCCCTAAAAAATAGAAATGTTGTCGTCGACATGTTTTCGCCAAATCAAGTGAATTTGTAATGTGAAATTAGTTCTGACAATTCACGGAAATGTTGTATTTATTTCAATTTAAATACGTTTGGCGCTATATAGTCATATTGACAGCTCAGTGGGTCGTACGTAGTATCAATTTTCGATGTATCCTTTTTTCTTCTTTAAAAGTCAATAAATGATCAGGTACGATGAAATAAGTTTATTCAGTACTACCTTAATTAGGATAAAGTTAGCATAACTGCTGGTTAAAACAAACTCTTGTCTTTTTACTGATCATTGGAAAGAAGTACACTCTGAGTTTGAAAGGAAAGTGAGAAATATGTCTGCTTGCAATACATTACGTATGAACAAAGATATTTCATCTCGTTTCTATTAAAGGTAAAGACCAGTATTGGAACCCCCCCCCCCCCCCCCCCAATTTCAAAAAATGAAATGGAAGCTCTCATTACCAATCATTTGAAAGAATATGTTTTGATTAATACATGATGATAAAAACTTTGCTGGGAAACCGCCTACTAATTGATATATTTGGTAAATTATTATATCTATTTGACTGTGAGAGATATAGGGTAGTCCCATATACATCTTTCTGTGTATAGTGCTTGTAACTTTACGAAGAATGGGCCAAATTTCTTATCATTTTGATGATTCCAGAACCTTGCAGATGCTAGATGCTAGATGATCAACCTTTTCTGATCCGATTCCACAACGTTTCTTTCACAATGCAATCGCATGACCATAACTGGTCTTTAGCTTTAAATACTATCTCATTCTTCATTAGATAGCTCCCATACAAAGCGAAATGGCAATAACACTTGTGCCTTATTTATAAATATATATATGTATGCCTTACAACAAATTTGTAGTATTTTGGTACTTTCTAAATAAATCTTTAAAAAATCAAATTAAGCAGAAATATTAATAACAACAAGAGTACCATAAACAACAATAACAACAATAATAACAATGGTAATAGCAATAATAATAATAATAGTATGAACAAACCCTTCCTGTAAAGCACGTTTCACATAGCATCTCTTCCAAAAAAACTTTGGAAATTTAAGAAAGCCAAATGGTTTATATTAGTTGGTATGACTTCAAATCTAATTTATAATTTTATGTTTATTATTATCCCATTTAGTTTAAATGTGCATTTGTTGAAAGAAAAGGGGCATCGATCAGATTTTGATAGGGGCATTTATTGGAGGTGAAAGGGGGGCTTTTATAAAAAGGGGGAAGTGGCTCTTATTAAAATGACAAAAGGCACATGTTGAAATAAACGGGTCATTTATCGGAGACGAACGGGGGTTATTATGAGAAGGGGCAGGGGCGCTTGTAAGAAGGAAAAGGGCATTTAATAGTTAGGAAAAGGGGTACGTGTCAAAATAAAAGGGCGGTTATTAGTGGTGAAAAGGGACAGCCATCAGGAATGAAAAGAGCACCTATCAGGAGGGGAAGGGGCGCTCACCTTGTACAAATAAAACGAGTATTCCTTAGATTGAATAGGGCAATAATCGGAGGTGAAGGGGGCACTTATTTGAATTGAAAAGGAGTAACTTCTAGTATATGTGAAAAGGGTCATTTACCAGAGATGGCAATTATGAGAATAAAAAGGGCACATGTGAAAATATAAGATGTGCTTATTCTAGTAAAAGAAAGGAAGTTATTAAAAGGGGAAGGGGCGCTTTCACAGATGAATAGGGGCACTTGTCAAAGTCAAAGGGGCATTTTCCCTATCTAAAAGGGGGCACTTTTGGGGAACATGGAAGAGTGTGAGGGCACTGTGGCCCCTGCCCCCACCCCCTCGGTAGCGCCGCCTCTGCTGCTGCTACTGCTACTACTACTACTACTACTACTACTACTACTACTACTAATGCTGCTACTACTAGTAGTACTACTACAGTCGTGTAGTTGAAAACAGATAAAATAAAGATATTAGATAATGCAGCAGTCGATCTGTGTACCACACGCTACAACATTCCATTCATGCTTTAGAGCTAACTCGAGCTAACAAGGAAAAACCTGACACCGTGTACAAAAAATGATACACAAACGTCTATACGTCTCTAGTTCCGGCAAGATTGAGGATGAGGACCTCAAGCTGAATTGCCAGAGGCTTGCCTAAAATGGCAACAACTAATTAAGCTTAATATGTGTACAACCATTGTGTACTTATAATTGCTCTTAACACCTTGCACGTAATACGATAATGTTTTTTGTTTAGTCCTTGGAAAAAACAATAGTTGATCAAAGCGATTACGAATTAAATTATCATTTAAAAAACTTTATGACATCACCCACTGAGTTTTAGTTTACATCAAGACTCAAGAGACAATAGGCCTACGTTCTTACTATACTAGCTTAATTTTTAAATAGTTAAGTAATTGAAATCTAGACGTTTCGATGACAGTCCTAAAGGCGATAGGGGACAGCCCTGGGCCTCGATGCCCCCCCCCCCCCCCATTCTGCGAAAAGAAATCAGAAATGGGGAAGGAAATAAAGGGTGAGATAAAGAGAGAGGGAGAGAGACATAGACAGAGAGAGAGAGAGAGAGAGAGAAAGAAAGAGAAATATAGATAGATAGAGAGAGAGAGAGCGAGAGACAGAGAGAGAGAGAGAGAGAGAGAGACACAGATACAGATGGGAAGAGCAAAATTGTACCCACCTTCTATAGGCCATAGCTACCCCCCCCCCCCCTGCCCTACGATTGGTCCCCACGCTACACACACCCCCCATTCGTCACTATATATAGATTTTAATCAAAATCTTGCTAGAATAGAACCTAACATAATCGCAGCCTTTTCATCCCAAGTGAGAGAAATGGCATTGTGAAATGAAAGAACTACCATGTGCACAATACTCATTACGTAATCAATCGATATAGGTCTGTTTGATCTAGGCCTTCGTCTGTACAGTTCTCCTCGACGGCAGCCACTGCTATTTGCTTTTCACCGTTTCCACAACACACCCCCGGGGGAAAGAGTTCTGGTAAAAGAATCATGTAACAAGATGATGACCATCGGTGGAGGTGCTACTTCAGGAGTTGTCTGGGCAACGGGATATCATTAAAACTACTATTGAGCAGCCATACAAGGATCATTATTTGGAGTTAAACGCATCATACCGAAGTGAATGAAACACAAAGCTGTATATGCTGGGTACTAAAAGAAATTTGGCAGACATTGCACTCTGAACATCAAAATTCTGACGAAATAAATCTGGAATTCTCAATGGAAATTGAGAAGGTACAAAAAGTGTGAAAAACTTTGAAGGACAATTGCTCATATAGCAACACATTACATCTCAAGTGGGAGCCAAAATGTAAGTACACATTTGCTTGTCGTTAAAGTCACTTAGAATGGGCCTAGTTGTACCAGGGTTAGTCCAATTATTGAAAGGGACAGTCGGTCAATTCCAAGTTAAATACATTTTCTTATGGGTTACCATGTAGGCCTGTGAAGGGAAAATGGACATATAAATCATCTGAGTATCATTATTTTCGCATCCAAGCTATAATAGGGCTATATCAATTTGGCACAATTATTAACAGATATACCAAAATCTTGTGATGCAGTAGGCATGTGGGTAAGAGTATGGTAAGAGACAATTTCACTTAGTAATAATTCTAACTAAGTCAATTCATGACGATCGGGAAAAGTACTTTTACATCTAGAATAAAACAGATAATAACATGATTAATTTAAGAAGAAAAATCAATCCGGGGCACAGTGTGCGTATATGGATTCATGTGGAGGGGGGGGGGGGGGTAGTATTTGTGAACGAAGGGCGAGGATACAGCTCTGTTTGCAATGTCATCTTTTCTTTACGTTGTGTCTTTTTATCCCTTTGTGTTTGTATTTCCTCCAATATCATTAAAGGTTTTACTATTTACATATTTTATTTTGATATTTAAAAAAATAAAAATAAACGAAGAGTGTGTCAAAAGAAAAGACGTATTCGTATTCATAACGGATACATAAATCAAAATGTTTATATAAACATTTTTTTTCCCTTTCAGTTTCAACGAACGACTAGCTGATTTCTTAATCAGCCATGGGATGTTGCAGCAGCGGCCCTAAGAATACTGGTGCAAACAATTTTTATGAAGACGGCGACGTACCAACGCCACAAGCTGAAGAAGAAAAGCCGCCGAGTCCCCCGCCACCAATGCGAAGCGCATCTAGGGCGAATTTATTCCACAGTGACGGGGACGAAGTCAAAGAGAACACTTCCTGTTGGGGAACTTCATCAAAACCCAAACCCACAAAACCTTCGAAAAGAACTACCACTGAGGCAAAGAAGAAGGGTACCACCAAGGTAACCAAGAGTGCCAAGAATACAAGGAGGCCGGATGCAAGGGAGGAACAGGACGGCGGGAATCAGCGTGGCAACCAAAGATTAAATCAGGTTGCACCCGATGCAATGTCGTTCTACCAAGACCCGAGAAGAATCGAGAATGCCTCGAGTCGGAAGAAGACTACGCAGAGAGCCCCGAACGAGGCCTCGTACGACACGAAGTCGGTGTCTTCAGCAGAATCGGAAGATGACGGGAAGGCCAGACGGAAAAAGAGCACGTCATGCTTTGCAGGCTTTTCTCGCAAGCAGACAGTAGCGAGTAATTTCCACAACCAATGATACTCTAAATCTGCCTTGATGAATTAGGCGCAGGGAAGCGATGACTCACCCAGTAGAAAGAAGGTCCTGGGTTCGAAACCAGGTACACACGCCAAGTAAGTAGGGACTTTTAGATTTGCGTCGACTGATACGTGTGACGTCCATTCAAGGCAGTGTATTAAAGGGACGTCGATCGTAGCGATCCACATATTGTCTTCGTGCGAATCTAAAAGTCCCTACTGATTAAGAGCTCTGTACCAGTGGCCTTTTGTTAGGCAGACATTCTCAATTAGTCCCACGCATAGGATGTCAAACCTTTTCTTTCCTCATTGGTACGTCCTTACAGAAGACATGAAAAGATATCGTTTTTGTTTAACCCACACAAAATGCAGCTTGTATGAAAATAAATGGTTGTTGATTCCTCGGGATAAACATGCTAGACATTTGAATAAGTACTCCTTGACCAAGAGCTGTGATAATTCTTTGATGAAATCAAATGAATATCATTTATACTGAAGCAGTTGCGGATAGGGGATTTGGACCGAGGGAGGGGGGGGGGGGCGGGGGGGGGCAAAACTGTCATTACCCGTTTTCAGGAAATATTTTGTAAGATCTGGGGTACAAACCAAGTCCTGTAATCCCGCTCGCAATATATTATTTATTGATATATTAATGCCAATAAGCAGATGAACACTCATCATCGGAAAGAAAAGGATCCGATTAAAATACGGAAACAATCTAAGTGAAATATTCCAGCAAAATATGTATACACTAATTACACATGTACAGGAGATGATATTTTATGTGCGCATTGGCATATAATAATAATAATAAACATGAATAATTGAATTTTGAGTAAACATGAACAGATGATAAGTATCGGTATTTGCATGTATATCGTAGAGTCTGACAGAAATGGAGAAAAATACAATCACCAAAGAAACTGCGAAAAAAGAGGAATAAGGGGAGATATGATAAATTAAAATCCTCGGGTCCGTTAGAAATTAAATAAAAACACTACAACTCATTAATTATGATAATTGACTGTAGTGGTGGACTTTTCGTTGATTTATTCCACAAAACTCTAGACAATTCAAAGTTTTATATCAAAGTTCACACTTTATATAATTACGCCAAAGCGAATAATAAAATGAAAGGAGTATTTTTCTTTTGTAGTAAAGCTAATATGCTAATAAGAGGAACTACAGTATGAATTGTTAATTTTTACTGTTTTATTTTTGACAATTCTGCTTTTGTACAGTAATGATTCGGCCTATTTGGGTTATAGTGCGGTGCGTTATAATAGCATGAGAATTAGTGTTTGAATTTGACACATATTTTCCAGTGTTTTAAAATCTTTTTCCCCCTTCAAATCAACAATGTAAAAGTGTCAATGCATTGCCTTTCTCTTGTATATATGTTTTAATTTGCCAATATCTCATTTGCCTTTCGAATATCTATCCAGTAAAACATGTTATTTTTAATCTCCCTGCATAATATGCTTGGACAACTGTGCCAAATGGAAAAGCTAAAAAGGAGATTAGACAAATGTGAGTAATGAATGTATACGCATTTTGCTTGATGTCTCGAGAAGTGATAAACACGTTAAGCAAACTACCATTGTGTGCCCATCAAATAACAAATCGTTAATATAAAGATTATTTGATAATCTGCGTTGTAAAAGCAATAAAATCTAGGGTATTAGTATTTATTAAATAACAAAATATGTTAGTTTGAATGGTCTTACTTTTAATCAAACAGCTCCTTTCCAAAATATGACGTTAAATAATTATGTAAACATTTGTATTGGTTTAATTATAACAAACAAGAATCAATAACTTGTGTAATTCGGATGTACGTTATGCAGGCTTATACTATGTATATATTTATCTTTGCATGCATGTTATCTTCATGTTCCTTCATTCCATGGTAGTAAATTGCCTTGAAATAAATAAGGGCATGAATTTGCGTCTTTGTTGTAAATACGATTAAATACCGTTATTTCGTCTGTTATCGAGTCTGAGCGTCAAAAGGGTAATTAATGGTGTATCTACAGGGGAGGGGGTCAGATACAACTCTTATCAACAAGGTACATATAGGGAAGATGGAGTGGGAGAGAGAAGAAAAGGGGGTAGGGAGAGAGGGAGAGAGAGAGAGAGGGAGAGAGAGAGAGGGAGAGAGAGAGGGGGAGAGAGGTGGATCTAGGAAGAGGGAGGGAGGGAGAGAGAGAGAGAGAGAGAGATAAAGAAAGAACAGCTATTGATCTCTCTATGTGTTTGTGTCACGAGAGTTGCCAATGACCTCAGAATAGTATTATGTATATTTTATAAAGAACGTCTCTATATTGTTAAGCACATTGAATCATGCGAACGTGACCATTCCTGCCGAGAGGCACATAGTTTATCGGTATCTTTGATATTTGTTGAGAATCAGATTATTAAAGTTTAGTGATTACTTTTCGATAGTGCGTTCACACTTAGACCCGTCAACGGAAAGCCGTCCTTCTTCTTACGTGAGAACAGAGCAATTAAGGAATACAGGTAAGGGTTTAGCGTCGAGTTGATGGGTAAGATAAAGACAACGGCCCAAGCATAAAGAGAGACCGGTAGCTCTGTGGCACCGGTCTGTGACAGAATCCCCATGATAATGACGGGCATCCAACAGCAGAAATCAGTACCGACGATCAGCGCCATTTTGGTGGTCATGCGAATCTCTCGCTTCATACGCTCCGTTCCAGCGATCTTCGCCGACCTTCGAACTTGGACAAAGATGGCTATGTAGCAAATGAAGATTAGGATGAGAAGAATGAAGTTGACACCCAGAAAGAGAGCGATGGAATACAGCCAGTTAGGACGCTGCTCAGGTTCCTCCTCGGGGATGAACTGGTATACGTCTGACTCATGGACGTAGCGGATGCGTCCTTTCTGCTCGGTGAAGGTGTTGAAAGGGAGACCCAGACAAACGTCGGACAAGCCATAGATCTCAGAATCGTACAGTCCAATCATGATTGGTGCCAAACTTAGGATGAAGGTCAGGGTCCAGACGAGCCCAACGCCAATCCGCCCCGACCGAGAGCGGAAACGCACCGTCCCAAAAGGAAATGTAATACAGATAAAACGGTCGATTGTAATGAGTGCAAGCAGGAAAACCGAGCTCTCGCTGGAGAGAAGAGCCACAAACCCAGCAAACCGGCAAAGTTGGGACTCCCGCCAGATGGGTGCCGAAAGGAAGTACCTCTCGCCATAGTAAATGTCCACCGAGGCGATCGTCACCATATACACACCCATTAGGAAATCAGCGAAGGCTAGGTTGGTGATGAAGAGCCTTTGAACGCTGTTTCGGTTGTGCTGTTCCTCTCTGAAACGGACGAAAATGACAACGAAATTTCCCAAGAGAGCTCCGAATCCAGTGATCCACATTGCTACTCTAAGAATGTTGTTATGGGTAAGACTGGAGCAGGAATCGAGCGGTGTTGGGGTGATGACTGAACACGTGATGTTCTTGAAGAGGCAGCATAAACGGTAGTCATCGGTAGACCTGTAATTAGCAGAAAATTGAAGACGTTTTTTAACGATTACGCATCGATAAAGATTTGATCATCACAATAACGTGAATTACGTCACCTTTATCTGAAAGGGGGAAAGCGACCGTGACCAAAAGAACATCACTGCGACCTTCTGGTCTCTTCTCCCTGTATGAAGGGGATTCACAAGTGTACCATCACACCGGGGTCCCCATGTCTACTCTTTTACAAAAAGTGCACTGCGTCTGTAACCTGGATAAGTTGCGACTTTGCTATAAACGGGACACGTCCTGTCCTAGGGACAGAGTGCTCTCCATTATGATTCACCTACATCAGAAGGGAGGACCACATTTACATACCTGACGTCTGACGTCCTACACATCCACAAAGGGCTTTATTGGAACCCACGAACTTAGGTACGAAAGTCACCTTGATAAACAGAACAATATTGTCTTAATTAGCTAAACATTAGTCTCATCATTATTAATACTACTCTTCCTCAGGACCGTGCAAGTATTATCACCGAAAACATTCATTTGCCCGGTACCCATTTAATACACCTGAATTGAGATGGACGAACGTGGGTAAAAAAAACTTTGTCCAAAGGTGTAATCACTAAGCAGTGACCGAACCAAGGACTTCTCGCACGACAGTCAAGAACCTTTACCACTATCTCACAGTGCTCCCAACTTGATGTAAATAAAACTTTACAATATCGATCATTAATAAGTTGTCGTTATATTTCGTTACATACACGAAACTTTCAAACAACTGTGATTCATTATCGTCATCTACTTACAATTTCTCCAAGGATGGTAACCCATTAAATGTGTCGAGGTGAAGTTGCTCAATCTTCAGCCCAACAAGGTGACTGATGGAAAATAAATCGGTTAAAAGGAAGTTAATGTCTTTTAATGAAACAATTATTTCGCAATACTTTATCGCATTGACAGCAGTTAAAACTCTAGGGGAACAAACGTTAACACGGCTGTTAAATGTATTTTAGGCGAGAATGATTCACGTTTTCACAAACCTTATCAAATATCCCGACCATAAGTACAAACATCTTTTTTTGGAAGAAAAAAACATCACCTAAATAACTACTTGCCTAGGTTTATCCCCAGGCTGGCGTAGATTCGACAGCAACAAGGTCAATCAATATGTTAGATCAAAGAATAGTATAATACTAATAGTCACATTTGTATAATACAGTGCAATTCTAAACGTTTTTAAGAGCTTAACGTTGACATTATTTGTAATCCGGGCGTTTGATTTTTCAATAATTAAAATGGGTTACACTTACAGTTTGCGAAGTCGAGTCATATTGTCGAATGATCCTCTTTCTATTAATCTTATCGGATTAAAACTGAGATTCCTGATGAGATAAATCATGTAATAGATGACACTGATTTATTATACAAGTATATTATCATCTTGTGTAAAAGAATTACAGTCGACCGTTCTATTATGTACATAATACGACTTACTCGTTAACATTTCGGTTCATGATCCTTTTTCCAATGCATTCACTATTTTAAGAAATATTTGTATTTCAAGGGTTCGTGAAATTAAATTGATTACACATTATCATACTACACTAATATTAGTAATTTTCTTCTTCGTGTAATCTATTTCCCACTTCTTTAGAACATTTCAAACCTAACTTAAACATTATTTTTTGGGGAAATTCTGACTTTACTATACTAGTCCACAACGTATACTTACAGTTCTTCCACGGTATTCAAATCCTTCAATGCGCTACGGCTTCCCCTTTCCAGTTTGTTTTCAAAAAGCTTTCTGTACGTTGAAAACAAATTATACAGTAGCTGGGAATCCGTTTTCGAAGTACAATTTTAAATTCAAACGCGGATTTTATTTTTTATTTTTTTATTTTTAAAAAATCAGACATTTTAAAATAATTTATGAAAATAATGTTCATATTATATTTATTCTTGGGAACTTACAAAAACAAGCTATGCTTTTCAGTAGGTTCCTGTTTCATTTCATAATTTTGATCTTACTTTGTCAACTATGTTCTTTATTGTGCAAACAATTGTTATATGAAATGAAATCAAAATCAATCAATCAATCAATGTATTGCACATTACTAAAACAATTTGTTTGCATTTGTTCAAACTCAAAGCCGATCCATTAGAATGACAAATTTTCCTCAGGGAGATTGACGACACAAAAAAAACATTTTCATTATTTCTTATTAATAACAAGTATATATCCTTGCCTATTCCTATCCCCCCAAAAAAATTCCTTGTCCATGTTTACCTCAACTTGCCCCTATTAAAAACGCTTTGTGCTGCCGCTGGATAAATCCAAATCATATACGGCCAGGTAATGTCGGTCTTGTTTCGGTCTGGTTGATGTGACCACTGTATTACCCCACAGCTCTTCCTGAATTTCTTTTCCCGTTCAAGCACTGCTCTACCAACACCCTTCATTCTGTCTCTGCCTCTCTGCATCTCTCTCCCTTTCTACCCCCCTCTCCCAATCTCTCTCTCTCTCCGCTTCTCTCTTTCTTTGGACCTTGTTTTTCTCCTCAAAAATATCATGGAGAAAGTCATGGAGTTACTGTTCCATTAATTCAAACTTGTAATAAATGGGAATGTGTCTAGAGCAAAAAAACTTACAATATCTTCAAAGATTTCAGTCCTCTGAATACACCAGGTTCGATATAGGCAATTTCATTTTCTTCCAGCCACCTGTTTAGTGAAAGAAACGGATATCATTTGGAGGTCTATTTCCATTAGCTTTAGGAAGGGTCACGGTCAAAGTAACTCCTCCGTAGCTCGTTTAAATGAAAATTAAGGACTACAACATCAAAAAATAAAAGAACTTTAAAAACTTCCATTTCTTATTACCGTGGGTACAAAGCTACAAGCTCTGCAATTCAACATTCTCAACGATTTGATCTCTTAATTTTGGCTTTTCCGAATTCACAAAGTTTCAAAAGTCAGAAAGTCCCCTTTGTATGAGAGGTCACCCGAAACGTTGGTAGGCATTTTCTTTTCCTGTCAAGTCGTTAACATATTCTGGATTGACCTTAGCACCATTCTTTTGCAGAATGTGATATATCATCTGTTACAAATAGAAATGCATGTTCTCTGTGCTATTTATGAGCCTCGTAATTCTAGAAATATCTACCTCTCGAATTTTCTGCTGTTGGTAGGTTAACAAATATATATATATATATATATTTAGATGTTGGTGCGGCGTTACAAAGCCTAATCTCAGTTACTTTTGTAATTTTCTTTTGTCGTTTGAATCTGTTGAACATGGCATTGCACGAAGGAAAAACAAATTAGTCATCCATGCTGCCAAGTAGGCAAGCATTTGAATATTATAAAGGGTCAGTAGGAATGAGAGGTCATGTTATATATTTCTTTCATTTGGCCAGGTGCCTGCTCTTTGTAGTAACTTTCTATTCTAATGAGCATTGTTTATCTCTGGTTGTCTCTTGTAATCTTTTGTAATCTCTTAATACCAGCAATCGACAACTAGTCGTCTGCTGATTGTTGTTGTTTTATGTTAGTAGACTTGTGTACATTCTACGTTATTTATATTTGATTAAATGATCAATCATAATTGATGCTGATACTATGTGATGTTCAATTTAAAATAAAAACGATTAATAAACATGAAATACACACAAAAAACCTCCTTCGTCACAGTAACTCCCAAACGAAAGGTTTTGTTGTTTTCTTTTAATAACAGAGAAGCGGAGACAGTCATGCACACGTACAATTATTGGTACAATTGAAAAGAAACAAAACACCCATAAAGACAACTAAGATTAGAAGACTAATTCAAAACATTAACTTACAAGTCAACCAGGTTGTGAAGTCCTGCAAAGTTATTAGACTTGAGTTCAGTTAGTTTATTGGTCTTCATGTTTCTGAAACGAAGTATAAAAAGCAGTATTATGTGACTTTATGTCATATCTATAATGCACATGCGCTATCATGATCATTTTTTTCTTGTGCGAATTAGTTATCTTTTACTGAAAAGAGGGTTCAATTGGTGTATTTTAACGATGTTTCTAAATAAAATCTTTCGAAATTCAAAGATGGACAAAATGAGATCAATAACTAAAGGACTAAGGGCGTGTGGCATTTTGTGCATGTCGTTTCTTTTATTTCCTCCTTCTCTTTATTTCTGTTAGCTTTTCTACAGAAGAGAGGGGGAGGGGGCATCCCCGAACAGGTTCGGAATGTTTAGCATATAAGGAACATTATGCCCAATAAAGCAACGGATATGACTGCATGATAAATGTTTTTTTAATAATTTTCTTAAAAACTTGTTCCACAGAGGTCACGAGAAATATACAATAACTACTTTCTTAAAACTTTTTGGCTTCCACTCATCGGAGGCAATCGCAAGAGCGAACAGATAGCTGAAACCGGGCAATATAAACGGAAGCTAAAGGAACGAAATGCGCGGAAAAAAACAAAACGGGATCTGATTGTGTTCGTTGTTATCCTTCGTTATTGTGTAGCACCAACCTTCTCTAAGTCTTTACTTATTACTTTAATAAACTTACATGGTTTTAAGTCCGCTGCTATTTGTAAACACTCCGGTATCCATTTCAGATATGTTACAGCCGCTTAGGGTGCTGTGATAGGAAGAATTGGGAAAGACTGATTGGTGGATTGAAAAAGTAGGTTACAAGTCTACACCAAGAATGGGAATATAATAGTTATAAAGATAGTATGCACTTCACAGCAGTGGCGGATCCACGGAGCGATTTTTCAAATTTTCGAGGGCCCCAACAAAAATTAGTGCTCACTTCCCCCCTCCCCTGAGTGAATTATCGGCCGGCGCGATTTTCTAATTTCAACACACTTAATTTTAAATTGATTTCAAATTTGGCCCCCACCCCCCAAGAAATCCTGGATCCGAGCCTGCTTCACAGGATGATATAACGAAGATGTTACATGCATTAGATAACACATTATTTTAAAGGTTTGAAACACAAACAAACGATAGTTTCTCAAATTAAAAGAGTATGCGAGACGGGTAATTAGATGATTGGTTCCCTAGTACCTAAATACTCACAGACTCGAAAGTACCTCCATCTGAGCAAATGCACCTCTCCTTAGCTGAGCGATAGGATTATTCTTCAACACCCTGTTCGAAAAAAAAAAAAAAAACGCCTAAAGAGTACACATTAAGTAAAACCGGAATGAATTGGATAATCCCTGAACTGAAATGCACACGATCATTAAAAATCACCCTTTAAAATGATTCCATTCCCTGGAGTACAGAGCAAATT